CACAATTGACGAGAAACATCCACTGGACGTGAACGCAAATCATGTGCAGCGCATCCATTGATCACGCGCAAAAACAACACATAACAACTAAGAGTGAATGCCAAAATGCATGGATGCTACAACAGAGATGGTTCCGGTATGCTAAGGCGAGCAACGCTGCCCCAACAACGATCCCCACCTCAAATGCAGACCCGACACATTTTAACATCACACCTCAGTTGCATAACACGTGCAAAAACAACACAAACAACTGTGAGTGGATGCTAAAATGCATCGGTGCTACAGTAGAGGTGGTTCCGGTATGCTAAGGCGAGCAACGCTGCCCCAACAACAATCCCCACCTCAAATGCAGACCCGACACACTTTAACATCACACCTCAGTTGCATATACGGTACAAGGCACTTTAGCACACGCCTCGAGACAGACAGGTGCAAACAAACACACACACATACCGTATCTCACATAGGCGCACACGCGCACGTACATACGCACATGTACAGCACACACTAACACACACGCAAACAAGCACATATAGATACAAAGACCGTAATAAAGACACAACCGTCATGAATAAAATTCAGAAATGCAGAAATGATTGCTGGCCTATCCCACCTTCCCCTCCCTACAACCCTCCCTCCCTCCTTCCCTCATCTCCATCCCACTCCCTCCCTCATCTCCCTTCGCAGCTCATGCGCCCTGCACAAAGCAAAATCAGGGAAGTCAACACACACACGCCCTGCACAAAGCAAAACCAGAGAAGTCAACACACACACGCCCTGCACAAAGCAAAATCAGAGAAGTCAACACACACGCGCCCTGCACAAAGCAAAATCAGAGAAGTTAGCACACACGCGCCCTGCACAAAGCAAAAACAGAGACGTCAACACGCGCCCTGCACAAGCAAAAACCGAGAAGTCAACTCTCACACGCGCCCTCTCACGCTCGCTCACGCGCTCTCTCACACGGACTCTCACGCGCTCTCTCACACGAACTCTCACGCGCTCTCTGACACTCTCTGACGTGCTCTCTCATGCGCACACTCAAGCGCTCTCACTCGCTCACTCACGCGCTCTCTCACGCGCTCTCTCATGCGCTCTCTCACGCGCGCTTTTACGCGCACTCTCACGCGCTCTCTCACGCGCGTTCTCACGCGCTCTCTCCTGCGCTCTCTGACGCACTCTCGCACACGCTCTCTCACGCTCTCTAACGCTCTCTCTCACGCGCTCCCTCATGCGCTCCCTCACGCGCTCCCTCACGCGCACTCTCTCGCACATTCTCTCTCTCTCATGCGCTCTCTCGCGCGCTCTCTTGCGCGCTCTCTCACTCGCTCTCTCGCTCGCACTCTCACTCGCCCTCTCACGCGCTCTCTCACGCGCACTCTCGCGCTCTCTCACATGCTCTCTCACGCAATCTCTCATGGGCTCTCACGCATTCCGTCGCACTCCCTCTCGCGCACTCTCTTGCGCATTCTCTCTCTCACGCGCTCTCTCACGCGCTCTTTCATGCAATCTATTACGCGGTCCTTCATGCGCTCTCTCACGCGCTCTCTCACGCACTCTCTCACGCACTCTCTCACGCGCTCTCTGACACGCGCTGTCTCACGTGCTCTCTCACGTACTCTCTCACGCACTCTCTCACGTACTCTCTCACGCACTCTCTCACGCACTCTCTCACGCGCTCTCTCATGGGCTCTCACGCACTCCCTCACGTGCTCTCTCTCGCGCACTCTCTTGCGCATTCCCTCGGTCACGCGCTCTTTCTCGCGCACTCCCACGCGCCTCTTACGCGCACTCCCACGCGCTCTCTTACGCGCTCCCTCACGCGCTCTCTCACGCGCTCTCTCACGCGCTCTCTCACGCGCACTCTCACGCGCACTCGCTCTCTCACGCGCTCTCTCACGCGCTCTCTCACGCGCTCCCTCACGCGCTCTCTCACATGCAATCTCTTACGCGGTCCTTCACGCGCTCTCTCACGCTCTCTCACGCACTCTCTCACGCACTCTCTCACGCGCTCTCTGACACGTGCTCTCTCACGCGCTCTCTCACGCGCTCTCTCTCGCGCACTCTCTTGCGCATTCCCTCGGTCACGCGCTCTTTCTCGCGCACTCCCACGCGCCTCTTACGCGCACTCCCACGCGCTCTCTTACGCGCTCCCTCACGCGCTCTCTCATGCGCTCTCTCACGCGCTCTCTCACGCGCACTCTCACGCGCACTCGCTCTCTCACGCGCTCCCTCACGCGCTCTCTCACGTGCTCTTTGATGCAATCTCTTACGCGGTCCTTCACGCGCTCTCTCACGCTCTCTCACGCACTTTCTCACGCACTCTCTCACGCGCTCTCTGACACGTGCTCTCTCACGCGCTCTCTCACGCGTTCTCTCACGCGCACTCTAACGCGCACTCGCTCTCTCACGCGCTCTCTCACGCACTCTCTCACGCACTCTCTCACGCGCTCTCTGACACGTGCTCTCTCACGCGCTCTCTCACGCACTCTCTCACGCGCTCTCTCACGCGCACTCTCACGCGCACTCGCTCTCTCACGCGCTCTCTCACGCACTCTCTCACGCACTCTCTCACGCGCTCTCTGACACGTGCTCTCTCACGCGCTCTCTCACGCACTCTCTCACGCGCTCTCTCACGCGCACTCTCACGCGCACTCGCTCTCTCACGCGCTCCCTCACGCGCTCTCTCACACACTCTCTCACGCGCTCCCTCACGCGCTCTCTCACGCGCACTCTCACGCGTTCTCTCACGCGCTTGCGCTCTCTCACTCGCACTCTCACGCGCACTCTCACGCACACTCTCACGCGCACTTTCACACGCACTCTCACGCGCTCTCACACGCTCCCTCAACGCTCTCTCACGCACTCTCTCACGCTCTATCTCACACACTCTCTCACGCGCTCTCTCACGTGCTCCCTCACGCACTCTCTCACGCGCTCTCGCATGCGCACTCTCACGCGCTCTCTCACATGCTCTCTCACGCAATCTCTCATGCGCTCTCTCACGGGCTCTCACGCATTCCGTCGCACTCCCTCTCGCACACTCTCTTGCGCATTCTCTCTCTCATGCGCTCTCTCATGCACACTCTCTCGCACACTCTCACGCGCTCTCTCACGTGCTCTTGAATGCAATCTTTTACGCGGTCCTTCACGCGCTCTCTCACGCGCTCTCTCATGCACTCTCTCACGCACTCTCTCACTCGCTCTCTGACACGTGCTCAATCACGCGCTCTCTCACGCGCTCTCTCACGCGCTCTCTCACGCGTACTCTCACGCGCTCTCGCTCTCTCACACGCTCCCTCACGCGCTCTCTCACGCACTCTCTCACGCGCTCCCTCACGCGCTCTCTCACGCGCACTCTCACGCGCTCTCTCACGCGCTCGTGCTCTCTCACTCGCACTCTCACGCGCACTCTCACGCACACTCTCACGCGCACTTTCACACGCACTCTCACGCGCTCTCACACGCTCCCTCACGCGCTCTCTCACGCACTCTCTCACGCTCTATCTCACACACTCTCTCACGCGCTCTCTCACGTGCTCCCTCACGCACTCTCTCACGCGCTCTCGCATGCGCACTCTCGCGCGCTCTCTCACATGCTCTCTCACGCAATCTCTCATGCGCTCTCTCACGGGCTCTCACGCATTCCGTCGCACTCCCTCTCGCACACTCTCTTGCGCATTCTCTCTCTCACGCGCTCTCTCATGCACACTCTCTCGCACACTCTCACGCGCTCTCTCACGTGCTCTTTGATGCAATCTCTTACGCGGTCCTTCACGCGCTCTCTCATGCGCTCTCTCACGCACTCTCTTGCGCACTCTCTCACGCGCTCTCTGACACGTGCTCTCTCACGCGCTCTCTCACGCGCTCTCTCACGCGCTCTCTCACGCGCACTCTCACGCGCACTCGCTCTCTCACACGCTCCCTCACGCGCTCTCTCACGCACTCTCTCACGAGCTCCCTCACGCGCTCTCTCACGCGCACTCTCACGCGCTCTCTCATGCGCTCGCGCTCTCTCATGCACTCGTGCTCTCTCACTCGCACTCTCACGCGCACTCTCACGCGCACTTTCACACGCACTCTCACGCGCTCTCACACGCTCCCTCACGCGCTCTCTCACGCACTCTCTCACGCTCTATCTCACACACTCTCTCACGCGCTCTCTCACGTGCTCCCTCACGCACTCTCTCACGCGCTCTCGCATGCGCACTCTCACGCGCTCTCTCACATGCTCTCTCACGCAATCTCTCATGCGCTCTCTCACGGGCTCTCACGCATTCCGTCGCACTCCCTCTCGCACACTCTCTTGCGCATTCTCTCTCTCACGCCCTCTCTCATGCACACTCTCTCGCACACTCTCACGCGCTCTCTCACGTGCTCTTTGATGCAATCTCTTACGCGGTCCTTCACGCGCTCTCTCACGCACTCTCTTGCGCACTCTCTCACGCGCTCTCTGACACGTGCTCTCTCACGCGCTCTCTCACGCGCTCTCTCACGCGCTCTCACGCGCACTCTCACGCGCACTCGCTCTCTCACACGCTCCCTCACGCGCTCTCTCACGCACTCTCTCACGCGCTCCCTCACGCGCTCTCTCACGCGCACTCTCACGCGCTCTCTCATGCGCTCGCGCTCTCTCATGCACTCGTGCTCTCTCACTCGCACTCTCACGCGCACTCTCACGCGCACTTTCACACGCACTCTCACGCGCTCTCACACGCTCCCTCACGCGCTCTCTCACGCACTCTCTCACGCTCTCTCACACACTCTCTCACGCGCTCTCTCACGTGCTCCCTCACACACTCTCTCACGCGCTCTCGCATGCGCACTCTCACGCGCTCTCTCACATGCTCTCTCACGCAATCTCTCATGCGCTCTCTCACGGGCTCTCACGCATTCCGTCGCACTCCCTCTCGCACACTCTCTTGCGCATTCTCTCTCTCACGCGCTCTCTCATGCACACTCTCTCGCACACTCTCACACGCTCTCTCACGCGCTCTTTGATGCAATCTCTTACGCGGTCCTTCACGCGCTCTCTCACGCGCTCTCTCACGCACTCTCTCACGCACTCTCTCACGCGCACTCGCTCTCTCACACGCTCCCTCATGCGCTCTCTCACGCACTCTCTCACGCGCTCCCTCACGCGCTCTCTCACGCGCACTCTCACGCGCTCTCTCACATGCTCGCGCTCTCTCAGTCGCACTCTCACGCGCACTCTCACGCACACTCTCACGCGCACTTTCACACGCACTCTCACGCGCTCTCACACGCTCCCTCACGCGCTCTCTCACGCACTCTCTCACGCTCTATCTCACACACTCTCTCACGCGCTCTCTCACGTGCTCCCTCACGCACTCTCTCACGCGCTCTCGCATGCGCACTCTCACGCGCTCTCTCACATGCTCTCTCACGCAATCTCTCATGCGCTCTCTCACGGGCTCTCACGCATTCCGTCGCACTCCCTCTCGCACACTCTCTTGCGCATTCTCTCTCTCACGCGCTCTCTCATGCACACTCTCTCGCACACTCTCACGCGCTCCCTCACGTGCTCTTTGATGCAATCTCTTACGCGGTCCTTCACGCGCTCTCTCACGCGCTCTCTCACGCACTCTCTTGTGCACTCTCTCACGCGCTCTCTGACACGTGCTCTCTCACGCGCTCTCTCACTCGCTCTCTCACGCGCTCTCTCACGCGCACTCTCACGCGCACTCGCTCTCTCACACGCTCCCTCACGCGCTCTCTCACGCACTCTCTCACGCGCTCCCTCACGCGCTCTCTCACGCACTCTCTCACGCTCTATCTCACACACTCTCTCACGCGCTCTCTCACGTGCTCCCTCACGCACTCTCTCACGCGCTCTCGCATGCGCACTCTCACGCGCTCTCTCACATGCTCTCTCACGCAATCTCTCATGCGCTCTCTCACGGGCTCTCACGCATTCCGTCGCACTCCCTCTCGCACACTCTCTTGCGCATTCTCTCTCTCACGCCCTCTCTCATGCACACTCTCTCGCACACTCTCACGCGCTCTCTCACGTGCTCTTTGATGCAATCTCTTACGCGGTCCTTCACGCGCTCTCTCACGCACTCTCTTGCGCACTCTCTCACGCGCTCTCTGACACGTGCTCTCTCACGCGCTCTCTCACGCGCTCTCTCACGCGCTCTCTCACGCGCACTCTCACGCGCACTCGCTCTCTCACACGCTCCCTCACGCGCTCTCTCACGCACTCTCTCACGCGCTCCCTCACGCGCTCTCTCACGCGCACTCTCACGCGCTCTCTCATGCGCTCGCGCTCTCTCATGCACTCGTGCTCTCTCACTCGCACTCTCACGCGCACTCTCACGCGCACTTTCACACGCACTCTCACGCGCTCTCACACGCTCCCTCACGCGCTCTCTCACGCACTCTCTCACGCTCTCTCACACACTCTCTCACGCGCTCTCTCACGTGCTCCCTCACACACTCTCTCACGCGCTCTCGCATGCGCACTCTCACGCGCTCTCTCACATGCTCTCTCACGCAATCTCTCATGCGCTCTCTCACGGGCTCTCACGCATTCCGTCGCACTCCCTCTCGCACACTCTCTTGCGCATTCTCTCTCTCACGCGCTCTCTCATGCACACTCTCTCGCACACTCTCACGCGCTCTCTCACGCGCTCTTTGATGCAATCTCTTACGCGGTCCTTCACGCGCTCTCTCACGCGCTCTCTCACGCACTCTCTCACGCACTCTCTCACGCGCACTCGCTCTCTCACACGCTCCCTCATGCGCTCTCTCACGCACTCTCTCACGCGCTCCCTCACGCGCTCTCTCACGCGCACTCTCACGCGCTCTCTCACATGCTCGCGCTCTCTCAGTCGCACTCTCACGCGCACTCTCACGCACACTCTCACGAGCACTTTCACACGCACTCTCACGCGCTCTCACACGCTCCCTCACGTGCTCTCTCACGCACTCTCTCACGCTCTATCTCACACACTCTCTCACGCGCTCACTCACATGCTCTCTCACGCAATCTCTCATGCGCTCTCTCACGGGCTCTCACGCATTCCGTCGCACTCCCTCTCGCGCACTCTCTTGCGCATTCTCTCTCTCACGCCCTCTCTCATGCACACTCTCTCGCACACTCTCACGCGCTCTCTCACGCGCTCTTTGATGCAATCTCTCACGCGGTCCTTCACGTACTCTCTCACGCACTCTCTCACGCGCTCTCTCACGCGCTCTCTCACGGGCTCTCATGCACTCCCTCACATGCTCTCTCTCGCGCACTCTCTTGCGCATTCCCTCTGTCACGCGCTCTTTCTTGCGCACTCCCACGCGCTCTCTCACGCGCACTCCCACGCGCTCTCTTATGCGCTCTCTGACGCACTCCCTCACACGCTCTCTCACGCGCTCTCTCACGCGCTCTCTCACGCGCACTCTCACGCGCACTCTCACGCGCACTCGCACTCTCACGCGCTCCCTCACTCGCTCTCTCACGCGCTCCCTCACGCGCTCTCTCACGCGCTCCCTCACGCGCTCTCTCACGCGCACTCTCACGCGCTCTCTCACTCGCACTCTCACGCGCACTCTCACGCGCACTCTCACACGCACTCTCACGCGCTCTCACACGCTCCCTCACGCGCTCTCTCACGCACTCTCTCACTTGCGCCCTCACGCGCTCTCTCACGCACTCTCTCACGCGCTCTCGCACGCGCTCTTGCATGCGCACTCTCACGCGCTCCCGTGCACACGTTCCCCCTCGCGCTCCTCTTCTTTAAATAGAAGTGCAATGCAAGAGGAAACGAATTGACTAACAAAATTTACAAGGCGAGCAGAAAAGTAAAATATAGGGGGAAATTTCAGAAGGGGGCGGGAGGATTAAAGGACCGAGAACGCACCTAATAATCAGAATGCCTCAGAAAACAACCCTCGCTGGCGCACCAACCCGCGCTCGCGCACCAAACAGCGCTCGCGCACCCTTCCGAGCTCGCGCATCGACCCGCCCTCGCGCACCAACTCGCGCTTGCGCTCGTGCACCTGTCGCCAGAGGCGACGGAAGGGAGGAGGGAGAGGCGACGACAGGGAGGAGGGAGAGGCGACGGCGGGAGGGAGGGAGAGGCGACGGCGGGGAGGAGGGAGAGGCGACGGCGGGGAGGAGGGAGAGGCGACGGCGGGGAGGAGGGAAAGGCGACGGCGGGGAGGAGGAGAGGCGACGGCGGGGAGGAGGGAGAGGCGACGGCGGGGAGGAGGGAGAGGCGACGGCGGGGAGGACGGAGAGGCGACGGCGGGGAGGAGGAGAGGCGACGGCTAGGAGGAGGGAGAGGCGGCGGCGGGGAGGAGGGAGAGGCGACGGCGGGGAGGAGGGAGTGGCGGCGGCGGGGAGGAGGGAGAGGCGACGGCGGGGAGGTAAGGGAGAGGAGATGGCGGGGTGGAACGGAGTGATTGTGAGGTGGGAGAGAGAGGCGATGGCGGAGTGGGAGGGAGAGGTGACGGCGGAAAGTGAGGGAGAGGATACGGGAATGGGAGGGAGAGCGACGGCTGGGTGGAAGGTACTAGCGACGGTGGGGTGGGAGGAGAAATAGCTAGAGAAGAAAGTAGCGAGCAAGAACGGAACCTCAGGAGGAACCAAGAACGGAATCAAGAAATGAAGAGCGTCGAAATCGAGTTTGACAGCTGTGAAAGGGATGGATACCTTGGGCTTGGTTGGTTTGTCGTGGAGCTGGAGATAAATTTTCTGCCAGCGCAGAATGAGGCACCGAAACTTTTCTCTATTCATAGAAGTATGAGCACAAGGGCGAATGGCAAGCTTAAAGCCCGAGTCTAGAATGGTAAGGCTTCAAGAATACTGAACTTGAAAGGTGTTGGGAAAGCGACGGAATGGGCAAACGATGGTCATGTGAAGGCCAGCGACATGATGGGAGAGCGTGGGAGACACTTAGAGTAAGCGTGGGCGACGGACGCGGGAAGGGAGAGCCACCTAAAAGGCGACGGGAGGGGAGGCGAATTCAAGTTCAAGAATCTTGAACTTGAAAAGTTGCCATTCTAGACTCGGGCTTTAAAACCGGAGGTCCAAGAGTTTCAAAGTTAGGAAGGTTGGTTGGGCAGAGAAATACAATTGGATGACGAGGAGGTTGGGTTCACGAATTTGTCTAGGGATGTTCGCCCGTCTGGAGATTTCGTCATTGTTACCACAATTGCTGTGCGACACTAACTCCAATGTCAAAACATCGCCAGACACACTCTGCGACCAGAACGTTGCCAATGGCAGAATATGTGCAGCGGCAGCAACAACTACGTGAAAGTTAGCTGAATCCAGTAACTCAGCTAGTAAACTCACATCATTCGCAGCAAATATTTGCAGGTCCCATCCAGCAACTTAGTAGTGGTGCGGATCATATCCCCACATCTCATCCACATCCTCCCACTCCAGATCTTCCATGTCTCCTCTTTCCTCCTCTCCCCCCACGCCAACCGCATCTCTTTCCCCCACGGTGGGTACACCTTCCTCCCCTCCTTGCCCTCCCACTCCACCCCCGTTCACTGGAACATCAACCGTAGTTGAGGGAGAAGTGGCAACCATGCTGACTCTTTGTCTCTTATGCGGCCTCCCATCCGTACTTACTTGTGCCTCCCCTCCCATTTCTCCCGCCCCGCATCCCTTTCTCACTCCGCTGACTTGTTGTCGCAGCCGCAACACCTTACGCATGTCTGGGTGTTTCCATTGTGCAGCAGTGGCTTTCAGCTTCTTGAAAGGAATGCGTTTGAACAATCCACACACAGCGCTAACAAGATCCTCTTTTGTGGGTTTCTTTGGTAGGCGACCCTTGTAACCCACCTCGGAAAGCCACGCGGAAAGGTGCTGGGGAGTAACATGCCACAAATCCTCAATCGTTTCGCACTCGGGAACGCGAAGAGATGGCTTCTTTGCCTCGATGAAGTCTTTGACAAACCGCCTGGTCAAATTCCGACCCTTGTGCCACACATCCATCTGATGGTTTATCTCTTTTCCTATGATTGCCGCTTTGAACGAACCCCCTTCATCAGAAATGATGCCCTTAACCACGAAACCAAGTTGTTTCAACTCATCTAAGCCTCGCTCAAATGCAACTTTCTCGAGTTGAGTGGACGACCCACCTACAATCTGTTTGGACACCGTGACACAATGCAAGACCTGCCTTGTAATCCGATCCATGAACGACACAGTGCACCAAGCTCCCTCTCGTGCCTTGTCCCACCGACCATCAACACAAATCCACTCCCCAGGAATCATCCTTCGACCCATTTGTTCTCTCACAGCCTCCATTGACTTGAATGCTTGTCTCCGTATGCTACACCACAGGCCGTTCTCTCCATCCATGAGACGATAAAATGTCTGCTTACTGGGTATCCTGATACCCAGCGTGCGACTGACCTCCCATAGAGCTTGAAAGCCTAACCCCGCAAGCGAAAATGCACCCATGAATCGCTGCACCATGGGAGGGGTCCTGGGACCACGACTTCCTGGCCCTTCATCACTGGTGTACCGTTTGGTGGACCAGAACTCAAGAGAGCCGCCACACTGATCACATCTCCATGCCAGTCCAAGACACGACCACACTTGCCACCACGAGCGTAAGCGCATTCTACCGTTGCAACTGGGCCGAGCAGCGCAACACAAACAGAGGGTCATGAAGAATTGCACGATCAACAGTGGGTCCAGAAGACATACCAGGTTGCCTGAAAGCTGAGCTAGAGTTGGGGATTCAGGCCACCCAGGTGGGGCTCTCGTTGTCACATGCGCCCTGTAAAAAACCCACAAGAGTTGAAACGAAAGAACATATAATAGGACAATATGATGGACAATGCAATCCAATCAACATATGACTTTTATGTTATGGGCATAGAATGCAAGCCTATCAACCCACACATGGAGACCAATATAACTTTAGTATGGACGGTGGAGGGTTTACATACACACCCCGCACTCATGCGCATGGAGTGCCACATTCTCAACCATTTAAGCGTGGGCTGAGGTGTGTTGCAACACGTTTGACATACCTGGCCTGAGGACACCCCTCCTCGAGCTCGTGCAACCGAACCCCCTCGTCAGTTGGAGGCTCCTGTAGAAGACCCTCAACCCCATCGCCTTCCTCCAGTGCTGTTCCGGCCACAACGTTCCCTTCCGGCACTCCAACCCCTTCTCCCAGCCCTGTTCTCATCCCAGCGCTTTCTTGACCTCCCATTCCTACCCCCACCCCTACCTCCAAGGACGTTCCCATCCCAGGGCATTCTCCCCCCCGCCCCCCTTCCTCCAGTACCGATCCGACCCCCACCTCTTCTGGCCCAGTTCCCCCTTCTCCCAGCCCTGTTCTCATCCCAATGCCTTCTTGCCCTCCACTTCCAACCCCCACCCCTATGCCCTGGACCTGAGCCCCCCCCCCGTCCCCCCACCCTGTCTTCACATGATGTTTCGTCCAGATCCTGATCTTGTCCCCCCACCCCTACCTCCTGGGTTATTCCCGCCCCAGCGCATCCCCTCCCCCTCACCCCTTCCTCCAGCATTGCTCCTACCCTCACCCCTTCCGACTCCGCTCCCACTTCCTCCAGCCTTGTTCCCATCCCAGTGCCTTCTTGCCGAGCAATTCCACCCCCCAAGGACGTTCCGACCCCATGGCCTTGCTGCCCCCCCAGCCCTTCCTCTAGCCCGTCACACTGATCGCGGTGGTCGGTTGGGGGCAGGTCTTCCATCAGATCGGCATCACACTCAGGGATGGGCAGCAGGTCCTCGGTGAGCTCAAAAACCGTCTCCTCCGCAGGTGCTGCCAACCCCAGCCCATCCTCACTTGCGAGCGGTCCGTCGCGCTGCCCTCCTGCCCAGAACAAGGGTGAAAAATTGCTACACAATTGTTGTGAATTGAACCAACCGCAAATCATTTGCGCCCCGACATCGACACACCCAAGACCACATGGCAAATTTGCACAGTGACATGCAATCGTAGACGACACCGCATTGGGCAACCTTTAGAGTAGCTGTTCTCACCCGAATTCTTCAGTGCCTCGTACTTGGGCCCACGGCGAGCTCCCCCGTGGTTGAACTTCCCAGGCACTTGTATCTTTGCGTCGGTGTTGATGAAGCACGGTGCAAACCCATACGTCACCGATTCTATCCGCTGTGGTGTCTTAGATACAAGCTCTGCCACATTCCCGACGGCATCCTTATCATGGTAGTGGAGCGCCTGACCGTGTGCCGCCAGACGCATGCGTGCAATCGACGCAGCTGTTTTGCCGTCCGTTCCTGGGAGTCGTGCAGGTGGGGCAAACAGAATTACGTCACAATGCAGCTCATTGTGAGGAAAGGCGGCCTCGTCGTCTCACATTGGACTCATGTGCAACAGAACACTTTGTCTAGCGTCGCACTCTTAGACGGGGAATATCGATATGCGCTCACTCTTAGCCACAGAACTCACCGTTCTTTGCTGCCACAGCCATAAGTCTGTTCGTGAGGTGTGGCGCAGCCAACGTGTAAAGGTAGAACAAGTCCCCGCACGAGGCTTCTCGTTTCCCACCGAAAATGATTGTATCCGCTTCGCAAGAGAGCGATCGGCTCTTGCATATGCCTTGATATTGGATGCTGGGGGGTCCTATGCTTCTTCGCGATGTGACCAACGAGTTGTGCCATCACGCTTGCGTGCTTAGCCCTCCTTCCCCACGACTGTCAGCAGCGGGAAATGGGGTGAATCAAGGGGGACAGAGAGAGAGCAGCCCTGAAATGGGGTGAATCAAGGGGGACAGAGAGAGAGCAGCCGGGAAATGGGGTGAATCAAGGGGGACAGAGAGAGAGCAGCCCTGAAATGGGGTGAATCAAGGGGGACAGAGAGAGAGCAGCCCTGAAATGGGGTGAATCAAGGGGGACAGAGAGAGAGCAGCCGGGAAATGGGGTGAATCAAGGGGGACAGAGAGAGAGCAGCCCTGAAATGGGGTGAATCAAGGGGGACAGAGAGAGAGCAGCCCTGAAATGGGGTGAATCAAGGGGGACAGAGAGAGAGCAGCCGGGAAATGGGGTGAATCAAGGGGGACAGAGAGAGAGCAGCCCTGAAATGGGGTGAATCAAGGGGGACAGAGAGAGAGCAGCCCTGAAATGGGGTGAATCAAGGGGGACAGAGAGAGAGCAGCCGGGAAATGGGGTGAATCAAGGGGGACAGAGAGAGAGAGCAGCCCTGAAATGGGTTGAATCAAGGGGGACAGAGAGAGTGCAGCCCTGAAATGGGGTGAATCAAGGGGGACAGAGAGAGAGCAGCCCTGAAATGGGGTGAATCAAGGGGGACAGAGAGAGAGCAGCCGGGAAATGGGGTGAATCAAGGGGGACAGAGAGAGAGCAGCCCTGAAATGGGGTGAATCAAGGGGGACAGAGAGAGAGCAGCCCTGAAATGGGGTGAATCAAGCGGGAAAGAGAGAGAGCAGCGGGACATGGGGTGAATCAAGGGGGAAAGAGAGAGAGCAGCGGGACATGGGGTGAATCAAGGGGGAAAGAGAGAGAGCACGGGGGGAGTGGGGTGAACCGAGGGAGATAGAGAGAGAGCAGCGGGAATTGGGGTGAATCAAGGGGGAAAGAGAGAGAGCAGCGGGACATGGGGTGAATCAAGGGGGAAAGAGAGAGAGCAGCGGGGACATGGGGTGAATCAAGGGGGAAAGAGAGAGAGCAGCGGGGACATGGGGTGAATCAAGGGGGAAAGAGAGAGAGCAGCGGGGACATGGGGTGAATCAAGGGGGAAAGAGAGAGAGCAGCGGGGACATGGGGTGAATCAAGGGGGAAAGAGAGAGAGCAACGGGGACATGGGGTGAATCAAGGGGGAAAGAGAGAGAGCAGCGGGGACATGGGGTGAATCAAGGGGGAAAGAGAGAGAGCAGCGGGGACATGGGGCGAATCAAGGGGGAAAGAGAGAGAGCAGCGGGGACATGGGGCGAATCAAGGGGGAAAGAGAGAGAGCAGCAGGGACATGGGGCGAATCAAGGGGGAAAGAGAGAGAGCAGCGGGAAGCGCAATGCGTGAAGGGGAGTTGCTGGATGCTGGGGAAGGGAAGGTGGGCGGGCTGACAACAGGGAATGTGCGCGCGTGGGGAAGGGAATGTGCGCGCGTGGGGAAGGGAATGTGCGCGCGTGGGGAAGGAAGTGTGCCTTCGTGGGGAAGGGAATGTGCGCACGTGGGGAAGGGAATGTGCGCGCATGGGGAAGGGGATGTGCGCGCGTGGGGAAGGGGATGTGCGCGCGTGGGGAGGGGGATGTGCACGCCTCGTGGGGAAGGGGATGTGCGCGCGCTGGGGAAGGGGAATTGCTCGCGGTGGGAAGGGAATGTGCGCGCTCTGGGGAAGGGAATGTTTGCGCGCGGGCGGAGTGCAGTTGCGCGCGCTAGTGAAGGGAACGTGCGCGCGATGGGGAAGGGAACGTGCGCGCGCAGGAGGGGGGCATGTGCGGGCGCTTGGGAGGAGAGTGTTTGGGCGATTGTGATGGGATTGTGCGCGCGATTGAGAAGGGACTCCTCCTGTCCTGGCGCTGCGGAAAGGAATATCCGGGCGCTGCGGAACGGAATGTCTGGGCGCACTGTGTGGGCATGTCTGGGCGTTGGAGAAGGAAGTATGAGGGTGACGCAGACCTGGAATGGCATGGCGACGCGGAGGAATAGGGAGGGCGGCGCGCAGGGACTGTGAGAAGGATGGGAGAAGATTATACCGGCTTATGCGCGCAGAAACGTGGGCTGAGGTCTTGAAAGGTGGAGCTCTACCCTGGTCGACGCGGAGTGTGATTACGCGGCGCGTGTAGGCCTGCACAAACCCTATCTTTTGCTGGCTCTGAAGGCCGTCACTTCCTAGCCATGCGTGAAAGGTGCGGGCTTTTTAGCAATCAGGTTGTTTCTGTGGAGTGGAGATGCCACATTTGCTGCGCCAGGATGTGGGCTATAGCCTAATATTCCGGAAACTAACCCTACAACCAACGGGTCCCTTCCCGTTGCGGAGTCGTAAAAGAGCTGGCGCTATCAATGTGTTGACTAAGATGGCAAGGGACTTAGGATATGGCGTATTAGCTTCTAATCGCAGCTCGATTGAGCGTTCGAAGTCCCAAGTTGTTCCCCGCTGAATTCAGGCTTCCTGCTTTTGGTGCATGTGCGATTGTTTCAGGTGAGTGCGAGGGTCGCTGCTACAGTTGTTTGATTGTTGTGCGATAGCTTCTGGTGGTTTCGGGTGTCGCGCCAACAGTGATTTCGGTTGACGAACTTTCGAAAACAGGCAGGGCCTAGTGATTCAGTGGGACTGAGCTGCAACAGGGTAACACCCTTTCGAAGTTAGGAAGCTTGAGGCACTTTGGGGCTGTTTGGGACTCCGGTTTTAAACAAAACCTGGGCACTTGGCAAAAAAACGCTCACACTAGACTTCGAAGCTAGTGTTACGTGGAAACACATGCGCGCCACGCCATCCAACTAGCTGACACATCAGATACGGTACAGTAGTTGCAAACATAAAAACCCGCTATGGTAACCTGATAGAACAATAGCTATAGGTAAAAAAAATCCATTATAAGTTCGAGTACTGCATGCTGCTGACTGGACAAAGCCACGTCACCAGCAGCGACACTCCAGAAGCGAAGGGGAGTGTTGGGAACAAACAATCTTAAAGCGCCTCTGTCGTGTCAAAACACCAAGGCACAAGCGAAGCAGAGCATATCGAGGCACCAGCGAGTCAACCCTCGGAGGTTGAAGTAACCGCTGGAGGTTACGCGAAAGTCAAAGGTCAGCGACCTTTGACTTGACAAATGCAGCGCGACAGCAAGGACACACAACTGACTCGACATTGAGCAGTTGCCCGAGTCGCACTGTATCGAACCGCAACAGTAAAACAGTTTAATTATATCTCTTCGTATTCTTTGTACTCTTATATAAACCTTTGTACTTGCTTGTTTTAATCAACTTACTTTGCCCTCACATACCAGCGCAAGGTGGTTCAAGGACTTCATTTAAACGCTTCCGCTACTACATCACTCTACCCAGAGTTTAACCCTACCAAAGATCCTAAGGGGCACTCAGCCCAACAGGGATTATGGGCGAGATTTGGAGCTACGTTTATGAGCAGCAGAGCGTATGGTCGGGTATTATAGTGTAGCTTAGCACAAGCTTAGAGTTGTTATGGATCACACACCAGTCTGTGTGACTAGGTGGAGGGGCAAGGGCTCTTGATTTCAGCTGCAAGGTTAAGGGGAGATTCATGATTATCTGGTCTACTGAGTACGTCGACTAGGTGTACGGTAGTGCTGTAATCCTGAATCATATTTGTTAAACAACTAGACATATACTTCTTACACTACCTTCTATCCTCCACTCAAAACTCAGCAATACAGGAATCTTCAAGACAGTCGGCAGCTCAAATCCACCAGCAAAATTCCAAAATCCGCAGTCTCTTTTCCTTCGGGCCGAATAATCAGGAGACACATAGCCTTACTGTATCTTTGAGCCCTTGGCCTCAGTCCATTGCTTGACTTCAATCAGAAAAATCGTGCCAATCTCTGGGCACCATCCAGGCCTGCAGCGAATCTGCACCAACATCCTCCTTTGCGTCAATCTGTTGCTTGGTTTCTTCTCGCTAGCCGACTCATAATCATACCCTATCTTTGAGCAGCATCCAGCCCTGCAGCAGAATCTGCACCGCCATCCAGCTTCGTCTCAATCCGTTGCTTTACTTCTCCTCCTCCCAACCCTGATTCCCCTCTCCCTTCACGAGCACCATCAGCAGCACCGCCAGCAGAACCAGAACCACCAGCACCGGCACCAGCAGCACCAACACCACCAGCCGCAGCAGCAGTGTCAGCCACATCAGCAAGAGCAGCCGCAGCAGCATCGGCGTCATTTAAAGCAGCTTCATCCAAAGCAACATCGTCCCCTGCTTCGTCTACCTCTACGTTTACCCCTGCTGCTGCTGCTCCATCAGTCACCTTTTTTATCGCACTGCCACGGCCACCACCAGCTGCAGCATCAGCCCCGGTACCACCAGCAGCAACATCAGCAGCGCCGCCACCAGAAGCAGCACCAGCAGCAACATCAGCAGCACCGCCACCAGAAGCAGCACCAGCAGCACCAGCAGGGACAAAGTCAGTGTGACGAGGAGTGATCTTGAGCGGGTGTGCCTCAGTGTTAATCACCCACTTGTCCAGATTCAATGTATCGTCCGGTGAGAATAGCAGGTAGAGGTACTTGAGCGTCTCTGCTAAAAAGAAGCTCTGCTGCATGTTGTCCTGCGGAGGAGGGTTTCTCCCCGCCTGCAGTGGAGAGGGGTGGGGCGAGGTGGAGTAGGGTGAGGAGGGGTGGAGAAGGGTGGAGGGTGGGGGAAATGAGACATCTGCTAAGGGGAAAAGAGCAGGTAGAAGTACTTGAGCGTCTCTGCCACGAAGAAGCTCTGCTGCGTGTAGTCCTGCTGAGGGAGGTCCCTCCCCGCCTGGTAGAGAGGTGGAAAGGGGTGGAGATGGGTGACGTGGGGTGAAGCGGGTCGGAGTGCGGTGATGAGGGGTGAGGAGAGGTGGAAGGTGGGGGAAATAAGACATTTGGTATTTTAGCATGGCGAGCCGAGAAGAGCAGGTGGAGGCACTTAACCAGGCCTCCTTAACCCCCTAAATACACCCTTTATAAGCTCAAATGCCCAACCCACTACAAACAACTACACACGCAAATCTTCCAGCGCAAGACCCGGCCTCCACACGGCAGTGCCTCTCAAACGCCTGCCAGATCTTCCACCCCTCCTATCCAAGCCCCCGTAACCACTGCATGTACTCTTTATAAGCTCCAATGCCCGAGAGTGACTCAGTGACCACCTACTATAAAGGAACCGAGCACTCACATCCTCGAGCCCCACGTATCCAGCCTCCATGCGTCAGTGCTTCTCGAACACCTGCAAGGTCTGCCACCTCTCCTAACCACAAGCCATCTGAACCCCTATACCCCTCTATAAGCTCTGTTGCCTGAGAGGGGCCCACTACTATAAAGGAACCGAGCACTCACATCCTCAAGCCCCACGTATCCAGCCTCCATGCGTCAGTGCTTCTCGAACGCCTGCCTGCCAGATCTTCCACCCCTCCCAGCCACCAAGCCTATTGGACCTCCATACCCTTTACAAGCTCTGATGCCTGAGAGGGACCCGCTATGAACAAACCAAGCACTCACATCCTCGAGCCCCACGTATCCAGCCTCCATGCGTCAGTGCTACTTGAACGCCTGCCTCATAACGTCAGGCGTGAGGCGTCCTTCACGCCTGCCAGATCTTCCACCCCTCATAACCACGCCGCCTGAACCCTCCTGAACCTCTTTACAACCTTACATGCCCAAGCGTGACCCAAGCCTCCTGAACCCTTCCCAAGAGATAAGCACTCACATCTTCTAAGCCCACGTAGCCTGCTTCCACGCGGCAGTGCTTCTCAAACGCCTGCCAGATCCTCCACCCTTCCTAACCAAGCCCCCTGTATCCCTATACCCTTTATAAGCTCCAATGACTCTAAGTGAATAAGCACTCACATCCTCGAGGCCGACATAGCCTGCCTCCACGCGGCAGTGCTTCTCAAACGCCTGCCAGATCTTCCACCCCCACTCGCGGTACACGGGGTCCTTGGTGGCCCGCCACGAGTACCAGATCGCCTCCACTGCCTCTGGCCTCAAGATGTTGTACACTCGGCCTTGCAGATGGGGTCCCTGTCGGGAACAAACACAGGGAGGGGGACAGAGACGGGGGCGGGGAGCGGTACACGGGGTGCTTGGTGGCCCGCCACGAGTACCAGATCGCCTCCACTGCCTCTGGTCGCAAGATGTTGTACACGCAGCCTTGCAGATGGGGCCCCTGTGGGAAAAGCACAATCCGGTAAACATAAAAAACGAAAACAACAACTACATGGGGTCCTTATCAGCAAAAAACGAAAGCAAATCGAGCAAAAAAAGGGCTCTTGGGTCCTTGGGAGCAGCAAGGGGAAGCTCCCAATGCTCCACCCCCAGTCGCACTACATGGGGTCCTTATCAGGCCTCCACTGCCTATCTAACCACAACAATATTTGCTCACATCAGAGTGGAAGTTGTAGTCCTCGCCAGCCAGCTTGGACGGAGTGCTGTTGTAGAACTCGTAGCACGTTCGCGTTAGCTGCTCTCACGAACACATACAAACACACACACATGCACAAGCACATGCACAAGCACATGCACAAGCACATGGATGCATACATACAGAAAAAAAAAAAAAAAGGTATGAGGAAGGCACAAAACGATAAGAAAAAAATAGACCAAAATGAGATGCAAGAAGACATAAGAATTTAAAACCTGAACCATATAAACAATTCAGATAAATTGATCGGCTCTGTTATTTTACCTTCTCCACCCTCGAACCCCACATCCCAAGCTCACCCCACTCTCCACCTCACCATTATTCCAGCAGCCTACACTCAACCACACCGATAGTGTGATGACGGCGTACATCTAATTTCGGGTTTTGCACTGTGCGCCGCACCACTCCCATTTGTCCAGCAGCCTACACTCAACCACACAGAACTGCACCGCCAGTTTCCCTCCCTTTATCAACGACTAGTTACTTGCCTGTAACTAGTTACTTGATAGCGTACTTGATAGTTACTTGCCTGTAACTAGTTACTTGATAGCGTACTTGATAGCGTACTTGATAGCGTACTTGATAGCGTACTTGATAGCGTACTTGATAGTTACTTGCCTGTAACTAGTTACTTGATAGCGTACTTGATAGTTACTTGCCTGTAACTAGTTACTTGATAGCGTACTTGATAGCGTACTTGATAGCGTACTTGATAGTTACTTGCCTGTAACTAGTTACTTGATAGCGTACTTGATAGTTACTTGCCTGTAACTAGTTACTTGATAGCGTACTTGATAGCGTACTTGATAGTTACTTGCCTGTAACTAGTTACTTGATAGCGTACTTGATAGCGTACTGGATAGGTACTTGCCTAGTACGCTATCAAGTAACTGGGGGTCGCCTGTCTGCACCGCCCGTTTCCCTCCCTATATAAGCCACCCCAGCATCGTTATAAGCTCACCTCTTTAGCCAAGTCCAGGTACTTGGCCGCATCCGCAGGCGACGCCTCCGGCATACCCAGTATAAGCATCCCCGGTACAAAGCACGTGAGGTGCTCCATCTTGCGAATGAGCCCCCCTCCCTCCATCTCAGGCACATAGGAGTACCCCTTGTGCCCCCCCTGGTCTGGCGTGCGCTGCACCAATCTGGAAAACATTCCATTTATAGACTTCTCCCACATGTCTCTGTGAGGGGGTGAGTGGAAGGGAGGAGTGGGGGCGAACGATTAGGTTGGCCAGCTCTGTATGTTGCGCACCATACAAATTTGGAAAGACATTCCATTTATGGACTTCTCCCATATGTCTCTGTAAGGGGGTGCATGGAAGAGAGGAGTGGGGCCAAGAGAATCAGGTCAGCCTGCTCTGTCCGCTATGGGAAGCTGCAGGGTGTTTTTGAGAATTCTCAAAAACACCATGAGGAAGGGGGGGGTGCATGGAAGGGAGGAGTGGAACCGAGAGAATCTGGTCAGCCAGCTCTGTCCGCTATGGGATGCATGCACCAATTTGGAAAACAGACGATTTTTGAGTCGACTAAAGAATTGTCTGCAGGGTATTTTTGAAAAATTTCAAAAATACCCTGGGATGGGATGGGATGCACCAATTTCGAGCACCTCCCGGTACAGATGGAAAACAGATGGAATAAGGTGAAAAGAAGAAGAGGGAAGAACAATGGGAGGCGAATCGCCTGCTCCATCCATCCACCCACCCGGGAGTTAGATTAAACTCAAGACCATCCCAGCGCCCCCATCAAGACCATCCCAGCGCCCCCATCAAGACCACCACCACAACTCCCCATCAAGAGGTTCACAATGGCTTCTCACCTGTACTTCTTCCCACTCACCTGTACTTCTTCCCACTCACTGCTGTTCATCAAGTCACTGTTTCTTCCCACTCACCTGTACTTCTTGACAACTGGCGTCTTGCCCCCGTGCACCCACATCTTGATCTTTGAGATGCCTCAACGCGCGTTCACACTGCTCTCCCACCCTCCCAAGTCACGCTTCCCACTCACCTGTACTTCTTGACGACTGGCGTCTTGCCCCCGTGCACCCACATCTTGATCAGATACTCGTAGAAACTGATGAGAGAGAAGAGGAAAGAAGGGTGGGGAAGAATGGACAAGGATGGGACAAGGGACTCAGTCTTGCCTCCGTGCACCCACAACTTGATCAGATACTCGTAGAAGCTGATGAGAGAGAAGAGGAAAGAAGGGTGGGGAAGAAGGACGAGGGGGGGACACGGGACTCAGTCTTGCCCCCATGCAAGCACAACTTGATCAGATACTCGTAGAAACTGGGAGGAGGGCAGGGAAGAGGGCAGGGAAGAGGGCAGGGAAGAGTGCAGGGAAGAGGGCAGGGAAGAGGGCAGGGAAGAGGGCAGGGAAGAGGGCAGGGAAGAGGGCAGGGAAGAGGGCAGGGAAGAGGGCAGGGAAGAGGGCAGGGAAGAGGGCAGGGAAGAGGGCAGGGAAGAGGGCAGGGAAGAGGGCAGGGAAGAGGGTGGGGAAGAGGGCAGGGAAGAGGGCAGGGAAGAGGGCAGGGAAGAGGGTGGGGAAGAGGGCAGGGAAGAGGGCAGGGAAGAGGGCAGGGAAGAGGGCAGGGAAGAGGGTAGGGAAGAGGGCAGGGAAGAGGGCAGGGAAGAGGGCAGGGAAGAGGGCAGGGAAGAGGGCAGGGAAGAGGGCAGGGAAGAGGGCAGGGAAGAGGGTGGGGAAGAGGGCTCACCTGTCCCCCATGGACCCAAACGTGATGTGGCTGCTGGTGGGCTCCCTGCTGTCAATACTGATGAACATGGGCACGAGGCCGTGACAGGTACTCGGAGGCCAGTCCAGGCTAGTCCAGGCCAGGCCAGGGCATGGCGGTTACATGGGGTTATGCCAGATGCACGAAGCTACAGCAACTCATGCTCCCATGGACCCGAACGTGATGTGGCTGCTGGTGGGCTCCCCGCTGTCAATGGTGATGAACATGGGCACCAGACCGTGGCAGACAGGTGCTCTAGCCTCCGGGGCAGGCATGCTTTGACCCAGGCGAAAGAGGCAGTGGAAGGTGAATGAGGCCATGACATGCCAGATGCACGAGGCTCACCTGTCGCCCATGGATCCGAAGGTGATGTGGCTACTGGTGGGCTCCCCGCTGTCGATGCTGATGAACATGGGCACGAGACCGCCTATGTGCCTGATACTCAAGGGGACAGCACCACGCACTCCAGCAGCTCACCTGTCGCCCATGGACCCGAAGGTGATGTGACTGCTCGTGGGCTCTCCACTGTCAATACTGATGAACATGGGCACCAGGCCATCCTCTGGGAAGATCTTTTCAATCTGCTGAATCACATTCTCCGCCTGTGGAGGGGAGTGAGGGAGGGAAGGGAACGGGGGTTTGCAATGGGGAGAGAGGAGGAGCAGCAACATAGGCACGAGACCGTCCTCTGGGAAGATCTTTTCAATCTGCTGAATCACATTCTCCGCCTGTGGAGGGAGGAAGGTGGGGAGGGGGAATGAGAGGAGCAACATGTGCATGAGACCATCCTCTGGAAATATTTTCTCAATCTACTTGATCACATTCTCTACCTGTGGCGGGCGGTGATTGTATTCTCTGAAGAAGGGGTGTGCGGTGGGAGGGTGGGAGTGGGAGGAGGGGCAACATAGGTACGAGACCATCCTCTGGAAAGATATTTTCAATCCGGCCTTATTACATGATTAGGGAGCGAGTTGCTGACCTTGATTGCGTATTTGGGGTTGCCTGTCCGCTGAGAGAGAGTCACAAACTCCAACTGCAGCGTGTTGATACCATCTCTTAGGCGCTTCAAAGCTCATTCTCCAAGTAACCAGGTTACCACCACACCACTCACCTTGATAGCGTATTTGGGGTCGCCTGTCCGCTGAGAGAGAGTCACAAACTCCAGCTGGAATGTGTGTCGGTATTGATTATCAGGCGCCTCAGAGCTCGTCAATATTCCCAGGTTACCAGGTTACCAGGTTACATAGCCACTGAACTGACCTTGATTGCGTATTTGGGGTCGCCTGTCCGCTGAGAGAGAGTCACAAACTCCAGCTGGAGCGTGCCGAGATCCGCCAGCACTGCCGATCCCTGTGGTGATGGGAGAAGTAGAGGTTGGCATTGAGTGCACAAGACACACACACACACAATCACATGCACAAACACACACACAAACTCCAGCTGGAGCGTGCCGAGATCCGCCAGCACTGCCGATCCCTGTGGTGATGGGAGAAGTAGAGGTTGGCATTGAGCGCACAAGACACACACACACACGCACACAATCACATGCACAAACACACACACAAACTCCAGCTGGAGCGTGCCGAGATCCACTAGCACTGCCGATCCCTGTGGTGATGGGAGGAAGGGTTTAAGACGAGATGGACAACCAAAACCAGGTGACGTGCATAGAAGTGGAGTGCTTCTTCTAGATCCGAAGGAACACACGTGGACATCGAGAGAAGCTACAGCTTACCCCAGTCCAGCCAGGCGCGTTCCCTCCTCCAGAGGCCAGATCGACATAGGCAAAGGGAATCCCAGTGGGGGTGTTGAATGCTGGTAGCAGCCGATCTCCAAAGAATGCAAGCAAGGAAGACATGAAGGACGGGAAGCAGCTTACCCCGGTCCAGCCAGGCGCGTTCCCTCCTCCAGAGGCCAGATCGACATAGGCAAATGGGATGCCAGTAGGGGTGTTGAATGCGGGCAGGAGTCGGTCTCCCAGCTCCCTGGCCTTCTCCAAGAATACTTTCTCGCCGGACAGGTCGTACGCTGCTAGCAGCCCGCCCAGCATTCTGTGGGGATTGGGGGAGCACCAACAATGGGTCGGGTGAACATTGGTCTCCTACCTCCCTCGCCTTGTCTAAGAAGACCTTTTCCCCCGACAGGTCGTATGCCGCAAGCAGCCCGCCCAGCATTCTGTAGGGATTGGGGGAACACTAACAATGGGTCGGGTGAACATTGGTCTCCTACCTCCCTCGCCTTGTCTAAGAAGACCTTTTCCCCCGACAGGTCGTATGCCGCAAGCAGCCCGCCCAGCATTCTGTAGGGATTGGGGGAACACTAACAATGGGTCGGGTGAACATTGGTCTCCTACCTCCCTCGCCTTGTCTAAGAAGACCTTCTCCCCCGACAGGTCGTATGCCGCAAGCAGCCCGCCCAGCATTCTGCAGGGGATGCGGGGAAGCGGGGAGACGGAAGTGGGCCAGAAGGGACGGAGAGTTAGACTGGTCCCCCAGCTCCCTCGGCTTGTCCAAGAAGGCCTTTTCTTTTCCCCTGACAGGTCGTACGCTGCTAGCAGCCCGCCCAGAATCCTGTCGGGATTGGGGGAACAGCAACAGTGAGTCGGGTGAAAAGTGGTCCCCCAGCTCCCTCGCCTTCTCCAAGAAGACCTTTCTTTTCCCTGTGACAGGTCGTACGCTGCTGGCAGCCCGCCCAGCAAACTGTGAGGATCGGGGGGACAGGGGAGAAGTGGTCACAGGAGGGATGGGGGAAATGACAAAGAAGGAAAACGAGGAAAGCCGGAAAGGGCAGCGAGAAAGGTCGTATGCTGCTGGAAAAAAAGAAAAGAAAAGGGAAACGGTGGGAAGAAATACAGGAGATAAGGGGGAGTGGACGAGGCTGGTAAAGGGATGCAGAAAAAGGAGCAGCCAAATTGTGGTTAAGGGAGGGTGCGCATTGCATTGCATACCGGATGGTTGTTTCAAAGACGCTGACGCTGGAGTGCCGGTTGAAATTGAGGGACTCGCCCACCCACCTACAGCAACAGAGGCGCACACACAACACACACACAGATCAGGAGGGAGAAGTCAACTCACGCCAGCTAGAGGCTTCAGAAAAGCAACGTAGGCAGGAAACGATTTAGGAGTTGGGGATTTGGGTTCAAGCTTGCTTTGCATTTCTGAACTCGTCTATGAGCCCCATCAGGAGGAGCATGTCACAGCCATGCCACACCATCTCGCCGACCATCTCGCCCCAGCTATGTCACACCCATACACCTGGAGCCTGACCTGACTGTCCTACTGATATAGTTAACCCACGATCGACCTGCTCTGAATCCCTCAAAGTTGTTCCACGAGGTCTTGCTGTCCCCGGCAGCACTGCTTCAGCACCAAAGTTCCTGCCCCGACGTGCCCCACTACCAATGAGCATCCCCTTGGCCGGCCTAACCCCGAAACCCTGTGAGCGTGTCCAGCGGGTCGACAACGGCCGCTTCCAGCACTGCCACAGCAGCACATGCCCAACACATCAACCTACCCTGCAGCCTGTGAACCTACTTTTGAGCGTCTCTGAACTCGTCCTTGAGCCCCATGAGTTGGAGCGTGTCCAGCGAATCCACGATCGTCACTTTTCAGCCCTGCTACAGCAGCGCATAGACCCTCCACTCCACCGACATGCCTCACACACCAATCTGCCCTGCCCCATCCTGCCCAACATAAACATACATACAGCTGCCATGTGCACGAACTTTTGCGCGTCTCTGAACTCGTCCTTGAGCCCCATCCAGTGAGTCAATGATGGTCGCCCCCCAGCACATGCTCAACCCAGCACATGCTCAACCCAGCACATCAGCCTACCCTACAACCTGTGAACGCACTTCTGAGCGTCTCTGAACTCGTCCTTGAGCCCCATGAGGAGGAGCATGTCCAGCGAGTCAACGATCGTTGCTTGCTTCCAGCACTGCTACAGGAACATCACATGGTCACGCCCTCTAACCATAGACCAGCTTACTTTTGCGCGTCTCTGAACTCGTCCTTGAGCCCCATGAGGAAGAGCGAGTCCAGCGAGTCAACGATGGTCGCTCCCCAGCAATGCTAGCTACAGCAAAAACCTAAACCCGCCAACCTGCCCCACATAACCAACGTACTTTTGCGCGTCTCTGAAACTCGTCCTTGAGCCCCATGAGGAAGAGCGAGTCCAGCGAGTCAACGATGGTCGCCTCGCCCGCCAGCACTGCTACAGCACAACATGGCCCCATATGGGCATGAGGGCCTCAACAACCTGCCCTGCACAACTTACGGCTGGCCTGTGAACGTACTTTTGCGCATCTCTAAACTCGTCCTTAAGCCCCATGAGAAACAGAGTGTCCAGCCAGCATTGCTACAATAGAAAAAAAAAAACCTAAACCCGCCAATTTGCCCTGCAAGAGACAGTATATGGCTGGCCCGTGAACGTACTTTTGCGCATCTCTGAACTCGTCCTTCAGTCCCATGAGAAACAGAGTGTCCAGTGAGTCCACGATCGTCGCCCCCATGCCTCCGAAGTTGTTGGACGGGGTCTTACTGCGAGGCTGGCAGGAAAAACGGGGAGGATGAGAGCATGGTGGGGTTTTGGAAACAAGTCGGTGGGAAACGAGTCAATGATCGTTGCTCCCATGCCTCCAAAGTTGTTGGACGGGGTCTTACTGCGAGGCTGGTGGGTGGGGGAAGGACGGGTGGAGCGTGGAGGGGAGATGGGAGCAAGACGAGTGGAATACGAGCAAATATTTCAGTCTCATGAGGAAGAGCGTGTCCAGCGAGTCAACAATCGTTGCTCCCATGCCTCCAAAGTTGTTCGACGGGGTCTTACTGCGCGGCTGGCAGGTGTGAAGGGTGGGTGGAGAGTGGATGGAGGGTGGGGAGCAAGACGAACGGCGTGTGAGGAGAGGGAATGAGCAGGTGGAAAACGAATCAACCCCATGCCTCCAAAGTTGTTGGGCGGGGCCTTACTGTGTGGCTGGTGGAAAATGGGGGGAGGATGAGAGGGTGGTGTGGTGGGGTGCAATTTTGTACCTCTCTCTCCATGCATGCAACAACTTTTGAGGCACATCAAAATGCGTACTTTTTGTACCTCACTCTCCATGCATGCAACATCCCCTGTTTGATCAGCTTTTAAGGCGACACGTGTTGAGCCCACCCGAAATTACCCACAGGCACCTCGCCTTCATACCTGGAATCCCCTTCTCACCTGGAGTTTCCTTCTCAAGCAGCGTTCCTACTCACCTGGAGCTCATCAGACCCCCACGCGTACTTCTTGTACCCCCTCCACGCATGCAGCATCCCCTGCTTGATCGCCTCTCAAGGTGGCTTTTCGGTCGAACCAAACCACACCCTGCAAGCACTTCGCCTCCCCAGCTATAATCCCCTTCTCACCTGGAGCTCATCAGACCCCCACGCGTACTTCTTGTACCCCCTCCACGCATGCAGCATCCCCTGCTTGATCGACTCTCTCCTCCTCTCTGTCTCATCCTGCCCTCTCAACAACACCCCCTGCCCCTGCCTCTGCCCCTGCCCCTGTCCCTGCGTCTGTTTCTCTGCCGCTCGTTGCTCAGCCACCGATACCTCCTTCCTCTGCTCACTCTGCAACTGCTCTCCCCCTGCTTCCGTCACCCCGCCTGCTCTCACTCCTCCTCCCCCCCCTCCGTTTTTGCCACCCCCCGCTACAGCCACATCATCCTCTAAATCCGCATCCTCAAGCGCGTCTGTATCAGCTGCCTTCCCCTCGTTACTGTCACCTTCCCCGCCTCCCAGCCCATCGTCGTCCAGCTTCCCCAGTCTCTGCAGCTCTGACAGCGCCTTCTGTTCCACATCCGCGCTATGAGCATCCCCAGTAACAGGATCCCTTATAATAGCATCCCCAGTATACGCTTGCCCAGCCTGCTCGCCTCCTCTCAGCATCCCCCCTGTAGCACCCGCCTGAACGATCTTTTCTAGAGGAAGGAGCTTTCTCGCTTGCACTTTGCTAGTCGCACGTGCTGCATTTACACTTATCCCACCTCCGCCACCGCCGCCACCACCCCCTCCCCCTCCTACACCGAGAATAAGAGGGTTTTTCTTAACAGACGCGGCTTTGCCTCCTGCCTGGGCGTCAGAAACGCTGCCGGTCAAGCGAGCCTTCTCCAGCTGGGATGGGAGCAAGAGCAAGGGAGGGCACACGCCAGAAACAGCAGGAGGAGACAGGACACGTAGGGAAAGCCAGGAGGCTATGATTTATAAGCCTTTGCTTCCTGCCTGGGCTGCGCATAAGAAACGCTGCCAGTCAGGCGAGCCTGCTGCAGCTGAGATGGGACCAAGAGCAAGGGAGGGCACACGCCAGAAACAGCAGGAGGAGACAAACGCTGGGCTGCGCATAAAAAACGCTGCCAGGCAGGCGAGCCTGCTGCAGCTGAGATCGGATCAGGTCATGTGAACAGGAAACGGCATTGAGAAAGTGCGGTTCACAGCAACGTAACAGCGGCGGAACAGAACACAGAGGATAACACTTCATACCTCAACAACCAGGTGACTCTTCTCGACTTCGAGACTATCCAGCTGCGTCGCGAGTTCCTGCAGAAGACACGGAGCAAAACGAGAGGGCAGTTAATGCTACTGACTGCGGGACCACGTAAGAAGTAAGCTGCCGTGTGAGGATTGAGCTTCGTTTTGAGACTTCTTTTCCCTTCTAGGACCACATGAGGTTTGGACTCGTCGATTAGTTAGCATGAAGGCATAGAGCGGTAAGACTGGTTTGGTTGGTCGGAACCACAAATCGTGGATCCCCGTCGAATAACATTAGCGCGTGCGAGTTTTGAATCACGGATAAGCCAAAATCAGGAAGTAGCCTGAACTTTGACTGGGCAAACGAAGGTTTACAGTGAAACCGCTTGATCTTGCAGATTAAATTTGAATTTCTCAAGTTGAGTCTGTCAATCAAGGGTGGCATGAGCTTGATACTTTCGCATTTTGAGATTACGAAAGAGCATGATTCCGATGTCACGGAAAATCGTCAGACATCATAAAACTCGCAGGAAAAAAGGCAGCCAACCTCAATCCCCTTCGCAACACCCAAGCGACGGCCAGCTTACCTCAATTCCCTTCGCAACTCGCAAGAAACGGCCATCTTGCTTCAATTCCTTTCGCAACTCGCAGGAAACGGCCAGCTTACCTCAATTCCCTTCGCTTACCTCGAGTTCTTTCGCCTGTCGTTGGCGATCCATGACGACAAAGACGATCCCGACGACGAGCAGAGTGAGCAGCCCTAGTCGCCGGGGTCGCCGGATGTAGTACGACGGTCGCAGATACTTGAACCTGCTGGACGACGAACTTGACGAGGGCCTGCGACCCATCGTGCGATATTACGGTAATTCGTCAACAGACGCTCCTTGATCTCAGAAATTCGGGGACTGAGCGGTTCGTGACGCGGAGAATGTCAATGGACGGTGCAGATCAGCGGCGATACGCGAACTTGTTCCTACTTTGAGCACCCTACTAGCTGAAGGGACCTCGCAGCTTCGGCGGACGTAATACACGAACATCCAGACTCGGTCGCCGGGGGACAGAGGTGGCTCAGTCCAATGACAGGTGGTATCAGTCGAACGACAGAGGTACTGAACGCTCGAGGTGTTCAGGAAATTAAAGAGCAACACTCTCCCCGTTGACGAGGAGAGTCACGAGGAAACGCAGCGGAGCGAGTCGAGGAGGTGCCTGGTAACTGATAGAGTTCACTGACATACCCCAGTTCTCCAAGAGCAGAACTGGCCGAGGTTCACATCTCACTTGCAGAAACACTGATGAGATCTGTGTTTTGGTCAGGCTTTGGTGTTGAGGAAATCGAGGATGCGGTTGGGTGGTTGGTTCGTTTGTTCCGCCCTCGAGAATGCCGGAACGGGCAGAAGCACTTGGTTGCCTCACAGGCATTATGTACAGTGCAGCACCGGAATTCGCTGCTTCTGGCAAGGGATGAAACCAGAGCTTGATCGTAAAAAATGTTGTGGATTTGCCCTATGAAAGTTTTCCTTTTGCTTGTACCTACCCGCACCAGCAAGAAGCTTTCTGGTTACCAAGTTTTGGCGGGATTGTCAGACCAGAGTGATTCTTGCCTTGCGAAGAGGTTTGGCGCGAAAACATATCAACTCGTCAGGGCAGACAGGGGCACCCACAGCCATAGCAGTGTGGTGGGAGATAGATGTGCCCTTGCCTGAAACAAGACAGCTGGCGAATCGCAGAGTTCCCGGTTACCAGCGAAGCAATTGGTGACGAAAAAACAAATCATCGTGAATTCCAATCTTGATTGTTTTTGGCTGGTCTACTTCAGCTGCTGTTGCTTTCCCGCACATAACATCCATGGCGACCCACTCATGATCCTGCGATGCTGAAGAGGAGCACATTCTCGGCGTTGGAATAATGTTTCTGCGAGTCTGCTGACGACGGCGAAGTAGGACATGTTCGCGACCTCCAATCAATTTTAGGAGTCGAAACCCCTCCTACGGATCCTGCATTTACAAGGCACATTACTATTGACCAGTTCCAAACGTTTCGTACTTTCGCTGGATCCAATAGTTTTCAGTCACCCATTATCATTCCGTCAAATCGTCATTATCGCTGATCTCTCGTCATGGACTCCTCCGGGAATCTCCGTCAACGAAGGAGATCCGAAGCCCAAGGAACCTCGTCAGGCACCCAGCCTGTACCCTCCTCCTCAGAATCCTTGCAGCAACCAGTGAAGAAGCAGCAGAAGAGCCTACTTATTTCCTGGCGAGCCGCATTCTTTTTCCTCCTGATCTCACGGTCAGTAATCGTATTTCAGAATCTAGCATTTCTCGGTTGCTTGGTTACATGTGTACATTTCCCTGAATCCGCATTTCGTCACGCTTTGCTGTTTTAACAGCAGGTCAATAGCGGAGCTTTCAACACCATCCACGACTGCGACGAGGCGTTCAAGTACTGGGAGCCTTTTGTTGCCCCCCCCCCCCCCCCCCCCCTTTTTTTTGTCCGTGTTTTGCTGTTTTAAAATCAGGTCAATCAGCGCAGCGGTCAACATCATCCATGACTGCGACGAGGCGTTCAAGTACTGGAAATCCTCTTTTTCTTAACCCCTTGACTTGTTTTTCTCTCACAAATTGCCAATGTGCAGGTCAATAAGCGCAGCGGTGAACATCATCCACGACTGCGACGAGACTTTCAACTACTGGGAGCCTCTGCACTACCTCCTGCACGAATCCGGGTTCCAGACATGGGAATACAGGTGGGTGCTCCTTCCTTGCTGCTCCCATGTCTTCACAATCTAGGGATTCTCTAGGAATTCTCTTGAGAGACGTTCAACTACTGGGAGCCTCTGCACTACCTCCTGCACGAATTCGGGTTCCAGACATGGGAATACAGGTGGGTGCTCCTTCCTTGCTGCTCCCATGTCTTCACAATCTAGGGATTCTCTAGGAATTCTCTTGAGAGACGTTCAGCTACTGGGAGCCTCTGCACTACCTCCTGCACGAGTCCGGGTTCCAGACATGGGAATACAGGTGCAGTACTCTTTCACGCTCTTTGCCCTTGTTGCAACATACACCCTCAAAAACCACATGCTTTCTGACCTCTGCTCCATTGTCTTTCCCCTTCTCCTTATTATCCTATCCCAACAGTTCTGCGTTCACCCTTCGCTCCTACCTTTACCTCTTTCATCACGCCCTTGCTGCCGTGTCAGTCACACTACACCTCAGCAGTCACTGCAGGCGCCTTTGAAACCTTTCCATTTCTGTCTCTCTTTTCCCTCTCTCTCTCTCCTCGCTATCCTATTGACCCAACAGCTCTGCATTCGCCCTTCGCTCCTACCTCTACCTCTTCTTTCACGCCCTCATCGCCCTGCCAGTCACTCTCTTTTTTGGCAACGGTACGGGTAAGGTGAGCAAAGAACCCTGATAGCTGCTATTAGGGTGAGGGAGGTAAGGGACCAGATGGGTGTAAGCTGAGCTAAGAGCGCTGATAAGTGGCAACTTATGCCCTACATCAAGCAATGTGATACCTGATTTATAATTTCTTGTGCTTGGGTTCGCTTTTGAACACCTGTATAAGCCGTTGCCTTTCATTTGCTTCGTTTCTGACGGCAGGTTGCCCCCCTCATCCACGTTCTCACCTCCCCGTCATCCTTCTCTTCTCAATCCCTACCCTCATCCCTGTTCCTACCATCCCCACCTTAGTTAACGCCTTCTACACTGTCCGCCTGGCCCTGGCTGTTCCCTCTGCCGCATCAGAGGCATCTCTGCTCGTGGCCGTGGCTGCTGCCCTTCACAAGGCCACTCAGGCCCCTTCCTTACCCTCCTTCCTCCCCATAACCTCCCTTCCTACCTTCCCCACCTCAGTTAACGCCTTCTATGCTGTTCGCCTGGCCCTGGCTGTTCTCTCTGCCGCTTCAGAGGCATCTCTGCCCGTGGCTGTTACTGCTGCCCTTCACAAGCCCACTCAGGCTTCTGTTCTCTCCTCCTGCCCCCTTCCCGTCACTCCTTTGTACCCTTCCCCATCGCAGGCTAACGCCTTCTACACTGTCCGCCTGGCCCTGGCTGTTCTCTCTGCTGCCTCAGAGGCATCTCTGCTCGTAGCCGTTGCAACAGCCCTTCACAAGGCCACCAGTGCTGGCAGTGCCAGTAGCAGCAGCAGTGGAACGAGGGAAGATAAGGAGAAAGGGAAGGAGGAGGAGAAGGAGAAGGCGAAGCGAGAGAGGGCGGTCCCAGCAGGGATTGGGGAGCGAGTGGGTGTGTGCGGGTTGCTGCTCCTCTGCTTCTGCTCTGGCAACTTTCTCGCCTCCACAAGTGAGTGATGCTTCTTTCTCAGCACTCACGTGTGGAGTGCTGAGGGTGTTCACCTCTCAACTCCTGCTGCTCCTCTGCTTCTGCTCTGGCAACTTTCTCGCATCCACAAGTGATTGTGGTTATGACTTATATTCGCTCGCTCCCTCCTGTCACACTCACCCCTTGACTCCTGCTGCTCCTCTGCTTCTGCTTTGGAAACATTCTCGTGTCCACAAGTGAGTGGTGGTTACAACCTTTACTCGCTAGCTCCCCCCTATCAAGCACTTTCCCCCTCCCCCTCCATTAATCCATGTTCTTCTGCAGCACCTTCAGCGTGTACACAATTGCCTGAGCCAGGTTTAGTAATTCTATACAGAGTCTCTTCCCGTACGTGCCTGCCTGCCCTCACCCACTCCCCTCGCCTTTATGCAGCCATCCTCCCCGGCACTTTCAGCATGCATGCAATCACCTCGGCCACGTCCCTTGATATGACACACATAGCCTGTCTCCCCTTCTCCTATTCCGTCCTCCTCCTTTCCCAGCCTTCCTCCCCAGCACTTTCAGTATGTATGCAATCACGTGGGCCACGTCTCTGACCATCCAACGCCGACCCGCAGCAGCAACAGCGGCAGCAGCAGCAGCAGCGCGCTCAACGCACATGTATCCCCTCATTTTGTGCAACACTTTTTCCCTTCCCCAGCCTTCCTCCCCAGCACCTTCAGCATGTATGCAATCACGTGGGCCACGTCTCTGACCATCCAAGGCCGCCTCGCAGCAGCAACAGCGGCAGCAGCAGCAGGCGTGCTGCTGGGGTGGCCCTTTGCAGGCCTGGCAGCCCTGCCGCTGGTGCTGCACGGGATGATCACTGGTGGTTTTGTGAAGGTCGTTGCATCCGGTGCAATCACCACTGTACTCGTCTCAGTAAGTGGGTTCGAGATCATTGCTTCTGATGCTGCTGGGGTGGCCCTTTGCGGGCCTGGCAGCCCTGCCGCTGGTGCTGCACGGGATGATCACTGGTGGTTTTGTGAAGGTCGTTGCATCCGGTGCAATCACCACTGTACTCGTCTCAGTAAGTGGGTTCGAGATCATTGCTTCTGATGCTGCTGGGGTGGCCCTTTGCGGGCCTGGCAGCCCTGCCGCTGGTGCTGCACGGGATGATCACTGGTGGTTTTGTGAAGGTCGTTGCATCCGGTGCAATCACCACTGTACTCGTCTCAGTAAGTGGGTTCGAGATCATTGCTTCTGGTGCTGCTGGGGTGGCCCTTTGCGGGCCTGGCAGCCCTGCCGCTGGTGCTGCACGGGATGATCACTGGAGCCTTTGTGAAGGTGGTCGTGTCTGGTGCTCTCACCACTCTTCTCGTCTTAGTAAGTGGGTACCGGCTGATCGAGTGAGTGACAAAACAGGCACCCACACAGCAGCAGCAGTGGCGGCAGCAGCAGCAGGCGTGCTGCTTGGGTGGCAGCCTTGCCTCTGGTGCTGCACCGAATGATTTGTGGTGGATTTGTGATGGTCGTTGTCTCTGGTGCTCTCACCACTCTCCTCGTCTCAGTCAGTGGGTACCGGCTGATTGAGTGAGCCATTGGCCAGTACTGTACTCCTATCAGAGTAGCAGCTTTTGAGATAATAATAATAATAATAATAATAATAATAATAAAAACGACTCAGATATGGCCAGTGCTGTACTCCTACAAGAGCAGCAGCAGGCGCGGAGGGGCCACTCTTCTACCTCCGCAGTGGCCTCAACACTCGCCCTCCCCCTCGCACTCATTGTCCCTCCCTCTCCCCTTCACTCCCTCCCTCCCTCCCTCCCGCCCTCCCTCCCGCCCTCCCTCCCGCCCTCCCTCCCTCCCTCCCTCCCTCCCTCCCTCCCTCCCTCCCTCCCTCCCTCCCTCCCTCCCTCCCTCTCTCCCTCCCTGCCCCCTTCCCCCTGCTCCTGTCCAGGCCCTCTCTCTGTGTTTCGATCGCCTGTACTACGGCCCGTGGACCTCCTCTGTATTCAACCTAATCCGCTATAACGTGTTTGGAGGGGGGGACGGTGTGGACTCGGCGGCACTCTACCTCCGCAACGGCCTCAACAACTTCTCCCTCGCCCTCCCCCTTGCGCTCATCCTCCCTCTGCTGCTGCCTCCCTCCCTCCCCTCCCCCAACTCACTCCCCCCCTCCCTCCCTCCACTCTCTCCTCTTGTACCCATCCAGGCCCTCTCTCTGTGTTTCGATCGCCTGTACTACGGCCAGTGGACCTCCTCTGTGTTCAACCTAATCCGCTACAACGTGTTTGGAGGGGGGGACGGTGCGGGCAGCACGCTGTACGGAGTGGAGGAGCCACTCTTCTACCTCCGCAACGGCCTCAACAACTTCACCCTCGCCCTCCCCCTCGTGCTGCTCCCTCCCTCCCTCCACTCCCTCCCCCTGTCCTCCAGGCCCTCTCTGTGTGTTGTGACTGCCTGTACTACGGTCAATGGACCTTCTCCATTCTCAACCTAGTGCATTACAACGTGCTGGGAGGGGGGGACGGAGCCGGCAGCAGGAGCAGCAGCACGCTGTACGGAGTGGAGGGGCGGCTCTTCTACCTCCGCAACGGCCTCAACAACTTCACCCTCGCCCTCCCCCTCGCCCTCCCCCTTTGTGCTGCCCGCTCCCTCTCTCTCTCCCTCCTCTCTCCCTCTTTGTCCCCATGCAGGCACTCTCTCTGTGTTTCGATCGCCAGTGGACCTCCTCAGAGAGAGAGAGCACAGAGGAGGTCCACTCTCTCTGTATTATGGCCAGTGGACCTCCTCTGTGCTCAACCTCGTGCGGTACAATGTGTTTGGAGGAGGAGACGTTGCGGGGAGCACGCTGTATGGAGTGGAAAGCCCCCTCTTCTACCTCCGCAACGCTCTCAACAACTCTCCCTCGCCCTCCCCCTCGTGCTGCTCCCTCCACTCCCTCCCTCCCTCTACCTGTCCAGGGCCTTTCCCTGTGTTTTGACCGTCTTTATTACGGCCAATGGACCTCCTCTGTGTTCAACCTAATCCGCTACAACGTGTTTGGAGGGGGGGACGGTGCCGGGAGCACTCTGTACGGCGTGGAGGGTCCCCTCTTCTACCTCCGCAACGGCCTCAACAACTTTTCTCTCGCCCTCCCCCTCGCGCTCATCCTCCCGCTGCTGCTGCTGATCGCGTGCTTTGCGTCGTCGCCGTTTCGCCGGCAAGGGAGGGGTGGAAATGGAGGGGTGGAGAGGGGTGGGAAGGGGTTTGTGGGGTGGAAAGAGGTGGTGGCGCTGCTGCTGCTGCCTGTGGTCATCTGGGTTGGATTCATGTCCCTTCAGCCACACAAGGAGGAGCGGTGAGTATTCTAAATGACCGTCCTTTATCCATTTGAGGAACGGTGAGTATTCTCAAGCACGCACTTTGTCAACAGGCACCTACCATCACCCCCATTCTTTACCCCTACCTACCTACCTCCCCTCATCTGCCTGCCTGCATTGAATCTGTACCATCCGTCCTACCTTCCGCCCCCGAATCCCTCCCATGTTCCTCTATCTCATCTACGCACTTTACTCAACGCTGTTTGTGCCACCTTCAACATCCACCCATCGCTAGCCTCCCCCTCCCTCCCGCACATCTCCCTCAGGTTCCTCTACCTACCCCATCTATGTGCTCATCCCTGTCGCTGCTGCCATCACCATCACCATTACCCTCTTCATCATTTCTTCTTCGCACAGATCACCTGGGCCTACTCCCTATCTCCCCGCCCTCCCTTTTTTGTCCTCCCCCACATCCCTCCCAGGTTCCTCTACCCCATCTATGCGCTCATCCCTGTCGCTGCTGCCACCATCACCATCACCATCACCATCACCATCACCCCATACCTTGCCTTGCCTCCCCTCCCTCCCGCACATCTCTCCCAGGTTCCTCTACCCCATCTATGCCCTCATCCCTGTTGCTGATGCCACCACCATCATCCCCTATCCCATTCATTTTCTCCTGCACCACCTGCCCCTACTCCCCTATCATTTCCACCTCCCCTCCCGCACATCTCCCTCAGGTTCCTCTACCCCATCTATGCGCTCATCCCTGTCACTGCTGCCATCGCCATCACCATCATCCCCTACCTCCCTCCCGTCATTGATCCCCCTGCCTCCGCCTTTGCTGATCCTTGTTCTCTACGCCTCTTCTCTACTATCCACACCCCGTAACCCTTCCATACCTCCCTTCCAGGTTCCTCTACCCCATCTACGCTCTCATCCCAGTTGCTGCTGCCATCGCCATCACCATCATCCCCTACCTCATTCCCACGACTCTCCAAGGACCTCCAGACCAACCGTCCCTGCTCTTCTCAGTACGTTCTTCAATCACCACTTGCACCAGCACCAGCAGCACCAGCATCGGCAGCACCACCATCACCATCATCCCCTACCTCATTCCCACAACTCTCGAAGGGCCTCGCGATCAACCGTCCCTTCCTTTCACGGTATGCTAACCTATCACCACTAGCAGCACCAGCAGCACCAGCATCACCAGCATCACCCGCACCACCATCACCACCATCCCCTACCTCCTTCCCACGACTCTCCAAGGGCCTCCAGACTGACCATCCCTCCTCTTCTCGGTACGCTGTTCCGACTGCTGTTGTGTCCCTGCCCATCCCATCCATTCCTCCCTCGTTCTGTTGTGCTGCCTTCATCTCATCATCTCTCTCTCCTACGCTCTCTCCACTGCCCTGCTTCCTTCCTAATGCATGTGTAGCAGATGGGATGATCCCTTCCTCGCCTCGCACTCCGTTCCCATCCTTTCTTACCTTCCCATTCTCTCAAGTCTTCGCCCCCCCTCCTCTGTCCCCCTCCTCTCCCCTTCTTTCCACTCCCAGGCAGCCAAGTGGGTGCGCCCGGACCTTCTCACTCTCATTCTCACCTGTGTTGCAGATGACGTGTCTTGCGTCCTGGACGCAGTGCGTCTAGACGCTGCATCCAGGACGCATAACACATTTTTCTGCCTTTTTAGACGCAGGTACAGACGCAAGCCCGGGCAGGCAAAAAAAAGTTCGGGCAGGCCCAAAAAAACCCCAATGGGGCAGGGGGGGGGGGGGGGGGGGAATGGAGATAGTTCACATTCCAGCCAGATTTTTTCCTGTACCAATATTTTTTCCCATACAAAAATTTCACCAAGTCACATACATCACATCACATGTGGTCAATTACTATTGTCATCAACATGCATGAAGCATACTTAACTACTACTATTATAGCAACGCTATCACTCATCCTCCTCCTCGCCCTCCTCCTGCTCGTCCTCGTGGTCCCACTCATCGTGACACACGTCGTCCTCGTTCACCTCCACCTCCCCATCCTCCTCCAACTTGTACCAATTGGGGAGGGGAAGGTGGGAATGTTCCCCTCCACCACCCCCTCCTTCCTTCCCGTCCCCACACTACGCCCTGCACCAGCAGCACCCTGGTGGAAGTTGTGCACAACAGTCCAGTTGTGCGCAACGTAGACTAGGTCGCGCACCTTCTCCGACCCGAGCCGGTTCCCAAACAGACCAGTTCTGCTCGCACGGGGCGGCGGAAACGGGCTGGGACAGCGGACGACGCGCAACACGCGCCAGGTCGGCATATTCCCAGCCGTTATACTGCCACCACACCTTCACGTCCCCCTTCCCGTCCTGCAGCGCCTTCCGCCCCTTTATTGTGGTCTCCGTCCCGAAGCACCTCGTGCCGTTGATGTAAGTTAGCATCCCCTCCTCCAGCAACTTGCGCTGTCCCTTCCTGGACTTCTTCCCGTACTTTTCGGTGAAGGCCGTCTAGCGGGTAAGCCATTCCCGCATCACCCAAGTGCACTCAACGTCCTCCAGGGAAATCCCCTCCTCCCGGTTGGCCGGGTTCGAAATTCGGCTTGCCATGTGAAGGGGGCATGCCAGGCTCTCGTCCCAACGCCTCCTCAAATGCTCCCGCACCCCCTCCTTATCCGCCGCCTTCAACTTACAGTCCTTCCCAGCCAGCAGCGAATGCAACTCCTCCGTCAGCTGCAGCATGATGTCGTACAACGAGCCCACCATCCCCTTCGCCGCTGAGTCCGTCCTCCGCATCAACTTCACAAAGAACTCTGCCTTCTTCCACCACGCTGCATCCATCACCGACGCCTCGAACCCCACACCGGTCGTCTTTTTCCCCCTTTTCACCGCCGAGTCCTTGTGCGTAACCATCTGCGTCAGCTGCGAGCGAAGGGCCAACAGACGAGACGCTGCGATGAAGTTCGTCCCAAAGCGCGTCTCCGCCGGGCGCAACACCTGCAGCACCTTCTCGCCGTGCAGCTCGGGACTCCGCAGGAAGACGCACGTCCACAAGTGCTTCCGCAAGAACGATATCATGTCGTCTGCCGTGCCGACGACATCCTGCGCCCACCCCATCGTCCTGATATCCTCCATCAGCAAGTCCAACACGCGAGTGGGGCATGGGACGAGCTCGATGTGAGGATAATCCTTCCGCAGCAGCTTGCAGGCTTTTTTGTAGTTGCTACCTCCGTCCATGCAAAGCGCGATGGCGTACTCCAGCCCGACCCTCTTGATGATCGGCCGCAAGATGGCGGCAATGAAGCGGCCAATTGTCTTCTCCGCCTTACAGTCGACCACCTCTGTGAAAACAGCTCCAGCGTCGTTCACGCAAATGATGTTCATCTGCGCGCGCCCGCTTTTGTCCGTCATCATGTCACTGGCGATCGTCACGCCCATCTGCTGCCGCGTCTTGGTAACGGGCTCCAAAGCCTTTTCAATCTGTTGTTTACACTCCAACAACCCCACGCCCCCGACGAACGTGCGCTTGGGGGGGCCATACCTAGTTCCGGCCTCGGCGACTGCGCGTAGCATGTTGAGGAAGAGGGGGTGCTCGCACTGACGCTCTGCTGTGCGCGTCCCCGCGAGGTAGAGGACAACCGCAGCGTCGGCCTTACGTTCCGGCGCAATCCCCCCCTCGCCATAGAAATCGTCCATCCGCCTGCGTTTCCCAGAGCCGCTCACTACGGCGACCGCCGCCACCATCGCCTTCGCCTTTTTCTTTTTCACCGAAATCTTCCCCTCCTTCATGTCCCGAATCTCATTCGAAATGTTCTTCGGAACCTTCGCACACAGTACCCCAGCCTCACGTCGCACGTTCGGATCGGTCCATTCGGCGAGGCACTGCGGGCTCCGGCTACTACTAAAGGCAAATGTCTTGTGGCAAAAAAGGCACTCCACTTGCTCCCCCTTTTCTCAGGATCGGTAAAGTAGTAGTGCTTATAAATGGGGTGCTCGGGGAATCGCGACTTCTTCGTGCACATCTCCTTAGAAACGCATGAGGAGCTACCCTCGCCGACGACATCTTCATGCTTGGTAGCAGAGGAGGAGGAAGAACTAGGAGAAGCCATAATTTAGGTGAGGTAAGAACTAAAACCCTAAGGGTTTACCAAGGAGAATTGGGTTGAACTAAAGTGGAGGAGCACAAATGAACGATTTGTGCTCCTATATCCTCTTGGTGGTTAACAACTTTGGTTGGGTTGAGTAGATGATGTGCGGTTGAGTAGGATGTGGCTCAAATTTGGGTAGGGGGGGGTTTCGTTTTAGGGTTGTGGGCTGTTTTTGACGGTCGAATTAGTTTGGGCGGGGGGGGATTTTGCGATTTTGACATTCGCGTCGAAATGGCGAATGTCAAATTCGCGCGGGGGGGAAAAAAAAAAATCGATCAGCCCAAAAAAAAACTCCCCATGCGTCTTGCGTCTGAGAGTGCATCCTGCGTCCTGCGTCTGGACGCTGCGTCTTCTGCAACCCAGATTCTCACCCTCTCCTGTGCTCGCCTCACACCTTGGCCTCATGGTGCAGATGCAACAAATGGGGCTTACTTACCCCTTCTTCCCCTCCCCTCCGATCCTCTCCCAATTCCTTGTCCCCCCTCCTGTGACCCTCCCCTCCACCTCTCGTTCCATTCACACAGGCAGCTAAATGTGTAATGGGTGCGCCCGGGCTTACCCGGCCTAATCATCGCCCTCTCCTACGCTCGCTCCACTGCTCTGCTCCGTTTCTGCCCCATCGTGCTGCTGGATCATCATTCCTCCCCTCCATTCCCCTCGCATTCCCTGGCTTCACCACTCGTTCCACTCACAGGCAGCCAAGTGGGTGCGCCCAGCCTTGCTCGGCCTCATCATCGCTCTCTCCTATGCTCGCTCTACTGCTCTGCTCCGCTTCTACTCCGCCCCCATGCACATTCTGGAGCACCTGCCGGCAGTAGATGAAGCGAATGAAGATGGTAAGTTCCTAGTGTCCCCCCACCTTTCCCACAACCGCAACTCTCACCCAACCCACCCTGAGATGAAAGGATCACATCTTTGCAGCAATTCCCATCCTTCCATTCCCCCCTTCTCCCACAACCCATTTCCCCCTCCTGGACCCAACCCCCCCTCCCCCTTTTTCTTCCCTCATTCCCCGCAGTGGTCACGGTGTGCTATGGCATGGAGTGGCATCGCTTCGCCACCTCCTTCCTCCTCCCATCCCCCCTCCACCGAGCTGCTTTCATCGACGATGGCTTTAAGGGCCTGCTGCCCATCCCCTTCAACCTTCCACCCATCCTTTCTCATAACCCCAGCTCTCACCCTACAACCCTGAGATGTGCTCCTTTCACAGTTGCGATTGCGATTCCCCCTCCTTCCATCTCCCCTCCACTTCCCCCCACGGCCCCACCCGCCCACCCCTCCCCTCCCTTCCCTCATTCCCCGCAGTGGTCACGGTGTGCTATGGCATGGAGTGGCATCGCTTCCCCACCTCCTTCCTCCTCCCCTCGCCCCTCCACCGAGCTGCCTTCATCGACGATGGCTTTAAGTGCATGCTGCCCATCCCCCACAGTTTTCACCCAAATTTCCCTCCACCCCACCGTGTCCTTTACCCACGTTTTTCCTTTATGTGCCCCCCACCCTTCCACTCCCCCACCCACCCGTTCTTACAGTGGTCACGGTGTGTTATGGCATGGAGTGGCATCGCTTCCCCACCTCCTTCCTCCTCCCCTCGCCCCTCCACCGAGCTGCTTTTATCGATGATGGCTTTAAGGGCCTGCTGCCCATCCCTTTTGACCCGGAACAAGGCGGCACGGAGTCTGCTCCCTCGTACTTCAACGACAAAAACCAAGCCACACCCGAGCAATTCGTGAGTTGGTGGTTTCATGGTCTTGAGGTGTGGTGGCTTGCTAGGAGGTTGGGTGACAAGGCTGCTGCCCATCCCTTTTGACCCGGAACAAGGCGGCACGGAGTCTGCTCCCTCGTACTTCAACGACAAAAACCAAGCCACACCCGAGCAATTCGTGAGTTGGTGGTTTCATGGTCTTGAGGTGTGGTGGCTTGCTAGGAGGTTGGGTGACAAGGCTGCTGCCCATCCCTTTTGACCCGGAACAAGGCGGCACGGAGTCTGCTCCCTCGTACTTCAACGACAAAAACCAAGCCACGCCCGGGCAATTCGTGAGTTGGTGGTTTCATGGTCTTGAGGTGTGGTGGCTTGCTAGGAGGTTGGGTGACAAGGCTGCTGCCCATCCCTTTTGACCCGGAACAAGGCGGCACGGAGTCTGCTCTGTTAGAATTAGGCTGTCAACACTTTGTGTACTATATTCTATATCGCGTAGGTTATTTGCGGGTTGGGTGTAGTTTGTGATCCCAACCCTATCTGGTTGGGATTCCCTCGTAATCCTGCAAATCTGCCAACTCACCAATTGGAGATTTGCTAGGATTCCCATCCCATCCTTTCCCTAGCCTTGCCCATCCCAACCTCGTTTGTACTTAAGGCCTAGTGCCTTCTTTCCTAATCAATCAGTTGAGCTCCATTATTATCATGGTATCGAGCTAGCAAATTCCGCTCACGCGGAATCCGATCCTTGGCGCCGCGATCATTCTCTTCCTCTCGGCTATGGCGTTCTCGGTTCACGCCTTCTTCGCTTAGCGTTTTTCGTCTTCACATCGTCGCACTAGTCAAAAGCGCTTTCCCGCTCCGTCTACGTGCATTTCCGATTTCAACGGCGGCACATTTCTCCGTCAATTTCCTTCATCGTAAGCTCTGAAATTTCAAATTTCCGTGGCAATTTTCTCACATTCGAAACTTCCAGCAGGTTTTCATCGGTGCAGCAGAGCAGGTTCAGCGGCGCAGCAGAGCAGGTTCAGCGGCGCAGCAGAGCAGGTTCAGCGGCGCAGCAGAGCAGGTTCAGCGGCGCAGCAGAGCAGGTCAGCGGCGCAGCAGAGTAGGTTCAGCGGCGCAGCAGAGCAGGTTCAGCGGCGCAGCAGCACAGGTCAGCGGCGCAGCGGAACAGGTCATCGGCGCAGCAGAAAAGGGGTCATCGGCGAAGCAGAGAAGCAGAACAGGAATCGCAGTCATATTGCCGAAATCGCACATCTCCGCTTCGCTCCGCTTCGTATCGTTGACTTTAGCGCTGCGCTCCGCGCGAATGGCGACTTCAACTTCTACCCTAGTCGGAAACCTCATCGTTCTCAACCTCGCTCCCAACGGCACGAGCACCAACTTTGGGGAATGGTGCTATGGGGTGGAGAAGCACCTCCTTAGCACGGAACTGAAGGGGATTTGCCTCAAGGACATCCTCCTCAACCGCGGCAAGGGAAAGATGCCTCTCCCTCCCGATCCCCTTGGCGAAGGCGCCACTGCCGCAGAGAAGGCCGCTTTTGACGCTCAGACCACCAAGTACGAGACTAATTTCAGTGTGTGGGAGCAGGCAGATGCAGCAGTTATTAGGGTTTTCATCACCACCACTCCGGTTGAGCTCGTCAAATCCTACCGCACCTTTCGCTCCGCTCATGCGATTTGGAAGTACCTCCAGGACCGTTTCCATGACAAGACAGCAGTGGGTGTTGCCATCCTCATCCCTCGAATGTTCCAGGTCCGCCTTGAGGAATGCCCTGGCATGGCAGATTACATCTCTGAAATCCGCAACATCCATGAGGAACTCAAGGACATTGGGATCATTTTCCCCGAACAGGCACCTGCAGCTGGCCTACTTGTAGGACTGACCCCGGCCTACAATGTCACCAGCTCCATGCTCAAGCAACTTCCCACCAAGGAACTCACCTTCGAAAAAGTCGCATCGGCTCTCCTTTCCGCCGAAAAGGACCTTGCAGCCCAAGCATCCGTCAATGCTGTGCGCTACACCCCTGGAATCCCATTCCGCTCCCAACAGGGACCAAGGCGCAACTCCTTTCCCCCATGCCCCTACATCATTAGGAAAGGCCCACGTGCGGGGCAGAAATGCGGAGGCACCAACCACCCTGAGGCAACTTGCTTCAAGAAGCGAGATGATGAGTGGTACGACGTCCACCCCGTCGCGTGAACCATGTCGAGGCAGTGGAGGAACCTAGTCCCTCAGTTGATAGCACCCCATCTGATGTTCGCCTCAACCTGTTGTTCTCTGGTGCTGGTCTTATTAATGAGAAGGGGCCGCAGTACATCGGTGTTTCAAACACACAAGGGATCGAGTTCATACTAGACAGTGGTGCCACCCACACAGTGCTCAAAGACCAAACCGCGTTCGTTCCTTACCAGGCTCCCATCCCACTCCTCGGAGCCGACTCTAGCTTCTCCATCCAATGCCATGGGTCCTCCACAGTTCCTTGTCCAGCATTTCCATCGGGCACAGTCACTGGCATCTGTGCCCCCACCCTCCGCCACAACCTCCTGGCACAAAGTGAAATCCAACAAGCAGGAGTGATCACCATCTTTCCCAATGATGTCGACTACTGTGACCTCTTTGACGCCAAAACCGGCATTCATCTAGCCCGCTTCACTCTCAACTCCAACAACCTATACACGCTCGTAGTACCTCCCATTCAAACGTGCTCCCTCACAAACCTCCCGTTACCTTCCCTTGACTCCTCCACCTGTCACTGCCGCCTCCTTTCCGACAAAACCATGCTCTTTCATCACCGCCTTGGCCACATCAACTTTCGCGCGCTTTCAGACCTTGCCACAAAACAACTCCTCCACGGGCTTCCAACCTCACTTCCCTCTCCTACCTCCACCCTAGGGCCGCCTTGCCTTGACTGTGCACAGAGCAAGCTTCGTGAACAGCCCCATCCCCCCACTGAGTCCATCTCCGCTGCACCTCTCGATCGCGTGCACATGGACCTTTGGGGCCCAGCTCCTGTTCGCTCTCGCGGTGGACACTTTTACTTCCTTGTCATCATTGATGACTATTCCCGCTATGTGTCTGTCCACCTTCTCTCCTCCAAATCCGAAGCCCCAAGCGTCATCATTGAATGGGCGAAGCAGGCTCACAAACACTTCAAAACCACCATCAAGGTCCTTCACTCTGACGGTGGCGGTGAATTCCGCAACAACACTCTCAAAGCTTTCTGCTCCACTGAGGGTATCCGTCAGACCTTCACTCTCCCGGACAGTCCCCAACAGAACGGTATTGCCGAAAGCCGGAACCGTACATTGGTGCAGATTGCTCGCTGCCTCCTCACGCACGCCTCCGCCCCTCCCTCTCTCTGGGGGTACGCCATGCTTCATGCTGCCGCCCTCCACAATCTCCATCCCCATCCTCATCACACCCACACCACCCCCGCTGAGTTATGGACGGGTCAAAAGCCATCCGTCCGCCCTCTTCGTGTATGGGGGTGCACTTCCTATGTCCTCCTCAACTCCCAAGCCCGTCGTGCGGCTGGCGGCAAACTTGCTCCCAAAACGATCACGTGCGTATACCTCAGGCACAACTTAGATTCGCCAGACTATCTCTTCCTCCATCCTTCCACCAACAAGCTCTATCGCAGCCGGGACGTTTACTTTGATGAGTCCCACCCATTCTACCCCTCCTCCAAGGCTTCCCCCTCTCCTCCGCCTCCCTCTCTTACTTGGGCTGACTTTGACAGTCTCCCTCTTCCCGACACTCCATCTCCTCCTCTTCCCGCTCCCTCCACCATTTCTGATCCCCCATCACCCGCTTCCCCCTCCAGTACCACACAGTCTCCCTCGCTCCCTCCCTCCTCCGCTACCCCTCCTCCATCTCCTCTCGCATCTCCTCCTACCGAGCCCGTTCCTCTCAAAACCTACCAACGCCGTCACCCAGCTCCTCCTCCTCCTCCTCCCCCTCCTCCTCCTCCTGCTCCCACCCCTGATCCCGATCCTGTCTCCACTCTCCCTCCCACTCCCACCTCCCCTTCCGCTACGCCTACTCCGGCCCCGCCTCCCTCACCCATCGCTTCTCGCACCCGCTCTCGCACCCGCTCTCGCACACCTCCACAACCGTTCTCCCTTTCCGTTCGCGTCTCTCTCAATCCTCCTCCTGTCGGGGGTGATTATTCTCTCATGCCATCCCTCCTTGAAGACAGACATGAGGAGTTGATTGATATCGACTCAGCCATCCACGCACTCTGCTTCCTCTTTCCAGACATCGCAGACTCTCCAACCCTCAATTTCTCCGACAACCCCTCCATCCCCACACCTCTCACCTATGCTGAAGCAGTCTCTGGTCCTCACGCCGCTCAGTGGTTGGGGGCCATTGTCGCAGAATGTGAGGCCTTCATTCACACAGGAACTTTCACAGACGTCTCTCCTCCCTCCGGCGTCAACATTGTGAAGGGAAAATGGGTCTTTCGGGTGAAACAACTTCCAGGCGAATTTCCTGTCTTCAAAGCCCGGTACTGTGCCAAGGGATTTACCCAAAAGCGTGGACTGGACTTCTTTGAGACATTCTCTCCCACCGCCAAACCTCCCACACTGCGCACCCTTCTCGATGTCGCTGCTCGAGATGACATGGAGGTTGATTGCATGGATGTGTCTTCTGCGTTCCTGCAAGGGATCCTTCGAGAGGAAATCTATATGGAGCGGCCCGAAGGATTTCCAGCTCCTTTTCCACCAGGCACCGTATGGAAGCTGAATCGGCCAGTGTATGGCCTCAAGCAAGCTCCCCGGGAATGGCACAACAAGCTAAAGAGCACCTTAGGGTCCCTCGTCTTTCACTCATCCACCTCTGACCCCAGCCTCTTCATCCGAGCAACACCCTCCCGGTTCTTCATCCTGGTTTATGTCGATGACATGATCCTTGTCACCTAGGATCAGACTGAGCTGGCAGCAGTCAAAACCGCACTTGGTGAGAAGCTGGCCATGAAGGACCTTGGGAAGCTGACGAACTATTTGGGAATGGAAATCACACGTGATCGCACAGCCCGCACCATCACCCTTTCGCAGAAGTTTTACATCAACAACGTTCTGACGAGGTTCCAGATGCAGGAAGCAGCATCAATGCCCACCCCACTCTCTCTGCAACACCAACTCACTGCACCCTCCGTTCCCTCACCTGAGCCCTGTGACGAGCCTTACCCCGAGCTCGTGGGATCCCTCATGTATGCGATGATGTGCACTCGACCAGACTTAGCCTATCCAGTCAGTGTACTGTCCCGCTACGTTGCACCTGGTCGCTTCACTCGCCACCACTGGTCTGCCGCCAAGCGGGTTCTTCGCTATCTCAAAGGCACACAGGATTATGTGCTCACACTTGGCGGCACTTCCCCTGTTCGCCTTGAGGGGTACAGTGATTCATCCTATGCTGATGACCAGAGTGATCGGCGCTCGTCCCAAGGGTATTGCTTTACCCTTGGCAGTGGGGTTGTAAGTTGGCGCTCCACTCGGTCGTCCTCCGTCTCACTGTCGACCTGTGAGGCAGAGCTGTATGCCGGGACCATGGCTGCACAGGAGGCTCGTTGGCTCTCCTTCCTGCTGACAGAACTGGGGTATCCCCAACCAACCCCAACGCTTTGGTGTGACAACGAGAGCACCATTCATCTCACCAAAGACCCCGTTTTCCATGGCCGCACCAAGCACATTGAAGTCCGTCACTACTTTCTTCGTGAGCTGGTGCAGCGCGAGCAGCTAAAGGCTGAACACATTGCCTCCGACTGCAACCTTGCTGACTTGTTTACCAAGTCGCTTGTTCGCGAGGATCATTACCGCCTCCTCTCGGCCATGGGTGTTGGGCCTCCTTGTGGCTGATGTGTTGCAGCCTAGGGGGTGTGTTAGAATTAGGCTGTCAACACTTTGTGTACTATATTCTATATCGCGTAGGTTATTTGCGGGTTGGGTGTAGTTTGTGATCCCAACCCTATCTGGTTGGGATTCCCTCGTAATCCTGCAAATCTGCCAACTCACCAATTGGAGATTTGCTAGGATTCCCATCCCATCCTTTCCCTAGCCTTGCCCATCCCAACCTCGTTTGTACTTAAGGCCTAGTGCCTTCTTTCCTAATCAATCAGTTGAGCTCCATTATTATCATGCTCCCTCGTATTTCAACGACAAAAACCAAGCCACACCCGAGCAATTCGTGAGTTGGTGGTTTCATGGTCTTGAGGTGTGGTGGCTTGCTAGGAGGTTGGGTGACAAGGCTGCTGCCCATCCTTTTTGACCCGGAACAAGGCGGCACGGAGTCTGCTCCCTCGTATTTCAACGACAAAAACCAAGCCACACCCGAGCAATTCGTGAGTTGGTGGTTTCATGGTCTTGAGGTGTGGTGGCTTGCTAGGAGGTTGGGTGACAAGGCTGCTGCCCATCCCTTTTGACCCGGAACAAGGCGGCACGGAGTCTGCTCCCTCGTACTTCAACGACAAAAACCAAGCCACACCCGAGCAATTCGTGAGTTGGTGGTTTCATGGTCTTGAGGTGTGGTGGCTTGCTAGGAGGTTGGGTGACAAGGCTGCTGCCCATCCCTTTTGACCCGGAACAAGGCGGCACGGAGTCTGCTCCCTCGTACTTCAACGACAAAAACCAAGCCACGCCCGAGCAATTCGTGAGTTGGTGGTTTCATGGTCTTGAGGTGTGGTGGCTTGCTAGGAGGTTGGGTGACAAGGCTGTTGCCCATCCCTTTTGACCCGGAACAAGGCGGCCCGGAGTCTGCTCTCTCGTACTTCAACGACAAAAACCAAGCCACACCCGAGCAATTCGTGAGTGGTTGGCTTTGAGATTCCTCCCTTTGGAATGGGCTTGCGATGGCTTTAAGGGCCTGCTGCCATGCCCATCCCCTTCGACCCGGAAGCAGGGGAGGCTGAATCTGCTCCTGCGTACTTCAATGACAAGTACCAAGCCACGCCCGAACAATCGGTGAGACGGGGAAAGCTGGTGTTGAGTCGGGCCTTCTGGAAATTCAAGCGAGGCTCCATCCCGACTGCTCGTCCCCTTTCCTTGCCTCCAACCTCGCCCCCCTCTCGCCCCTCCCTGGCACCGCTGTCACGCCAGCTGGACGAATGTCTGTGTGCGAGCAACTATCATGTGAAAGAGTGGCGGTTTTGAGACATAATGTCTCAAAACCAGCTGGACAGATTTGTCTCTGTGCAACTATCTGGTTGAACTGTGCCGCGGCACAACTCTCAGTACGTATCCCTCCATCCCTTCTCCCTGGCACTGCACGTGGGATCACGCCAGCTGGACAGATTTGTCTCTGTGCGACCATCTGGTTGAGCTGTGCCGCGGCACAACTCTGTGCACCTATCCCTCCATCCCTTCACCCTGGATCCAACCAGCCTCTCTCTCCGCCTCTTACCCCTCCGTGCCCCTCCCTCCCTGGCACCGCTGTCGCGCCAGCTGGTCAAGTCTCTGTGCGACTGTCTGGTTGAGAGGAGAAGTTGTTCCCCCGAGCCATCTTCTTGTCACCTTCCCCTGCTTCCAATGTTTCCACGATCACCCCCCCGTTCCCATCTCCCCTTCTCCCTTTCCCTGCACATGGGATCACGCCAGCTGGACGAGTCTCTGTGCGGCTATCTGGTTGATTTTGCCTACCTGCCGCACAGAGACTCCCCGTTCCTCGTCTCCCCTTCTCCCTGCCGTGTGCTCGTCTCCTTCTCTTGCACCCAATGTTCCCCTTCCATCCCTTCTGCCGCCCCTCCCTTTCCCTGCACATGGGATCACGCCAGCTGGACGAGTCTCTGTGCGACTGTCTGGTTGAGTTGCCTGCCATATCATGGCTCCCTCTGATATGCTTGTCCCCTTCCTTTTCACCCATTTACTCTCCCCACCCCAACACACACACACACACACACACACACACACACACCCCTGCACACTGCGTCACGCCAGCTGGACGAGTCTCTGTGCGACTATCTGGTCGAGCTGGACAACTCGCGCCACGTCAGCATGACAGGGGAGAGAGGAAGCATCCTGGAAAAAGCAGACGCCCTGCGAGGGCACGACGAGGACGAATGGGAGGTGAGTGTTTGGAACGGCTGAACAGTAGAGATTCTAGAGAGAGGCAGCATGGCTGCGTGGTAGTTGTGAGATGTGTCAAGTCATGATGAGAACGAATGGGAGGTGAGTAGTTTGGGATTCGTGGGCGTGGGGTCTTGAGAGGGATTGGCAGTGCAAGGGTGCCTTGCGGTTCGACAGGTATGGAGTTTAAGCATAGTGGCAGGGGAGAGAGGAAGCATCCTGGAAGGAGCAAATGCCTGCTTTTGTTATTATTATTATTATTTTTATTTATTTATTTATTTTGTAAAACTGACAACGACCATTGCCCCTTCCTCACCCTCTGTTCTCTATTCTCTCCCTTTCCTCCCTCTTTACCTCCTCCCTCACTACTTCCTCCCTCTCCACGCTCTCCCTTGTCTCACAGGTGTTGGCGTCCCTCCCGTTTGTGGACGCCCAGCGCTCCCCGGCTCTCTACCGAGCCTTCTTCATCCCGGGCCTGTCCGAGAGGCTCGTCAAGTATGGCTCCTACGCCTTGCTGCGGCGAAAGCAGGCTGCAAACAGCATGGAGGAGCCTGAGGAGGATTGGCTGAAATTAAGTGGCTATGTTGAAGGCGAGGGTTATGAGGAGAATGAAACTGCTGAGACTGCAACAGAGGAAAGTAGGGAGACTTGAAAGGGAGTGGAGAGAGCGGGCTGAGAGCAGGATGGAGGAGCCTGAGGAGGATTGGCTTAAGTTGAGTGGCTATGTTGAAGGAGAGGGTTATGATGAGAATGAAACTGCTGAGACAGCAGCAGAGGAAAGTAGGGAAACTTGAAAGGGAGTGGCAGAAGCTTGAGGAGGGAAAGAGCGGGCTGCAAGCAGCATGGAGGAGCCTGAGGAGGATTGGCTTAAACTGAGTGGCTATGTTGAAGGAGAGGGTTATGATGAGAATGAAACTGCTGAGACAGCAGCAGAGGAAAGTAGGGAAACTTGAAAGGGAGTGGCAGAAGCTTGAGGAGGGAAAGAGCGGGCTGCAAGCAGCATGGAGGAGCCTGAGGAGGATTGGCTTAAACTGAGTGGCTATGTTGAAGGAGAGGGTTATGATGAGAATGAAACTGCTGAGACAGCAGCAGAGGAAAGTAGGGAAACTTGAAAGGGAGTGGCAGAAGCTTGAGGAGGGAAAGAGCGGGCTGCAAGCAGCATGGAGGAGCCTGAGGAGGATTGGCTTAAACTGAGTGGCTATGGTGAAGGCGAGGGTTATGATGATGGGACGGCTGAATGGGAGAGGAAGGAAATCTCAGAGGGAGCGGCAGAAGCTTGAGGAGGGAGGGGGAAGCAGGCTGCAAGGAGGATGGAGGAGCCCGAGGAGGATTGGTTGAGGTCGAGTGGATAGATATGTTGAAGGCGAGGGGTATGAGGAGAATGAAAGCACTGAGACTGCTGCATAGGAAAGTAGGGAGACTTGAAAGGGAGTGGCAGAAGCTTGAGGAGGGAGAGAGCGGGCTGAGAGCAGGATGGAGGAGCCTGAGGTAGATTGGTTTACATTGAGTGGCTATGTTGAAGGCGAGGGTTATGAGGAGAAAGAAAGTGCTGAAGAGGAGAGGAAGGAGATTTTAGAGGGAGTGGCGGAAGCTTGAGGAGGGAGCGGGGACTGCGAGCACCATCTGATAGATTGAAAATTGGAAAAATCTGACTGGATATGTAAGGAGAGGGTTCAGATGAGAATGAAATTTCTGTCGAGGGAAGCAAGGAGCCTGTTGAATGAAACGGGGCGAGTAAGAGTATTCAAGAGCCCGAACAGCCTCGGGAATTGAATAGTGGGAATATTGAGCACGTAGCATCACGTTTTAATGTATGGTACATGTTGGTAGATAATTAATGGATCCAAGCTTGGTTGGCTTGACAGGTCTTAGAAGCTGATGTATGTTGGGGATGAAACATTTCCAGGCATGAGCCTGAAGACGAGGAAAAGAAACGATGAAGGAGGGCTGATGTGATGGAGAAGAGAGGTGTCCAGTCCAAATTCAATGAAGTCCACACTTCGACCATACTCTCTTAGTTTGGAAAGCAAAATAGAATCAGAACTGTAGTTCAATAGACAAATCATTCAATAGGGCGTATGCAGGCTCTGCCGGGGAATCTCTCTCCGCGATTCCGGCACTGGGATGCCATGTGCCAGCCAGCCAGCCCTCACTAGGATTCGCTTGGAATCGCCAGGATTCGCCTGGAATCGCCAGGATTCGCCTGGAATCGCCAGGATTCGCCTTCTGTTGTTTCACGGTCTAGAAATCTCCGCCGTCTTGGTATTACGGTGCGGAGACTTCCCACAGAACATTGTTGGGATCTGGTGCGTGCGACAGAAATCACTTGTTCGTACAGCGCTGGGTGCTAATGGCGGGTAACGAGAAGTACGTTCAAGCGACGAACGACGACGCGACCGTCAGTAAGCTGTGAGTATGGTCTGTAGCGGGTGATATGAAATGATTCGTACGAGCAGGAACCGAGACGACTGCGTGCATTGTCCGGAGCCTGTGATATGATATGATACGAGCCGTAAGTGAAGTACCGTCGGTATTTTCACGAAAAGTACGTGCAGCAAAACGAAACGACGACCCGACCGTCAGAAAAGTGTGGGCATTGTCCGAAGCGGGTCAACTGCAAGGCCCTGGGGCTGTGACGTCAGGGTACTGGGATTGCGACGTCATGGCCTGGATCGAGATGTTCAGGCGACGGGAGACGACGATAGCCAAGGGGGTCCAGGTTACTAAACGCCAAGGCCGTCTGTGATAGATTAATCATGAGACCCCCGGGGTCCCCCCCCGACAGTTCCTGCGTCGTTAAAGGCTACTTCCACATTGGAGCTGAATTTTGAGTCGACTAAAAAATGAAACCCCCGGTTACCCCTCCAAACGCCCCTGTTGAGTACTTTTAAGGCGCCTCAAAATTTCTCAAAAGTAGATCCCCGGTTACCCCTCCAAAGGCTCCTCCAACAGTTCCTGCATCGCCAAAGGCTACTTCCATATTGTAGACGCGGCCTTCCCCTTTCCCCTCACTCACTTGCACCATCCCCCTTCACCCCTTTCCCTTCTCTCCTCTCTCTCCCCACCTCCTCACCCATCTTACGTCCCCTGCGAGACCCCAACGGCTACTAGTAACTTCCAGGACCCTCTTTGAAGGCCCTTGTTCGCCGGCCTGCCATGCGATCTCTCTCCAATCATTATCCACCGGAATTTCTTCGCCCGCCGGGCTGCTTTGCAGTCTGATCTGAACAAACACCTCCCTTCTTCTCCACCATCTCGCCTCAAACCCACCGTTTCCTTTCCTCTTTCCCCATCATCTCTTCCTTATTCCTCTCCCCCATCAGTTCATGCGTGACCAAGGGTTACTTCCAGGACCCTTTCGTGAAGCTCTTTGTTCGCCGCCCGGCCAGGCGGTCCCCTGTCATCCACCGAGGCTACTTCGCCCGCTGGGCTGCTCTGCAGCAGCTCGTCGACCAGTTCCTCTCCGTTAACGGATCAGCTCATAACGAGGACAGGGCCCAGAACCCTAGTAGTGATCAAGAAAGTCAAGGGGAGTCAAGAAAGTCAACAGGGGGGACGGATGTGACTCTGCAGATTATCTCCTTGGGAGCAGGATTCGACACCCTATTCTTCCGACTCCAGGTGCGTGCTCTGTGTCCTAATGATCATGAGAAGTCAAACGGGTCAAGCGAGTCAACAGGGGGATCGGATGTAGCCCTGCAGATCATCTCCCTGGGAGCAGGATTCGACACACCCTCTTCTTTAGATTCCAGGTGCGCGCTCTATGTCTTTCCAGGGAGTGCAAGGGGCGAGAGGAAGGGGAGGGGGGGGGGGGGGGGGGGTGGTGGGGGGTGAGTGAAGTGAAGGGCAAGGGGGCGGGGCAAGGGAGAGCACATGTATGAAACTTTTCTGTCACCTGTTGTTTTGATCCCTGCTGCATTCGTGTTTGTTGTTGTTTCTTGGGACGTCTCAAAACTTGACTGGTGACTCTTTCTCACTCTCTGCTGCTTGTGCTGCGATCTGCCCTTTCCTGCCGCCATGCGTCGTGATAAGTCGAGTTTTGAGTCGACTCAAAACTCGACTTATCACAAACTTGACTGGTGACTCTTTTCCACTCTCTGCTGCTTGTGCTGTTGGCCCTTTCCTGCTGCCATGCGTCTTTTTGTGATGGCAGATAGAGGGCAGAGCCCCCCATAGGTTCATTGAAGTGGATTTTCAAGAGGTGAGTTTCGAGGCGCCTCAAAAGTGGATTTTCAGGAGGTGAGTTTCGAGGCGCCTCAAAAGTGGATTTTCAAGAGGTGAGTTTCGAGGCGCCTCAAAAGTGGATTTTCAAGAGGTGAGTTTCGAGGCGCCTCAAAAGTGGATTTTCAAGAGGTGAGTTTCGAGGCGCCTCAAAAGTGGATTTTCAAGAGGTGAGCACTTGACTTGGGCAGGGCAGAGCCCCTTTTAGCTTCATCGAGGTGGACTTTCAAGAGTTTGTCACTTGAATTAGGCAGACAGAGGGCAGAGCCTCCCATAGGTTCATTGAAGTGGATTTTCAAGAGGTGAGCACTTGAAAGAGGGGCTACCATGCCACCACGCTACCATGCCACCATGCCACCACGCCACCATGCCACCACGCCACCATGCCACCATGCCACTATGCCATATCATCATGCCATCATGCTTTGAGGCGCCTCAAAAGCGGTTGTTCTCACCACAGTAAACACACACACTCCAAGCCATGCTGCCATGCCATGCCTTCCCCCCCGTCCCTCCGTTGCTCTCACCACAGTAAACACACACACCACCACTCGTTACATGCAAGGCCAGATTGTCACTAAGAAGGCCATGCAACATGGCATGTGATAAGAGTGAAGTTTTGAGACTTCTCAAAACTCTCACCACACACACACACCACCACTCGTTCCATGCAAGGCCAGATTGTTGCTAAGAAGGCCATGCAACATGGCATGCCCCCCACACACCCCAAGCCATCCCACCATGCCATCCCCCTCTCACCGCACACCACCGCTCTCAACCCCCACCACGCCACCAGGTGGTCGCCAAAAAGGCAGCTATAATGAATGCCAAGCCAGAGCTAGCAGCATGCCTGGGCCCAGACGTTCACGTGCCCTCGTGCTGTCTCCCTCCCCTCCCACCGTCCCTCTGTGGCCCTGATCCCACACCATGCCAGGTGGTAGCAAAGAAAGCCGCCATAATCAATGCCAAGCCAGAGCTAGCAGCGTGCCTGGGACCAGACGTCAGTCCATTAGGTACGGGTGCTCTGCTCGCTGCGCTCCGCTGTGCCCTGCTGTGCCCTGCTGTGCACTGCTGTGCCCTGCTGTGCCCTGCTGTGCCCTGCTGTGCCCTGCTGTGCCCTGCTGTGCCCTGCTGTGCCCTGCTGTGCCCTGCTGTGCCCTGCTGTGCCCTGCTGTGCCCTGCTGTGCCCTGCTGTGCCCTGCTGTGCACTGCTGTGCCCTGCTGTGCCCTGCTGTGCCCTGCTGTGCCCTGCTGTGCACTGCTGTGCCCTGCTGTGCCCTGCTGTGCCCTGCTGTGCCCTGCTGTGCCCTGCTGTGCCCTGCTGTGCCCTGCTGTGCCCTGCTGTGCCCTGCTGTGCCCTGCTGTGCCCTGCTGTGCCCTGCTGTGCCCTGCTGTGCCCTGCTGTGCACTGCTGTGCCCTGCTGTGCCCTGCTGTGCCCTGCTGTGCCCTGCTGTGCCCTGCTGTGCACTGCTGTGCCCTGCTGTGCACTGCTGTGCACTGCTGTGCCCTGCTGTGCCCTGCTGTGCACTGCTGTGCCCTGCTGTGCACTGCTGTGCCCTGCTGTGCCCTGCTGTGCCCTGCTGTGCCCTGCTGTGCCCTGCTGTGCCCTGCTGTGCACTGCTGTGCACTGCTGTGCCCTGCTGTGCCCTGCTGTGCCCTGCTGTGCCCTGCTGTGCCCTGCTGTGCCCTGCTGTGCCCTGCTGTGCCCTGCTGTGCCCTGCTGTGCCCTGCTGTGCACTGCTGTGCACTGCTGTGCCCTGCTGTGCCCTGCTGTGCCCTGCTGTGCCATGCTGTGCACTGCTGTGCCCTGCTGTGCCCTGCTGTGCCCTGCTGTGCCCTGCTGTGCACTGCTGTGCCCTGCTGTGCCCTGCTGTGCCCTGCTGTGCCCTGCTGTGCCCTGCTGTGCACTGCTGTGCCCTGCTGTGCACTGCTGTGCACTGCTGTGCCCTGCTGTGCCCTGCTGTGCACTGCTGTGCCCTGCTGTGCACTGCTGTGCCCTGCTGTGCCCTGCTGTGCCCTGCTGTGCCCTGCTGTGCCCTGCTGTGCCCTGCTGTGCACTGCTGTGCACTGCTGTGCCCTGCTGTGCCCTGCTGTGCCCTGCTGTGCCCTGCTGTGCCCTGCTGTGCCCTGCTGTGCCCTGCTGTGCCCTGCTGTGCCCTGCTGTGCCCTGCTGTGCCCTGCTGTGCACTGCTGTGCACTGCTGTGCCCTGCTGTGCCCTGCTGTGCCCTGCTGTGCCATGCTGTGCACTGCTGTGCCCTGCTGTGCCCTGCTGTGCCCTGCTGTGCCCTGCTGTGCCCTGCTGTGCCCTGCTGCGCTCCGCTGTGCCCTGCTGTGCCCTGCTGTGCCCTGCTGTGCCCTGCTGTGCCCTGCTGTGCACTGCTGTGCCCTGCTGTGCCCTGCTGTGCACTGCTGTGCCCTGCTGTGCCCTGCTGTGCACTGCTGTGCCCTGCTGTGCCCTGCTGTGCCCTGCTGTGCCCTGCTGTGCCCTGCTGTGCCCTGCTGTGCCCTGCTGTGCACTGCTGTGCCCTGCTGTGCCCTGCTGTGCACTGCTGTGCCCTGCTGTGCCCTGCTGTGCCCTGCTGTGCCCTGCTGTGCCCTGCTGTGCCCTGCTGTGCCCTGCTGTGCACTGCTGTGCCCTGCTGTGCACTGCTGTGCCCTGCTGTGCCCTGCTGTGCACTGCTGTGCCCTGCTGTGCACTGCTGTGCCCTGCTGTGCCCTGCTGTGCCCTGCTGTGCCCTGCTGTGCCCTGCTGTGCCCTGCTGTGCCCTGCTGCGCTCCGCTGTGCCCTGCTGTGCCCTGCTGTGCCCTGCTGTGCCCTGCTGTGCCCTGCTGTGCACTGCTGTGCCCTGCTGTGCCCTGCTGTGCACTGCTGTGCCCTGCTGTGCACTGCTGTGCCCTGCTGTGCCCTGCTGTGCCCTGCTGTGCCCTGCTGTGCCCTGCTGTGCACTGCTGTGCCCTGCTGTGCCCTGCTGTGCCCTGCTGTGCCCTGCTGTGCCCTGCTGTGCCCTGCTGTGCCCTGCTGTGCCCTGCTGTGCCCTGCTGTGCACTGCTGTGCCCTGCTGTGCCCTGCTGTGCCCTGCTGTGCCCTGCTGTGCACTGCTGTGCACTGCTGTGCACTGCTGTGCCCTGCTGTTCACTGCTGTGCCCTGCTGTGCACTGCTGTACCCTGCTGTGCCCTGCTGTGCCCTGCTGTGCCCTGCTGTGCCCTGCTGTGCCCTGCTGTGCCCTGCTGTGCACTGCTGTGCACTGCTGTGCCCTGCTGTGCCCTGCTGTGCCCTGCTGTGCCCTGCTGTGCCCTGCTGTGCCCTGCTGTGCCCTGCTGTGCCCTGCTGTGCCCTGCTGTGCCCTGCTGTGCCCTGCTGTGCCCTGCTGTGCACTGCTGTGCCCTGCTGTGCACTGCTGTGCCCTGCTGTGCCCTGCTGTGCCCTGCTGTGCCCTGCTGTGCACTGCTGTGCACTGCTGTGCCCTGCTGTGCCCTGCTGTGCCCTGCTGTGCCCTGCTGTGCCCTGCTGTGCCCTGCTGTGCCCTGCTGTGCCCTGCTGTGCCCTGCTGCGCTCCGCTGTGCCCTGCTGTGCCCTGCTGTGCCCTGCTGTGCCCTGCTGTGCCCTGCTGTGCACTGCTGTGCCCTGCTGTGCCCTGCTGTGCACTGCTGTGCCCTGCTGTGCCCTGCTGTGCCCTGCTGTGCCCTGCTGTGCCCTGCTGTGCCCTGCTGTGCCCTGCTGTGCACTGCTGTGCCCTGCTGTGCACTGCTGTGCCCTGCTGTGCCCTGCTGTGCCCTGCTGTGCCCTGCTGTGCACTGCTGTGCCCTGCTGTGCCCTGCTGTGCACTGCTGTGCCCTGCTGTGCCCTGCTGTGCCCTGCTGTGCCCTGCTGTGCCCTGCTGTGCCCTGCTGTGCCCTGCTGTGCACTGCTGTGCCCTGCTGTGCACTGCTGTGCCCTGCTGTGCCCTGCTGTGCACTGCTGTGCCCTGCTGTGCACTGCTGTGCCCTGCTGTGCCCTGCTGTGCCCTGCTGTGCCCTGCTGTGCCCTGCTGTGCACTGCTGTGCCCTGCTGTGCCCTGCTGTGCCCTGCTGTGCCCTGCTGTGCCCTGCTGTGCCCTGCTGTGCCCTGCTGTGCCCTGCTGTGCCCTGCTGTGCCCTGCTGTGCCCTGCTGTGTCCTGCTGTGCCCTGCTGTGCCCTGCTGTGCCCTGCTGTGCCCTGCTGTGCCCTGTCTGTGCCTAGGCCCAGACGTCACTCCATTAAATATGTACGCTGAGCATAGCACTGACCTGCCTGTTTTTTAATTCTCCCCTGAGTTTTGCGAGCTTGGCATGACCTTAGTCTCCGATCGTTCTCCATATGGACCACCTCGTGAAGTGAGGGTGTTTTTGAGACGTCTCAAAAACACCCTCACTTCACGTAGCTTGGCATGACCTTAGTCTCCGATCGTTCTCCATATGGACCACCTCGTGAAGTGAGGGTGTTTTTGAGACGTCTCAAAAACACCCTCACTTCACGTAGCTTGGCATGACCTTAGTCTCCGATCGTTCTCCATACGGACCACCTCGTGAAGTGAGGGTGTTTTTGAGACGTCTCAAAAACACCCTCACTTCACGTAGCTTGGCATGACCTTAGTCTCCGATCGTTCTCCATACGGACCACCTTGCTCAATTACAAACCACTGAAGATTGGATTGTCGATGTGCGCTCTTGGAATGGTAATTCCCCCGTGTCTGCTGATCTGAGAGACGCTGAGAAGCTGCTGCTCTCTCCTCCCTTCTTTCCCTCAACCCCACTTTCTCCCACCCGTCCTCCCATTATCCAGAGGGTGCCGGGCTGCGCTCCTCAAATGGCTACTCCCTCGTGTCAGCCGATTTGAGAGACACTGATAAACTAAACGAGGCGCTTGCAGCAGCTGGAGCTGATTTTGGGCCCATGTGAGTGAGGGAAGGCGAGGGAGGGGTGGAGAACGGGAGTGGGGGGCAGAGATATGGGGGGGAGGTTCATTCCGATTTGAGAGACACTGAGAAGCTGCAAGCCAGCAGCAGCTGGAGCCGATTTTGGGACCAAGTGAGTGAGGGGAACTGAGGGAGCGGTGGGGAGGGTTGGAGAGGGTTGGCGAGGAATGGAGAGGGGTGGAGTAGGGTAGTGAGGGGGGGAGGGTACATGTGGGTTGAGAGTCACTGGTTATTGCAAGAGGCGCTTGCTTTGCTGCAGCTGGAGCCGAGGGTGTGCCCAAATGAGTGAGGGGAGTGGGGGGAGTGGGGGGAGTGGGGGGAGTGGGGGGAGTGGGGGGAGTGGGGGGAGGGATGGAGAGGAACGAGCGACTTTTGAGTCGACTCAAAAGTCATCTTTTGAGTCGACTCAAAATAAGTGAGGGGAGTGGGGGGAGGGATGGAGAGGAACGAGCGGACGAAAAGCACAGCAACGCTATTCCTCTGCGAGTGCGTGCTGATCTACATGGACGCGCCCAGCAGCAGAAAACCTCTCTTGTAGGCAACCTTCTAGTCCCCATCCTTTGTCCATCCCCACTCTTCCCCCCTGCCAACAGCACAGCAACGCTCTTCCTCTGCGAGTGCGTACTGATCTACATGGACGCGCCTAGCAGCCACAAACTCGTGCGTGGTCCTAGGCACTGTTTCAAATTCCACTCGCATCCCCCCTCCCCACCCACCCCCCTGCTAACAGCACAGCAACGTTATTCCTCTGCGAGTGTGTACTCATCTACATGGACGCGCCCAGCAGCCACAGGCTCGTGGCGTGGACGGCAGAGAAGTTTGGCACGGCGGCGTTTGTCGTCTACGAGCAGATCCGCCCCGACGATGCATTCGGGCAGCAGATGATCCAAAACCTGGAGGTGAGCCACTCACTGGATACTGGTTGCTAATTTTAGAAAGTGTTGCTGGATATAGAAAGCTCTAGAAGGCAGGGCACTCCTGTGTGACATGTTTGTCGTCTACGAGCAGATCCGCCCCGATGATGCATTCGGGCAGCAGATGATCCAAAACCTGGAGGTGAGCCACTCACTGGCTACTAGTTGCTAATTTTAGAAAGTTTTGCTTGATATAGAAAGCTCTAGAAGGCAAGGCAGTGGTGCTGTGTAATGCGTTTGTCGTCTACGAGCAGATCCGGCCCGATGATGCTTTCGGGCAGCAGATGATCCAAAACCTGGAGGTGGGTGGGCGGATGGGTGGCTGTTATACATGGAAACTACTGCCAGATATAGAAAGCACGATAAGGCAAGGAACTGCTGTGTGAAGTGTTTTGTCGTCTACGAGCGGATCCGCCCGGGTGATGCTTTTGGGCAGCAGATCATCCAAAACCTGGAGGTGGGTGTGGCTGCGGGGCTGCTATTATTAGAAAGTGTTGCACCACTTCCCTGTTGCGGGGATATAGACGGCTCTAGCTGCCCTTCCCTGTGCACCACTTTTGTACACCTCATATTCCATGCACCTCATGTCAACACCCCTCACTGTTCCTCATCACTTCTCACCACACTGCACCTCCAGCTGCCTTTCTGGTCGGGGCTGCCCTCTCCTTGCTGTATACCACTTGCTACCCCTCATGTACCATGCATCACCACATATATCACTGCTCCACACTGCTCCTCAATGTTCCTCACTGTTCCTCACCATCGCTCACTGCTCCACACTGCTCCACACTGCTCCTCACCTCACTTCACTGTTCTTCACCTTGCTGCACCTCCGGCTGCTTGTCAGGCTCGGGGCTGCCCTCTGCTTGGTATCAGAGCCACACCAACACTAGAAGCAAAGGAGAAGAGATTTCTCGACGGTGGCTTTGAGGTAAGGCCTTTCGGTTTCATGGTCTCAGTCTTGTGTTCCATGGTCGAAGCGCTGTGCTTCAGGGATGTAGTGGTACCAGCTTCATGATTTGAAGGTACTGTTGTTTGTTTTTTTTTTTTTTTATCTTGTTTGGTTCATATCTGTGGTTGTGCAGAGAAGCAAGGCAGTGGACATGGACGTGATATACTCACACCACATCGATACTTGAGGCACTTGCACTGCTTTATCCGTTTGGCGTTAAATGAGAGACTGTTTTTTCTTCGTCTGGTGCGGTGACTTTGCAGAGAAGCAATGCAGTGGATATGGACATGATATACTCACACCACATCGATCCACAGCTCGTCAGAAAGTGAGTATCGCACTGCACTTCATGGCACGCAGTGCACTACACAGCACTTTACTACACCGCACCGCACTGCACCGCGCCGCACGGCAACACACTGCACTGCACGTGCCATTCCATTCCATGGTTATTTCTAACGAGTTTTGTTTCGCTCTTAATTGGACCATGTAAACCCCATAACCCCATTCGCTTGTACCTCTGTACCAAAATTTCCTACTGAGAACCCATGTTGTTGCCACTTTCCATCATTGACATCTTCTCTCCTACTCTCCCATCCTGGTTCCGTTTACATGTTTTGACTCCCTCGTCTCAGTCTCGACTCCCTTGTCTCAACTCCCTCGTCTCAGTCTCAACTCCCTCGTCCCAACTCTCGCTTCACATCTCGTTTCACATTGCGTTGCAGATTGCGTTTCACATCGCGTTTCACATTGCGATTCATGTCTGGTTTCACATCTCGTTCATGTTCCCTTGTTCTTGTCGTTCCAGAATCGAACCACTGGAGATATTCGATGAGTTTGAGGAGTGGCATCTCATGCAGGTAGGCTTCATCGCTGCTTACTTTTGCCATTTCATGTTACAACTCATAAGCCGTTGGTCTCCTAGGCGTATACTTCTGAGGTAAATTCCACCTTCATTTCGGTTCTACCGCACTAGCACTGATTCAATCCCAAGGATCAACCCCTTTTATGTACGCACAGGAACACTACTGTATCGCTTATGGAATAAAGGATGCCCTGGTATGTTTTTCTCACTGACCACCCTTTGGCACCACATGGTGCAGCTGATTTCCGTTGTTTTCCTGCTAACAGCTTACCATTTTCTTCAATAGCTAGAGTCCTCTGTTTGAGCGATGCAGCATGAGATATTAATTTGTGTTCGTGTTTTGTATTTCAGGGTGTTTTACATAACTTTGGATTTCGTAATTTCTCTCAGGACACAACATAACCTGCACAGGTGCAATTTGTGATGGGATTGCTGTGAACAAATTTGGACCACCCTCTGATTAGAAGTAGTTTTTATCCTGTGTTGCAACAGATTTCATTATCAATTCCCGCAGAATTCACTTTGTACAGAGCCGGAATTATCAAAACTATGAGTATCGCTGGAATCCCAGATGATTCCGCGACCTGCAGTTTAAGTCATCAGCAGCCGCTGATCTCTGCCACCACCTATCCCGCAACCCTCGATTTCCGCTGCTTTGCTCCTTATTCAACATACCAATCTGCTTCTCAAATCTCGATCTAGGAGGCGGCTACAGTTCCACCAAAACACAGGTCCCATTCTCAAGCTCTCACAATAACTTGTGGAGCTTTATTGCCAGCTAAATCCTCCGTATTCTGAACAACCTCTAGGCTTGGAACCGAACGCATAAGTTGCCGGCATTCACGGGTGCAGCACGCTGCTGGTTCCATGCGCAGCCACGCAACTACCGCGAAACAGGTCCTTATTTACGATCTCCGTTCGTGACTTCCCCCCCAGCACGCCTAGCACCAGTCGCGGGCCCTTGATCAGCGGGTTGTAAACCACGACTTTCTTTTTCGGATCCGCCGTTGGTAACCCTTTACCCTTGGGTTGCGCTTTCAAAGTAACGTAGTCATAATTGTCGAAGAGCACATTAACCATTGCGATATCCTGAACCTTTTTCGTCTTCCAAATTAGTTGCATTAGAATCGCGGGGTTGATGCTCGCATTGACAAGCGCGCGATTGGTTGGAATGAGAATGGTTACCGCGGGAGGCAACTTGCTAGGAGCGTCCTTTTCTGTTTGGGAAAAGGCAAGGGGGAAGCGCAGGAAGAGAGGGGGGAATGGGGGTTGAGGGGGAGGCGGGGTTGTGGGAGGGAGGATGGGGGAGGGGGAGCAGGGTGTGTGGGCAGGGGGGAAGGGAGAAGGGGAAGGGAGAAGGGGGAAGGGAGAAGGGGGTGAGACGATACCAGAAGTCCATCTTTCTCGAATGTCACTTGTCTCAAAAAGTAAAAATATACTGCATGAAGGAGCTTGAGTCGACTCAGAACCCAGCTCAACCCCCCTGCCTCCTTGTACTACTAACATTATCTGTTCAAAAGACTGCATGAAAGCGCAACCTTCGTTTTAGGGTCGACTCAGAAATCGCCGCTGCCTCCTGTATTACTATCCGTTGTCCAGTTTGCATGAACGAGCACCACTGACCCTTGTATTCTAGCCCTTTCTTCAACCGCACTCAAGTGGCATGGAGCCGTACAGGAGGCTCTTGTATTCCATCCTTTGTCCAGACTGCATGAACGAGCACTGACCCTTGTATTCAAGCCCTTTGCTCATCGCAATAGCCATGCCGTCGTAACGCGTTGGTCGTTTCGCCAAAGTTCGTTGAAGCTTCTTCAGGTCGCCGACGAACTGTCGCCACGTGCATCCGACGTCGGGGAACGGGAAGCCTGGACTTACGACGGCTGCGGCAACGGTCTGCCCGATGAGAAAAACTGCGAGCGCTGCGAAAATACGAACGCGATTCGAAATCATGATCGAAAACTCGAGGCTGCTGACGACGAATCTGACAGATAGGTTTGGTTGGTCCGTCGAAGGTAGTAGAAGATGGAACGCGGGAAAGTGAAGTGACGCATCATGGGCTTTCACCTATTTATATATACCACCCTGCGACTGTTAGAGGCCTTACGAGCTTACAACAGATCCGCGTTGACTTTCTTTCTTTTACGAAAACACCAACGCGTCAGGAGCAGCTCAGGACTCAGGAGCAATCGGGGAGTGAGTGCCGTAAGGAGTCGGGCACTCTTGAGCTGAGTTTGATAAATAGTAGATTAGGGCAGGGGCAGAATGCACTATGTACCCAATAGAAAACGGAGGCGATTCGGATTAGAGTTGACTATGCGGGTTCTAGTTTTCCTGCCGGTTGCCCTAGTTGACTGTTCATACACGGTGGGCCACACTGTAGGGCGTATTCCTAGATTCGTTCCTTCCGTATTTGTGTCATCCGAAATTGTGGGAGCCAATCGAAAAACCCGTGTTTCGAGCTTTGACTTTTTCGATTAAATATCACAATTTCGGATGACACGAAGCCTGTATGACACGAAGGTAAAAACACGCCCTAACATGTGCAGTTTTCTACTCCCCCAATTTGACTCTGTAGTTCGTGGCTGGGTGGCTGGGTGCGGAGTGCCAGCTGGTGTTTCTTCCAAAAATTCTCCCTATAGGCGGGGACTGTCAGCGCATTACAAGAGTAGACCTATATATACAGATTATAGAAGAACAGGATATTACATTTCTTAAAAAACACGGAATATATGTTACACTTCGGGGAAACACGGAATATATGTTTCTTGCGCATCTCTGTATCCCCAGTCGGTTCACAGCAGCCGTTGATCGTTCACAAACAGATCCACAGCAGCTTCATTCTCTCTGTACACCCAGCAAAAGCCTTGGTCCCTCATTATCAAACCTTGCGCTGAGCAGAAAAAATTGGCTGCGTTCATGGCTGGAGCAGTCTGCTGATTCCTTGCGCAACAACGCAATTACCGCTAAACAGGTCCTTATTCATAACCTCCGCTCGTCCCTTCGCCCCGACAACGCCCAGCGTCATTCCCGTGCCTTGCCTCATCGGGCTATCCTGGCCCTTGTATCGCGCGACCTTCTTTTTCGAATCCGCCGTTTGTATTCCTTGCCCCTTGGGTGTAGACTTCAATGTACTGTAGTCGTATTCGCCGACGAGCACGTTCACCTTGGCGATACCCTGTACCTTCTTCTTGTTTTGAATGAGGTCGATCAGGAAAGCGGGGTTCAGGCTCGCGGCGAGAAGCGCGCGATTTGTTGGAACGAGAATGGTGACCGCAGGGAGCAATTCGCTTGGAGCATTCTTTTCTGTTGGGGAAGGGGAATGAAGATAAAGAAGGGGGGGGGGGGGGGGGGGGGGGGGGGGAGAGGAATGTGGGAGACGGGGAAGAGCAAAGGGTGTGAGTGTAGGAGGAGAAAGGAAAGAGTTAGGGTAATTAAAAAGCTCGCCTGTCAATGAAACACCTATGTTGGGCTTTCATCCCGAACCGGCGTCAACGCGACTCGGACCATCCTTTTGACCAAACTACACGAGCACTCACGCATTTTTTTCAGTCCTTGTTTCAGCGCGATGGCCATGCCACCGTAACGGATAGGATTTTTCGCCAAAGTTCGCTGAAGCTTCTTCATTTCGCCCACGAACTGATCCCATGTGCACACGCCGGTTCCGACGCCGGGGATCGGGATCGGAAAGCCCGGGATCAGCCCGGCTGCGTCCGCGCTCTGCGCGATAAACAGAACGGCGAGCGTTGCTAAAATTTGCCAGCGAATCCACGCCATCGTTGCGAATTCGACTCCACTAACCTCGAGCAAAGGGTGAATTGAGGGAGTTGGACTTGGACGAGAGATTGTTCGACAACAACACCATGAAGGTTTTCAGTCATTCTAGAAAGTATTTCGGCATATATAGCGCCAGGCGCTTGAGTGAGAACCGCTGATTTCAGTCCTCGATTCGACCACGTAGGCACTGTGAGATTCCGTCTCATGGCCCGCGCACTTGACGCTTGGATGATCAGCACAGTTGCAGCACCTGGAGGAGAAAGCAACATATCATTTTGCCACCCTCATCCAGCAGCCAAAACCTGCACGCTCCAACACCTCTTTACCAGGAGAAAACGTATGTTACCGAATCGAACCGCTGTGATTATTCTGTACTCATGTCGGTGGTCAGGGGTTTGCAGCTGCTGTAGCAGTTCGGCCCGTGGGGATGACCCCGAACCAGGTTCGGCAGCCAAATCAATCGACGGTTCTTGATCCCGCCACGTTCGCTGCGAGCATCTCCTGACATGGCAAGCTGTTGCCTGCCTATCACCACTTTCCGTGCATGATCGCAGCCGTCCAAATTTCTCATGTGCATGCATGCCGAAACATATGGGCGTTGTTCTGCAGGCGTTATTGGCGCCGCACCAATTTGACCGCCGTGGCCTTCCATGTAATTTCTAGGCGCATTCAGGCGGGTTGCGTTGCACGGAAATTGCTGCCCCGCATAACTTGTGCGGAGGCTGACGCTAGCTCCCGAGGTAGAATCAGCACCGCACAAGTTGTGCGACCATTTGCCCGGCGAAGCAACAACTTCGAACCTGCAGACGGTTAAATTTGTGCGCCGCATTAGTGGTGTCCTGCAGGCGAGAGCGTTAAATTTGGCGCGAACAGGTTTGGCAGAACCTCTCTTATCACCAAACCTTGGATAGGCAGAATACCACCTATCAACGAAGATTCTGCGGACCCAGTTTCTGGAAATTTAACGCCTACAGAACAGCACCATGCTCTCCCAAGCCAAGGTTTTGGTTCAATTCGCGCACTCGATTCTTGCTTCGCCGAAGCGCTGCTGTCATTCGCTACCCAACCAAACAGCGACCTACGTGAAGCAGCAAATGCCTATTGGTGCGGTTTGTCGGTGTGCGGCCCGGAAAGTGGCTCGCCGCCGATACCCTCGACAAAAACATCCTCGAAACCGGAAACAAAAATGAGCAGGTGCCCAAGGAAGCTTCAACATTTTATCTTAGTTAATAAGTAGAACCAGCAATGAATGAGCAATCTGCATCTTAGAAGAGTATATTTACTTCACATGATTTCACAGATTGATTCATGCTGATCCTTTTTTCCAGCTTCCATACCACCCTGAATGCGCCATCAACTCACCTAGCGTTTCCTAATCCTACAGTACGTTTCCTGGGTACCGTACCTTCCAATCTACCTCTTCCATATCCAATCCTCTCTTCCTCCTCCTAACCCACCTCTTACTCCTCTTCCACCCCTTCCTCCTCTTCCTCCCCTTCTTCCTCTCCCTCCTATATCTCCTCTTCCTTGTACCCCACTTCCTCCAATTCCTCTTCCTCCATGCACTGCTTCCCTATCACACACGCTCTCGTCCCTTCCTCTCCCACGCCCCTCCCACGCGTCCCAGGGGCTAATCTCCTGCTTGACATTCTGTCGCCGTGCTCCTCCTTTCTTTCCGTCTGCTTCTGAACCCCACCCTTGCCCTCCTTCTCCTCCCCAACTACCTCTGCCTCCCCCTCCCCCTCTTCCTTCTCCTCCCCCTTCACCTCCCACTTCCCCCAAAGCCCCTGTCCTTAGCCTTCCCCAACCGTCATCACCCCCTTTTCCTCCCCAACCACCTCTGTCCCCACATCCCTCTCCCCTTACTGCTCCTCCCCCTTCCCCCCAACTACCTGTTCCTACTGCTCCCCAACCGCCCCCACCTTCCCCTTCCCCTGCCCAACTACCTCCGCCCCACCCTCCTCCTCCCCCTTCTCCTTCCCCCTGACCACCCCCTTTCCCCCAACCCCCTCCCCAACCACCTCCACTTCCCCCTCCAACTCCCCCTTCTCTCCCCCAACTCCCCCCTGCTCCTCCCCACCCCTCTGAACCGACTTCTCCTGACCCCCATCCATCGTACAAACGCTCCTGCCCCTGTGATTTCCCTTCCGATCGTCCCTCCACTCGCCCTTCTTCTCGCCCTCGCACTTGCTCTTCCGCTAGCCCTTTCCCTACCAAAAGCCCTTCCCCTTGTCCTCCCGCCAACCCTTCCCCCACTGAATGCCCATGCTTGAACCCAGGTGGTCCCTCCTCCGCACCAGCATCAGCGCTTGGCTGAGCTCTGAAGCTGTAAACCCTTCCTTCCCCTCCCCTTCCCCTCCCCCCTCCCCCCCCTCTCCCTCTCCCTCCCCTCCCTCTCACGCCTCTTCCTCTCCCTCCACCTTCCACGCCTTCTCCCCAACTCGGAATCCCTAGCATCTCCGCCCCTTCACCCCTCCACCCCGACCCCCCTCGCTCCAATTCCCTCTCTCTTTCCTCTCTCCGCTCCCACCGTTCCCTCCTCTCCCTGCTCCTACTTCTGCTGCTCCTCTCCTTTCCTCTCCTCCTGTCTCTGCTTCTGCTTCTGCTCATGCTTCTTCCATCTCTGCTCCTACTCCTCCTCCTTTCCCTGTCCCTGCTTCCACTCCTGTGCCTTCCCCTATCCTTGCTTCTGCTTCTCTTTCTACCCCTATCTCTGCTCCTGCTCCTCCTTCTCCTTTCTCTGCTCCTACTCCTGTGCCTACCCTTATCCTTGCTCCTGCTCCTCTCTCTACCCCTGCTTCTTCTGCTGCTGGGACTACTAACTTCATTGCTCCTCCTGCCCTCTTCTCCTCTTGTCCCTTGCTCCTCTCCTCTTGTCCCTTGCTCCTCTCCTCTTGTCCCTTGCTCCTCTCCTCTTGTCCCTTGCACCTCTCCTCCTGTCCCTTGCTCCTTTCTTCCCCTTCCAGTCCCTGCCACTCCAGATCTCCCTTCCAATTCCACTCTCTCTCCCACCCCCTCCATTCCCTTCCCTTGCCCTCTCAACACACTGCAGTTTTCTTCTGTCACTCCCTTACCACCCTCCCCCATTCCCTTACCCCCCTCTCCCACTCTCTTACCACTCACTCCCACTTCTCCCCCTCTCCCGTCGCCTCCTCCACCCACTCTGCCGCCAGAGTTTTGTGCCGTCTCAGAACCATTTCCCACTCCTCTTTCTCCTCCCGCTCCCACGCCCCCCACTCCGCCCACTGCCCCTTCAGTCCTCTCCATTCCCCCACCACCTGCCCTTTCCTCTCCATTCCCCTCTCCGTTTCCCCACCCCCCTCCTCCACCCCCTCCCATGGCCCCCATTGCCTGTGCGAGCCTCTCCTCTCTCCTCCTCCGTATCCCCAGCTTCAGTTCCATAGAGTCTAATGAATCCTCCTCACTCTCATCATCACTCTCGCCATAGTCACATTCTTCCACATCCTCATCCTCCTCACTGCAATCCATGTCAACACCATTATAGTCACCACCATCACCATAACCACCATCATTATCGTCGTCAGCAGCACCAGCAGAAGCGCCATCAGCAGCAGCAAAAGCAGCAGCGACAGCAGCACCACCACCATCAGCAGCACCACCATCGGCAGAACCACCAGCACCACCATCAGCACCACCATCAACAGAACCACCAGCACCACTAGCTGATGGTGCTGCAGGCACATCTTTCATTTCTGTTGCCGTTGTTGTTGCTGCAGTACCAGCAGCACCATTACCATCATCAACATCAGCAGCAGCAGCAGTATCTTCCATTTCTGTTGCCGTTGTTGTTGCTGCAGTACCAGCAGCATCATTACCATCATCAACATCAGCAGCAGCAGCAGTACCAACACCACCACTTACTGATGGTGCTGCTGCCACATCTTCCATTTCTGTTGCCGTTGCTGCTGCAGTGGCTCCTGCTGCTACTGCTGCTGCTGTTACACCTGTTACACCTGTTGCTCCTGCTGCTGCTGTTACACCTGTTACACCTGTTGCTCCTGCTGCTGCTGTTACACCTGTTACAACTGCTGCTCCTGTTGCTCCGGCTGCTGCTGTTACACCTGTTGCTCCTGGTGCTACTGCTGCTGCTGGTGTAGTAGGAGTAGCAGCCACCACCCTTCGTTCCTCTCCATGTGCCACTATCTTCAGCCCTATTCGCATAGCCGGTACCATTTCCGTCGATGTTCCCGTTGCCCTTGCTGCAGTTGCTGCTCCTGCTGCTCCTCCTACCAATGCTCCTGCAGCTGTAGCTTCTCCTGCTGCTCTTCCTACCCCATCTGCCGCAACTACTTCCCCCCCAGGTGTTGCTGTTGGCCTTGCTGCTCTTGTTTCACCTGCTCCTTCTGCCTTTTCTGATTTGGCTTCTGCTGCCAATTGCTGCCCTGCTGCTAACTGCTGCCCTGCTGCTAACTGCTGCCCTGCTGCCAACTGCTGCCCTGCTGCTATCTGCTGCCCTGCTGCCAATTGCTGCTCTCGTGCCAACTGCTGCTGGTCTGCTGCTAGTTTCACCGGCCTCCACTCATCCAAAAGCGACCCCAACCGATCAGCAATCACAGCACCACCACTAACAGCAGCATCCCTCGCATTCCACACAAGCGTATCCCTAAACCCCGCGTGGCCTTCCCACTGGTACAACTGAGTAAGTGAGTAGGGTCCCTGAATGCGCCCTTTGGGGTCTGTGTAACACCACCATGGTTGGTGTAGCAGTTTGAATGGCACGATAACAGTGGTGACGGTGGCGGGAGCAGCTATTGGGACGGTGGTGGTGGGAGCAGGGGCAGGGGCAGGAGCAGGAGCAGGGGCAGGGGCAGAAGCAGGGGCAGGGGCAGGGGCAGGGGCAGGAGAAGCAAGAGTAACAGAGGCGGACGATGCAAGAGGAGAAGGGGTTGAAGTTGTGACAGGTGCAGGGGCAGCAAAGGCAGGTGCAACTGGGGAAGGCATGGAAGAGGCAGGCATGGCAGGGGTAGGAGCAACCGGAGCAGGCACAACTGTGACAGGCGCAAGAGGGGCAGGCACAGTCTCCCTGCTCCCACCATCCCTCCTCTCTCTCCTCTCCACATTCCCACCATCCCTCCTCTCCTTGCTCCCATCTCGATGACTCTCTCTTTGCATCTCCCTGCTTCGCTCACTCCCTTTTTCTCGTCCTGTCTCCCCCTCCCTATCGCTTCCTCTCACTCTATCCCTCTCCCTGTCCCTTGATCTCTCTCCACCCCTCTCCCTCTCCCTCGATCTCTCTCGACCCCTCTCCCTCTCCCTCGATCTCTCTCTACCCCTCTCCCTCTCCCTTGACATCTCTCTATCCCTTCTCCTGTCCCTTGATCTCTCTCCACCCCTCTCCCTCTCCCTTGATCCCTCTCTACCCCTCTCCCTCTCCCTCGATCTCTCTCTACCCCTCTCCCTCTCCCAGCTCCTCTCCCTCCTACTCTCTCTTGCCCTCGTCTCATCCCTTCCCCAAACCCTATCGCCTCCCATGTCCCTTCCTCTTTCTCGCTCTCTCTCCTCATACCTCCCTCTCACATCCCTCCCTCCACTCTCACCTCCTCTGCTCCGCTTCCCCTCCCTCTCACTCTCCCCATCATCCCGCTCCCCCCCTTCCCTCCCCCTCTTCCTATCTTGAGTGCTCCCTCTATCCGAAGTCTCTCCATACCCTGACTGCTGCTGCTGCTGCTGCTGCTGCTGCTGCTGCTGTTGTTGTTGCTGCGGCTGCTGCTGCTGCTGCTGCTGCTGTTGTTGTTGCTGCTGCTGCTGCTGCTGCTGCTGCTGCTGTTGTTGTTGCTGCTGCTGCTGCTGCTGCTGCTGTTGTTGTTGCTGCGGCTGCTGCTGCTGCTGCTGCTGTTGTTGTTGCTGCTGCTGCTGCTGCTGCTGCTGTTGTTGTTGCTGCGGCTGCTGCTGCTGCTGCTGTTGTTGTTGCTGCTGTTGCTGCTGCTGCTGCTGCTGCTGTTGTTGTTGCTGCGGCTGCTGCTGCTGCTGCTGCTGTTGTTGTTGCTGCTGCTGCTGCTGCTGCTGCTGTTGTTGTTGCTGCGGCTGCTGCTGCTGCTGCTGTTGTTGTTGCTGCGGCCACTGCTGCTGCTGTTGTTGTTGCTGCTGCTGCTGCTGCTGCTGCTGTTGTTGTTGCTGCGGCTGCTGCTGCTGCTGCTGTTGTTGTTGCTGCTGTTGCTGCTGCTGCTGCTGTTGTTGTTGCGGCTGCTGCTCCTGCAGGTGCTCCTGTTGGCTTGAATACACTCCCTGCACTTTGCTAATACTACCCTTCAAACGAGCATCACAGTCAGCAGCAGCGGCAGCAGTAGTAGCAGCAGCAGCAGCAACAGTGGCAGCACCACCAGCACCACCACCAGCACCACCACCACCAGCCGAAAGAGCAGCAGTAGCACTTGCACCAGCACCAACAGCAGGATAAGCAGCAGCAGCAGGAGGAGGAGCAGCAGGAGTAGCAGCAGCATGAGCTGTGGCAGAAGCAACATTAGGCTTGATTGCAGGGGCAGCAGGAGCATCAACAGCACAAGCAGCAGCAGGATCAGCAGGAGCAGGAGGAGCGGCAGGAGCAGGTGCAATGCCGCTTGCTGTACCAGGTGTGTCCACTAGCGAAGGAAGAGAGTGAGGTGCTGTTGACGTTGAAGTGCAAGGTTTCCCCCCTGTGGGGGAAAGTGCGCCTTCTGGGGGAGGCGGTTTCCCCCCTGTGGGGGAAAGTGCGCCCTCTGGGGGAGGCGGTTTCCCCCCTGTGGGGGAAAGTGCGCCTTCTGGGGGAGGCGGTTTCCCCCCTGTGGGGGAAAGTGCGCCTTCTGGGGGAGGCGGTTTCCCCCCTGTGGGGGGAAGTGCGCCCTCTGGGGGATGCGGTTTCCCCCCTGTGGGGGGAAGTGCGCCCTCTGGGGGATGCGGTTTCCCCGCTGTAGGGGGAAGTGCGCCCTCTGGGGGAGGCGGTTTCCCCCCTGTAGGGGGAAGTGCGCCCTCTGGGGGAGGTGGAAGAGAGTCATTCGCCCCTGAGGTGCAAGGCTTCCCCCATGCTTGGGGAGGAGCGCCCCCTGGGGGAGGCGGAAGTCCCCCTGGGGGCGGAGGTGCCCCCCCTGTGGGCGGAGGTGCCCCCCCTGTGGGCGGAGGTGCCACCCCTGTGGGCGGAGGTGCCACCCCTGTGGGCGCAATCACCCACTCTGTGGGCGGAGCTGCTCCCCCTGCGGGCGGAGGTGCTCCCCTTGTGGGTGGAGGTGTTATTTTTGGGGGCGGAGCTGCTCCCCCTGCAGGCGGAGGTGCTCCCCCTGGGGCCAAAATTGCCTCTCTAGGGGGGAAAACGGCTGGGGGAAGAGGGGAAAACGTCTGTGGGGGAACGACGCCAGGGGGAAGGAGTTGGTCTTCTGGCTGGTCCTGTGGTGACTGACAGGTGGAGAGAGTTATGAAGTCAGGAGAAGTCAACTTTTGAGACGTGTCCAAAGGTGAGTGACAGCTAGAGAGAGGTATGAAGTCGGGAGCCGTCAGGGGGCTGTGTGTGTTTGGAGGGAAACTGGACGGATGGGCGGAGGGGGGGGAAGGATGCGTGGAGGATGGGGAGGGATGCACGGGGTAGGGAGAGGGATGGGCGGAGGATGGGGATTGATGGGTGGGGTAGGGAGAGGGATGGGCGGAGGATGGGGAGGGATGGGCGGGGTAGGGAGAGGGATGGGTGGTGGGGTGGAGTTTGGGAAGGAGTGGGTTGAGAGGAGGGTGTGGTTGAGGAGGGCGTATGTGGGGTGGGGGCATTTGAAGAGGGGGCATCTGGGGAGGGGGCAGTTGCGGAGGGGGCATTTGGTGAGGGGGCATTTGGGGAGGGGGCAATTGGGGGAGAGAGCTATGTGGGTGGAGACTTGAAGGCGGGGTGTAGGAAGGGGGATGGGCGGAGGGGGGGTGGGAGGAAGGGGGTTGTGAAGAGGGGGGTTGGGAGGACGGGGCATGGGCGGAAGGAGGAAGTTGGGTGTGAGGCGGTTCGGTGGGAGGTGGTTCGGTGTGAGGAGGTTGGGTGGGAAGCAGTTGGGTGGGAGGCGGATGGGTGGTAGGGGTAAGAGAGGGGTGCGAGGGCGGGTGTCTAGGGGCAGAGGAGCCGTCAGCATCAACATCAAGGAGTATGGGGCGGTTGAGAAAGGTGAGGCGGTATTCTGGGCTCCTGATGTCCATGAGGAGTCGATGGGACTCCGCGAATGTGGTGGGTGGAAGATAGAAAAGAATAGGGAAGGGGGAAGAGAGAAAAGAAGAGAAGGGGGAAGAGAAAAAAAAAGAGAAGAGGGAAGAGAGAAAAGAAGAGAGAAAGGAGAAGGAAAGAAAACATTAACAGAGAAGAAACGGGAGAAGACGGAAAGAGAGAACATAGATGCGTAGAGGGGGTAGGGTGGGTGCAGAGAGATGGTCAAGGAGAAACGACTTTTGAGTCGACGCAAAAGATAAAGGTCACAAGACGCAGAGCGGCATTGAAATGGAAGACCTTTAAAGAAGTAGAAAAAAAAAAGACGAAATGGAGGTTGCAGAGATAAGAAGGGAAGAAGGACGGGAAGGCTCGCAAAGGATTGCAAAAAAAAGACGAGAGAAAAAACCCAGAAGGGAATAAACGAAGGGAAGGAGTACGAGACGAGACAGCACGCAAAAGAGTTGTTTGAGGGTTTAGGGTGTTTGAGTTCATACGTAGTTGAAGAGTGGAGAGGGAGAGCTAAGAGGATGCGAGAAATGCAAGAGAGAAGAGAAAAAATAGTGAATGGAATAAGAGCAAGTGAAGTAGTGGTGAACAGCAAGAGCAAATGAATAAGCGAGAGATGAGGGCAGAGAGGGCAGAGAGCGCAGAAAGCGCAGAGCGACGGCAGGGAGGGCAGGGAGTGTGACGTGCAGTAGGGGGGTGAGGGCAGTAACGGTAGTGAAAGTGAAGGGAATGAGGGGATATTTTTTGGCCTTCTTGAGCTGCTGCACTCGCTCCAGACTTTGATGGTACTCCTGCAACATCATGGGAAAAGAGAAGACAAGGGAAACAAGCCGTGTTTAGAAGAAAAAAATGCACTCAAGGATAAAGCGCACTTGAAAATGAATTGCAGAAGTGCATGTTAATTCAAAGTACATAGCACACTCACCCACCGTCGTTGAATCGTCTCAAATCAAAACTCCATAGACAATATGTTATAAAAATATGTTGTATGTATATATATATATATATCAGGTACATGTGTTATCTAGCTATGTTTTATATACGTTAGTACACTCACCGTCTCAAAGTAGATATGCCTTATCTGGCGCACCTGCTCCTCCAACTTGTCCTGAGCACATTGGGGTGGGGAGGAGAGATGCGTTGGTTGCAGGGGTTTCATTTCAGACTGGAATTACAAGTTTAGGGTTCAGAACAAGGGGGAGCAAGTGGTGTGGTGGGTTCATGCCTTATCTGGCGCACCTGCTCCTCCAACTTGTCCTGAGACAATCTGATGGGGGAGGGGGGGAGGAGGGGAGGTGGCGTAGTGGATGGGGAGAAACGGGGAGCCAGGGTTTAGAGTTCATGGTGAGTGGATGGAAGAAGGGTTCATGCCTCAGCTGCCGCACCTGCCCCTCCAACTTGTCCTGGGATGATTGAGAAAGAAGGGGGAAGGAAGGGGATGTTGGTTAGCACGGTGAGGGGATGGAAGAAAATTCATGCCTCAGCTGGTGCACCTGCTCCTCCAACTTGACCGGGGATGATTGGGAAAGAAGGGATGAGAGGGGGGGTGGTGGAAAGGGGGGAACAAGTGTTGGTTTACAAGAGTTATGAATGGTTTAGGGTTTACTCTCTGCGACGTCCCACGCCTCCCCGATTGACATCCCTGTTGCGTCGGTGCGGCGTAGTCGACTTGTGAAAGGAGCTTCTCTTTACGCCACTCGAACTTGAGCGTAAACTCCTCTTCAATGATGTATTTCGACAACATGTCCTCATCGAGGTTCTCGCACACACTTGGTGGCTGCACCATCTGCTTTTGAGTCGACTCAAAAGCAGACTCTTTACGCCACTCGAACTCGAGCGTAAACCCCTCTTCAATGATGTATTTCGACAGCGTGTCCTCGTCGCGGTCCTCGCGCACACCCGATAGCTTCACCATCTGGAGCAGCAGATTGTAGCGCTTGCGGAGTCCCTCAAGGACACGGGCAATGTACGATGACGTCGAGTAGTCGACTTCAGCAAGCAAGTCGGCTATAATGCTCTACGCACAGCTGCATTACGGCGTCACAGTATCGTGCTTGCACATGTCGACGTTGCTTAGCCGCTGCTCAAGTTGGTTGATGTAAAGGTCGTCGGTTCCTTTGTACGTCATCATGATAAATCGTCGGGTCTGAAACCGACGTCTTCACCTTAGGCGACAAGGCTTCAACGTCACTTGTACGACTGGCAAACAGCACCTCGAGATAATCATGAATGTCAACAGCTGCATGGAGTGAAACTGTGAACGGCACGCACCGTCGTTGTCCGACGGCATGATAACCATCATGTTCAGCTGACAATCTCCAACTGCGGCTCAATCAACTCCACCCACGTCGATAAACCGTGGCGACCTTCAAGCAGCTTCGAAACGACAAACTTGCCCAGCGAGAACTTGAAGTAGCCATACTCAGAAGGTTTAGGGTTTTATACAACGAGCAATCAACAATACAAGCATCGTGTCCCGATATCGACTCACCATGAAGAAGGGAGGCAGTGACCCTCTTCGCACCAACTCTTTGACCTCCGCCACCTCGGGAGCGCAAAACACCCCATCTGAAAACTCGGTCACTGGGCACCTATCCAGACGGTTCTTTCGGCCATCCAATACTGTCACCATCATCATGTGTTGTCGCTGGTTCTGCTGAAGCTGGTGTTGCTGATGCATGCTGAATCCCGGTGGGCCAAAGGCTGCTGATGTGAAATACTCAACATCTGGGCAAAGGGCAAAGAAAAGCCCAGGAATGGACAAGTGCAGGGAATGGATAAGTTAAGAGCATTGCGCATTCAGCCATAGTTGAACGAGGGCAGTTGGAGAGGCATAGTTAGAGAGTAGCTGTAATGAGGGCAATTATGGCTGTAACGAGGACAACCACAGTTAAAACGAAGACAAAAAAGTTGAGACGAGGACAATCACAACAATGACGAAGACCATCATAGTTGTAAAAAGGACGGGCTTACCTGTAACAAGCACTAACTTACTTGTAACGAGGACAAGCTTGTACCCTGACGCGTTCACCATTTCAAACACATCCGAACACCGCAACCGAGCCAGTCCGCCCACCAACATCCCTCTCAACGCCTCTGCACTCCTCTCCAAGCTGCCTCCCAGCTCAGAAGCCTTTTCTAACCCGAGCCTCTCAGCAACCTCCATGTGCCTGCGCCTAAGGAAAATCTGGGTCAGATTGCGATCGTTGATGGCTGCGTATGGTGCTCCTTCCACTGCTGCCCCATCATCCCCACCATCATTATCATCGTGGGTATGTGCATGTGCATCACCATGCCCATGCCGGTGCCCGTGCCCATGCCCATGCGTGTGCCCATGCCCATGCTCGTGCCTGTGCCCATGCCCATGCCCATGCCCATGCCCATGACCATGCCCGAGCCTGTTCCCAAGCCTATGCAGAAGCCTTTGGCTGAGCCCTTGTCCCCGCACATGCCCATGCCCGTGCGCATGCCCGTGAGTATCATGAACATCATGGTCCACAGAACCGGCACTCCTGTGTCCTCTAAACCCATGCCCTTCCTCCTCCTCCACCCCCTCCTCCTCTTCCTCCTCCTCCTCTTCCTCCTCTTCCTCTTCCTCCTCACAAAAGTCATCCTCCTCCTCTTCCTCCTCTCTATCACCCCACCCACGACCACCACCACCTCCTCTTCCTCCTCCCCTCCCTCCTCTCCTGCCCCCACTCCCTCTGCCCCCTCCCCCTCCTCCTCTTCCCCCTCCAAACCCCCCTCTGCTCCCCCTTCCCCTCCCCCTTCCTCTCCCTGCCCCTCTCCCTCTTCCTCCCCACTCTCCTCTTCCCACGCCTCTCCCCCACCCTCTCCCTCTGCTCACCCCTCTCCCCCTCATACTTCCCTTCTCCCTCCCAATAGAAGCACAAGGAACAAAGTCAGGATCACTAATATCATCCCTGCCAACCCCTCCCCACCCTCCTCCACCCCTGCCGTTACCTCGTTCCGCTCCTCCTCCCACTCCTCCTCCTCTCCCTGAGCCTCTTCCCAAGCCTCTTCCCAAGCCTCTCCCCAAGCCTCTTCCCAAGCCTCTCACCAAGCCTCTCCCCAAGCCTCTCCCCAAGCCTCTCGCCAACCCTCTCCCAGCACCGCGCCTCCCACCTCCCCTACTATTCTTCTCCAGACTCCCTCCTTCCCCATCACACCCCAACGAACTCACAAGCCTCCCCTTCGCTCCACGTGGCAGCATCGTCTTTACACTCCCACCCTGCCTCAGCCTGCTGCTTCTATACCTAACCGCAGCCGCCCGTCCTTGCTGCAATTTGATATTGAATCTTCTGGATAGAGGTACATCCTCTCCCTCATCCCCACTGTCACTCAGAGCGAAGTAGTTACCCTTTGCCCGTCCCTCTCCATCTTTTCCCTCCTCCTGTGCTGCCGCTGCTGCTGTGGCTGCTCTATGCTTGCTCCGAGGTAAGGAATCAGCTCCCAGTGTCTCATTTTCATCCTCACCTACACTCTCACTGTCGCTCAACTTCCAGTATTCATCTGTCCTCCTCCTTTGGCCCTCGCCCTCCTCTTCTCTTCTTCCTCCTTCTCCTCTTCGTTCTCCCACTCCTCCCTCATATTCCTCCTCTGCTACCTCCTCACTCCCTTCCTCCTCCTCCTCATCTCCCTCTTCTTCCTCCTCCTCTGCTTCTGCTCCTTCTCCCATCATTCCCTCTCTCTCTCCCTCCCCATCCCCATCCCCATCCCCATCCCCCTCCTCCTCCCCCTCCCCCTCCCCTTCCCCCTCCCCCTCCACCTCCTCCTCCTCATCTCCCAACATACCCAGCTCTATCCCACACAGCCACCTCTCTCTCAGAGAGCCCCAGTCATCAGGAGCCTTCCCCACGTCGATCATCAACCGCCCCCGATCGCGCATCACCGAGTGATAGTCCTTGAAATACCACGCAGGGGAATAGGTGTTGTCCATGTCTAGGAGACGCTGCAACAGGCACAGAAGGAGGGAAAGTGGCCTAGTTATGAGCCGTGCTGAGTCATCACCACCACCTTCACATAGCATGCGACACGTTCCGGTGGGATAGGAGCGGAGCGCTTGACACCTCGCCTCAGCATCAAAGCATCTAAAAACAGCACTCAAGAAAGACAGAGTACTCACGCCAGTCGGGGTCCTCTCGATGCCATGCTGAATCATCGCCACCTTCACATAGCACGCGCCGCACAGCCCCAGAACCTTCCGCCCTCCTTCCTCCAGCTGCTCCAGCCTCCACCCCACACTCCCTTCCCTCCTCTCCTCGCCTTCCCTGCCCCACCAGATACTCCCCCCCTCTGACAGCCCTTTCTCCCCATCCTTTTCTTTTCCCTTCCCTTCCCTCCTCTCCTCGCCCTCCCTGCCCCACCATATACTCCCTCCCTCTGACAACCCCTTCTCATCCGCATTCCTCCTCACATTCTCCTCGTCGGCATCCTCACCTCCCCTCTCCTTTGCACTCTCTTGCCCCCTTCCCCCCTCTGGTTCCTCCTCCACACCTTCCTCTTCTGTTCCATTCTCCTTTTCCGTTCCATTCTCCTCTTCTGTTCCACTCTCTCTCCCCCGCTTACGCCCCCTCTCCCTTCCACCCTCCTCATCCTCCCTCGCTCCTTCCCTCCCTTTACCATCCCCACTCTCCCCCCCCATCCCCTTTTCCCTCGCTTCCTCATCATTCCCATCCTGCATTTGTTTAGGCACCTCTACAATCAATCCAACCCCACTCCTCCTTTCCATTTCCTTCCCCCTCATCTCCTTCCCATCCTGCATTTGTTTAGGCACCTCTACAATCAATCCAACCCCACTCCTCCTTTCCATTTCCTTCCCCCTCATCTCCTTCCCATCCTGCATTTGTTTAGGCACCTCTACAATCAATCCAACCCCACTCCTCCTTTTCATTTCCTTCCCCCTCATCTCCTTCCCATCCTGCATTTGTTTAGGCACCTCTACAATCAATCCAACCCCACTCCCACCCTCCACCTCGTTCCCCCTCGCCTCCTCCTTCCCATCATGCCTTTCCCCACCAGCAATCCCACTCCCCTCCCAGCTTCTTCTCCTGCCCTTCCCTCCCTCCGCGCCCGAAACCCTGCCCCACGCGAGCCGGGCAGCGAATTGAGCTGCCCGGGAAAGTTTCAAGGTCCAGATACTTTTCACTCGGGCAGAAAAAGCAGGGTCCATCCAGACATGGCGGTGCAGGAAGCGAAGGCAACGCCAGCAGAGGGAGGTGGGGCAGAGGAGGCAGAGGAAGAGGGAGGAGCGACGGCAGCCACGGGAGCAGGAGTGCCACACTGTGGGGGGGGGAGGAGAGGAAACAGGGTGGGAGAGGGAAAAGGAAGGGAGGGACACGGAAGGGATGGGTACAGAGGGAGGGGGAAGGGAGGGGTAGAGAGGGAGAGGGAGGGGCGAGGTAGAGGGAGGAGGTGACTCAGAAGAAGCAGGGTCCATCCAGACATGGCGGCGCAGGAAGCGGAGGCAACCCCAGCAGAGGGAGGTGGGGCAGAGGAGGCAGAGGAAGAGGGAGGAGCGACGGCAGCCACAGGAGCAGGAGTGCCACACTGTGTGCGGGGAGACAGGGTGGGAAGGGTAAAGTGGGAAGGGAGCGCACAGTGAGTGAAAGAAAGACAAAAGAAGGTGAGCAAAATATACCAAGGAAGAGGGAGGAGTGACGGCAGGCACGGGAGGAGGTGTGGCACACTGACTGACACAAATACTGACTGAGGGTAAGTGGTACATTGATTGAAGGTATGTGTCTATATTGGTATGAATTTTGAGAATTCTCTTTTGAGATTTTCTAGAATTCTCAAAAGTCATACCAATAATACTGACTCAAATACTGACTGAGGTCGTATCCTTGGCTAGTGTCAAGATACTGTTGGTGTCAAGCGGGAAATTCGCTTGACACCAAGTGGAGCCGCGCTTACGCGCGGCTCCAGGTTGGTGTCAATGTTGCCAACATTGTGCCAACTTCCCGAGCCATCCCAAGCTGACACCAGGAGGTTTAGTCCTCCATGCGTTTTCCGAAATAGTGTCATGACACTAACCACTCTTGACACTAGCCAGGGATACGACCTGAGGGTAAGTGGTACATTGATTGAAGGTATGTGTTTATATTGGTATGACTTTTGAGAATTCTCTTTTGAGTTTTTTTAGAATTCTCAAAAGTCATACCAATAATACTGACACAAATACTGACTGAGGGTAAGTGGTACATTGATTGAAGGTATGTGTCTATATTGGTATGACTTTTGAGTCTTCTCTTTTGAGATTTTTGAGAATTCTCAAAAGTCATACCAGTAATACTGACTCAAATACTGACTGAGGGTAAGTGGTACATTGATTGAAGGTATATGTCTATATTGGTATGACTTTTGAGAATTCTCTTTTGAGATTTTTGAGAATTCTCAAAAGTCATACCAATAATACTGACACAAATACTGACTGAGGGTAAATGGTACATTGATTGAAGGTATGTGTCTATATTGGTATGACTTTTGAGAACTCTTTTTTGAGATTTTTTAGAATTCTCAAAAGTCATACCAATAATACTGACTCAAATACTGACTGAGGGTAAGTGGTACATTGATTGAAGGTATGTGTCTATATTGGTATGATTTTTGAGAATTCTCTTTTGAGATTTTTTAGAATTCTCAAAAGTCATACCAATAATACTGACTCAAATACTGACTGAGGGTAGGTGGTACATTGATTGAAGGTATGTGTCTATATTGGTATGACTTTTGAAAATTCTCTTTTGAGATTTTTGAGAATTCTCAAAAGTCATACCAGTAATACTGACTCAAATACTGGCTGAGGGTAAGTGGTACATTGATTGAAGGTATGTGTCTATGTTGGTATGACTTTTGAGAATTCTCTTTTGATATTTTTGAGCATTCTCAAAAGTCATACCAATAATACTGACTCAAATACTGACTGAGGGTAAGTGGTACATTGACTGAAGGTATGTGTCTATTTTTGTGTCGACTCAAAAAGACGGGGGGGCCGGCGGCAGGCACGGGAGGAGGTGTGGCACACTGACTACTGAATCGCATGTGCCTGCCACACTGATTATGCAGCCTCCGTCACACCACTCACCGCAAGTCCAAGGGGCAGAAGACTCGAAAACCTTTTCGGGCAGCCCGGTGCACTCTGGATGGTACGCCTTGGGGCAGCCCCTGAAATATCAAAGTGAAAAAAAAAGAATAATTTTCAGAGAAGAAGGGAGGTCTGTACACCGCCAACAACAGGGTATGATAGATTACTAGCACTCCCCCTCGCCCCGCCCCTCATCCCTCTTATCATCCCACCCACTCACCTCTTATCACATGCCACCAAGTCACCACCATCGTAGCACACAAAGCAGTAATCCTCACACTGCATATCTCCCCCCCCCACCTCCTCCTCCTCCCCCCTCCCTTCACCCTCCTCACCCGCCACTCCCTTCCCCTCCACCACTCCTCCTCCTCTCTCCTCCTCCCTCTCTGCCAGTGCTCCCTGTGACAACAACTCCACAGCAGTCTGTATGTGCCGTTTTCGAGCATCCTCAGCCTTATCTCGTGACGATGATGCCACAGCCGTTTGGGCTTGCCAAGCGGCCACCAGAGCAGCCTGTGCTTTCCGAGAAGACACCGCAGTTGCTGCCTGTTCCGCTGTCTTGCAGGCATCGTGCAACAGCCGGTTCAGCTCCTTGGAAAGCCTAGGAGCCTTCGGAGGTGTTGTGTGGGAGACAGTTGCTGGCTCGGAAACCGCAGCTGCTGGCTCTTCTGTTGCTGTCTCGCAGGCGTCACTCAGCAGCAGATTCAGCTCCTTGGAAAGCCTAGGAGCTTTTGGAGGGGTTGAGTGGGAAACCGCTTTTCCAGGCTTCTGAGGTGTTGCGTCGGAGACTGTATATTGAGGCGCCTGACAAGCCGTGTGCGAAACCGCTGCTGCCTCTGAAGCTGCAGTCTTGCAGGTGCCATGATCAGCTGCTTCTACTTCCCCTCCTCCCTTCCCACCTTCTCCTTTCCCTCCTTCGCCTTCCCCTCCTCCCCCTCCTCCACCTTCTTCCCCTGCTTCCTCAGCTTTCTCCACTTTCCCGTCCTGCTGCCCTCCCGTTGCTCCCTGCCCTACTGAACCTCCCTGCCCTCCCGTTCCTCCCCCTCCTCCACCTTCTTCCCCTGCTTCCTCAGCTTTCTCCACTTCTCCGTCCTGCTGCCCTCCCGTTGCTCCCTGCCCTGCCATTCCACTCTGCTCATCAACCCCCACACAAGCACTCTTGCCCCTTCCACTCATGTCCCCTCCAGCCCTCGCCACCTCCCTTCCCCAGTCTCCTTCCTCCTTGCCTTCCTTATCCCCCCTCTCCCTGTTCTCCTCCCTCTCTTCGCCCTCCTTCTCCTTCCCCTCCTTCCCCCCCCCCCTCCTTCCCCTCCCCCTCCTTCCCCTCCCCCTCCTCCCCCTTCTTCCCACCATGGATCTCCATCTCATACACTCCTCCTCCACCGCCCTCTCTCTCTTCCACTCCCCCCTTCTCCTCCACTGCTTCTTTCTCTTCTACTTGCCAGTGCTTTATCTGCGCCCCCTCCTTCCCCTTGCCCTCCCCACCCTCCTCCTCCCCCTCACCATCCTCCCTCCCCGCGTACTCCTCTCCACCGTCGATCTCCATCTCACACTCTCCTCCACACGCTTCTCCCTCCTCCATCCCCCCCTTCACCTCCACTGCTTCTGCCTGACAGTGTTTTACCCGACCCTCCTTCCCATCCTCTCCCTGCTTCCCACCGTCGATCTCCATCTCACACTCTCCTCCACAGTCCTCTCCCTCCTCCAATCTCTTTTTCCCTTGAACTGCTTCTGCCTGCCAGTGCTTTATCTGACCCTCCTCCTCCCCCTTGCCCTCATTTCCCTCCTCGCCCTTCTCCCCATCGTGTTTCTCCACCTCACACGCCCCTCTACATGCCTCTCTCTCCTCCACTCTCCCCTCCACTTCCAATGCTTCTTCCTCTTTCACCTGCCAATGCTTTATCTGCGCCTCCCCTTCCTCCTGCCTCTCCTTTCCTTCTTCCACCTCCTCCCCCACCCCCCCCTCCTCTCTCTCCCCACTCTCATCTCCATCTTCTCTCTCCTCTTCTTTGATGTCTCCCCTCTCCACCTCCTCTCCTTCTTCCCCTCCTTTCCGACCCCTACCTCCTGCCCCCTCATTGCTTTCTTCATCCGTCTCCACCTCGCTTTCTCTCACCTCCCCTTCCTCCTCTTCTTCCTCTCCTCCACTTTCCCACACTTCACCCTCCTCCTCCTCTTCGGCCTCCTCCTCCTCCTCCTCCTCCTCCTCCTCCTCCTCCTCCTCCTCCTCCTCCTCCTCCTCCTCCTCCTCCTCCTCCTCCTCCTCCTCCTCCTCCTCCTCTTCCATCTCCATCCCCACTTCAATCTCTTCCCCTTCCTCCAATTCCTCCTCCCCTTCCTCTGCCCCTTCCTGCCCTTCTTCTTCCTCCCCTTTTTCCTCTCTGCTCTTACCCCTCGTCCGATTCACCTCGGTTCCTATCATTCCCTCTCCCCCATTACCCACCTCCACTGGCTCCTCTTTAACCCTTCCATCACCCCCACACCCACTCCCTCGCACCACTCTCCTCTCCTCCTCATTTACCTTCTCCCTTTCCTCCCCTCTACCCGTAACCCTCAACCTATTCACCTCAGTTCTTATCACTCCCACTCCCCCTTCACCCAGCTCCTTAGGCTCTTCCTTTACTCTTCCATCCCCACTTCCTCGCACGACGAGTGTTGCTCCTCCTCCATCCACTGTGCACACTCCACCAAGCACACATAGAGCACTAATGCTCGCACCAGTAACACTTGCACCAGCATTACTTGCCCCCACAACATTTACACTGGCAACACTTGCACCCTTAACACACACATTCACCCTATTCGCCTCCGCGCTACAACGTCTCATGAGCATTTGGGTGAAATCTGACTTGGATACACCTGATCTGGCAGCAGCAGCACCTGGTGTGGTAGCAGCAGCAGCAGCAGCAGCAGCAGCAGCAGCAGCACCTGGTGTGGTAGCAGCAGCAGCAGCAGCAGCAGCAGCAGCACCTGGTGTGGTAGCAGCAGCAGCAGCAGCAGCAGCAGCAGCACCTGGTGTGGTAGCAGCAGCAGCAGCAGCAGCAGCACCTGGTGTGGTAGCAGCAGCAGCAGCAGCAGCAGCAGCACCTGGTGTGGTAGCAGCAGCAGCAGCAGCAGCAGCAGCAGCAGCAGCAGCAGCAGCAGCAGCAGCAGCAGCAGCAGCAGCACCTGGTGTGGTAGCAGCAGCAGCAGCAGCAGCAGCAGCACCTGGTGTGGTAGCAGCAGCAGCAGCAGCAGCAGCAGCAGCACCTGGTGTGGTAGCAGCAGCAGCAGCAGCAGCAGCACCTGGTGTGGTAGCAGCAGCAGCAGCAACTGATGTATCAGCAACAGCAGCACCTGATGTAGCTACCGCAAGAGAAGCAGAACCACCACCACCACCCGATGTGGTTACCGCATGAGCAACAACACCCCTCATTCCCTCGCCCTCTAACTCCACTACCTCCTCCTTCACACGCACATCCCTCCCTTCTCCAACCGCATCCATCGCACCCACACCCCAAGCTGACTTCTGAAACCCCACCGCACCTGCAATCCCCAGTGCTCCCAACCCCGTTCGGCTCACCGGCAGCCCCCTCTTGGCAGGACTGGCGGGACCAATCGGCACACTCTCCACTCTCTTCCCTCCCTGCGTGCTGCCACTGCCATCCAAGCCTGGAATACCAAAACTTGCTCGCCCCTTCGCCACCAGCTGACCCCCGGAACGACCAATCGGTACACTCTCTGCACCCTTCCCTCTCTGCGTGCTGCCACTGCCATCAGCACCTGCAATCCCCAGCGCTCCCAGCCCCGTCCGTCCCACTGCCAAACGCTGCTCCCTAGCAGGGCTAATAGGCCCGCCAGGCACACTCTGCTCACTCCTCCCTCTCTGCGTGCTGCTGCCATTGCCATCAACGCCTCTAGTCCCTGGACCTGCTCCTCCATTTTCCAGATACCCGCTGGCAGGGCGGATGGGCGCGCTCTTGGCAGCGCTGTTAGGGCCGCCAGGGCGGATGGGCGCACTCTCTACACTCTTTTCTCTCTGCGTGCTGCTGCCACTGCCATCAAAACCTCTAAGTCCCGGACCTGCGCGTCCCTCTGCTGCATACCCACTGGCAGGACGGATCGGCGCGCTCTTGGCAGCGCTGTTAGGGCCGCCAGGGCAGATGGGCGCACTCTTGGCAGCGCTGTTAAGGTCGGCAGGACGGATCGGCGCGCTCTTGGCAGCGCTGTTAGGGTCGCTAGGGCGGATGGGCGCACTCTCTACACTTTTCCCTTTCTGCATGCTGCCCCTGCCATCAAAGCCCGCACCTTGCAATGCTCCGGGTCCGGGCCCCATTCCCACAGTCAACCCCTCCCTGGCAGCACGGATGGGCACACTCTCGACACTCTTTCCTTTCTGCATGCTGCCACTGCCATTGGAACCAGAAACTCCCAGCACAACCAGTCCCGTATTGCCACCCCCTTTTCCCCGTTCCCTTTCCCCCATGCCCGTTCCCTCCTCCGTGTGATGACAATGATCAGCACCCCCTTGAAGCTGATCCGGTTCGCTCTTCACGCTCACCGAAAGACCAGCAGCGTCCACAACCGGCCCCCCACCTCTTCTTCTCTTCTCCTCCTCAAGTTGATTAACAACCGCTTTCAATCCATCCGGATCCCTTCTCAACCGAACTGGACCCCCATCGTCCTCCTCCACTTCCCTCCCCTTTTCCTCCTCCTCCCCCTCCTCCTTTTCCACCTCCTCCTCTTCGATTTCCTCCCCCTCCTCTATTTCCTCCTCCTCAACCTCCCAATCCTCCCCTTCCTCCCCTTCCTCCCCTACTTCTCCCTCCTCCCCCTCCTCCATTTCCTCCTCTTTTTCCACCTCCCCCTCCTCCCTTTCCCCCCCGTCCAACCCCACTTCCCCCTCCTCCCCTTCATACTCCTCCTCCCTCATCTCCCCCTCCTCTCCCTCCTCCACTTCAACATATTCCTCTACAAATATCACTTCTTCACTCGATGACTCCTCCCCTCCCTCCCCCCTCCACCTATCCATCCGCTCCCCTTCCTCTTCAGGCTCCGCTTTCACTGCCACTGTTCCACGTGTATTTTGAGTCACTGACGCCATTCCACGTGTATTTTGAGTCCCTGTCACCATTCCACGTGTACTTTGAGACGACTCAAGACGCACCCCTTCCTCCTCAGGCTCCACTTTCACAGTCATCAATCCCTCTCCTGATTCTCCCCGCGCCATCTCCTGTCACGTTCTAATTTTGAGTCGCTTCAGAAGCCTTTCTCTTCAGGGTCCGCTTTCACCATCATCATTTCCTCTTGCAATTCTCCTCGCACCAAATCCTGTCGAGTTGTATTCTTGAGTCGCCTCAGAAAAATTCCTCTTCAGGCTCCGCTTTCACCGTCACCATTTCCTCTTGCGATTCTCCTCGCACCATTTGCTGTCACGGTGTAGCCTTCGCCATATGCTGTAACCGTGTGACCTTCGCTTTCCCGTAACGCCTGAAGCGCTTCGTCTTCTGTTCTGTGGTTGTCACACCGTCGGGTCAACTCCTAGATTCTATTTACACGCTCATTAAACCGTCTAATGTCCAGTTACCCTTGACCAATCCGTTCGGACCACCACAATCGCCAGTGCACTAATCGCCTGTCGCCTCTTCGCCGCCTTCGCCACTTCCGCGTTGGTAACTTCTCAGTCCGACTGAAAATTTCTTTGGTCCCTCGTCACACCTTACTAGCCACTAGGTGTGCTCTGAGTGTGACACACGAAACACATCTTTCATCACGGTTACGACCTTCACCACCGCCTTTAACGCGGATGCTACAATCGCAGTCAGTATTCGGTAGGGTTACGTTAACGTCTCAAGCTACCAGTCAAGGTTAGCTCTTGCTGGTTAATTAAAGGTTCTCATGCTCGAGACTCGTCTAAACAACTCGCACGCCAGCTCGATCAAGATACCTGATTCTTAACTCGCCGGCAGGATTACAGTCGCCTGATATACTAGTCACCTTTCCCGGGAAAGGACGATTCAAATTATGAAGTAGCTGCTCAAATTCGGGTTTGTCTCGTGCAATATACTTCCGTGCTGTCCGCTTTTACACAGCACAACTTAAAAGCCAATAAAAACTATCTGCAACGCGAGCGACCTATTCCTGCACTAGGCCTTCGGAGCTAACTAAAACGCAACGACTGAGTAGCGTGTTTAGGCCTCTGAGCTTAGAGCTCACTAAAAGGCGTCAGAACAAGTGACAGACATCGCCAGCCTCCCCTGCGCTTCAATTGTGACTGACAATTGATGTCAGGCCGCCTTTCGAGGGGCTGAGCTATCAACCAGGCTGGGTTCTGTACTCGTTTGTAAGTTCTGTTGTGATGACATGGACGTGCGCAAAGCAGAGTATTATAGCCCCAGTTTACCAGACGTGGAACTTGATTAGTTATTGTACTTTGCTAAGGGTTGGGAAAATATATCTGCCTCACTATAAATGACCAACATTCAGACAGGTTTACTACTTGACATTCTCTGCACTTCTTCCTGTGAAAATTATAACCAAACATCACTGAACGTATAACATTGTTCCAACTAAGGAGATCGCATTGCAAGAAGAACAAGCGACCTCCAACAGCCAGTACTGGTGCCAGGAGAACTAAAAGACATCAGGATGGAAGCGGCCTGACATAGCTGCATGGTTCACAGCATCATTCGCTTGACGAAGGTGGAGGTTGAGGGCGTAGTTGGCCACCTGCACATCAAGCGAGAAGCGGGTGAGAACTTTGACAATTGCACAAAAAAAAAAAAAAAAAAAAAAAGGCCAATGCAAAAGAAATCCATCATTTTTGAAAGTATGAACACAAAATAGGTTGGTTTAGAGCATAGCTTACCTCCAGCTTGTGCACTTGTTCTTGATACTGGGCCAGCGCTTGTCTCAACCTCCCAACCTCCTCGTTCTGCGCCTGATGCTCCTTCTGCTTTTCGTGCTGGATCGCCACTGCTCGCTTCAGAATCTGGTTCTCCTTGCTCAACACACCCACCTGCTGCTGCAGCACTTGAACTTCTGAAGCTGATTGACGTGCCTGCAGATAGAAGCAAAGGTGGAAACGAAATTCAGGCTCGAGAGTAACATAAAAAGGGACCGCTGTCAACAAAAAAACATGGAAGCCTTCAGAAATGGACATGTACGAATCCGAGCACTCGGGCTTTCTGCGTACCTGTTCCGCGTGAATTGCAAAAGCAGTCGATTGATCCGGCTGCTTAGCATCCATAGCCTCCTTCTCAAAAGCCTGCAGCACGAGTAACGCCTTCTGTCGGGCGTCGTCCACGCTTGCTGCTGTCATCATCTCCCGCACTGCTGTGTCTGCCCATTTTGCAGTCAGACTTGCCGACTCCGCTCTCTGTGCTTCATCTGCGGCTGACTTTCGTGCATCAGCTTCTGCTGACATGCGATCAGCTGCAGTTGTGCATCCATAATTGCCTGGATGAATGAATGGAGTCTGCGATGGGCAAACTTCCAGGTTAGATCTACCCTGTAATTCTTCCGCGCCTCCAAATGAACCTCCAATTCTCGGATCTGATGCGAAAGCTCCTTCTAATTCCTGATGCTGTTGCTGCTGAATTGGTGTCTGCTGGAAAGGATTTGCAGACAAAGGAACCTTGTGAGCAGATGTTTGATGACTGCGTCTGGTTCTTTTCGTCAGTGGAGGGGATGGGACGTAAACGCTGTCGTCGAAAACCGATCGCTTTCCGCAAACAAGAGCCGACATGATTATTGAAAGAGTAGCTCACAGAGAAATCTCAACAGCTCGGGCTACTTTTGTTATATAGGAATAATAGGGTAGAGCCAGTAAGGTTGTTAGCAAGAATGAAAGGAAAAGGCGGAGCTCGATGATAGTCAAGAGTAGATGGGTGATGGCTTCGTGCTGAGGTTGAAATGCTTCACTCTGATGAGCTCACAGCGTAACACACGCAATTGAGGGACAGCGTATTCGAAGGATGGTGCCTTCATGATGGTTCTGGTTGGTTCTGCGAGTTTTTGCTTGTTGCTGCTGCGTGGAGGTGAAGTGGTTCAGTTCGGTAAGGTGATTTGGCAAGGGGCAGCGAGAGGGATGGTTGAGTTGAGAGCCAGAGCATCATCAGCATCTTTCTTGCTTCTCTCGCAGTTGCCTGTTTTCTCTCAAAAGAGGATTCTGTTCTGACTGACGGAAAGGCGTGAATTGTTGCAGGTGGGGGGGGGGGGGGGGGGTAGCATGTTGCGTGAATTGTAACTGATTGGAGGAAACTAATTTATGGACGGGATGGCATGGCATGCCATGCGATGCCATCCGACCGAAGCACACGGGCTGGTGCGGGTCTGGTTGTTCCGTACCTGGAAGTCGCGGTGCCGTCAACTTATGTGGTTCGAGAAAATGGCGGGAAAACCTGATAGCCGTTTGACACTCGTGTGGCAACCACCCACAATCAAGCGATTCCGAAGCAGGTACGTACAGTACACTGGAGGTTAGGGGCGGGTCCAACTCATCACAGCTCAGGTCAGTTTGGGGAACAGTAACCCTTTTTCGTAGGGTAACCGCGTCAAAATACGAGCCCTGCCTGGATGACGTGCTCGGTTTCCCGTCTACCAAAACCAGTCACATTTCACATCACGATTCGGGCTCGAAATTCAACCGAAAAAGTTGCAAACTGGACCGAAACAGCAAATCAAACCCCAGAGTGCCTCACTTGCTGGTAACAAGGTTTACCTTCGTCATGATTTTCAATCTGTTTGTTGGGGCGCGGCTTGGATGCGCGGGGCGAGAATAGAGTGGGCGCAATGTCGACTCCCACAATTTGTATCCCGAAACCCTAGTTACCCATTCGTCAATTTTTGTTTTCGCAAACCAAATTTGTTCGTCCCAAATCTGATCGCATGGGCGGGATGTTGTGTCCGCGTAGGCCAGCCAGTTCATCTGGGCGGGAACCCGAGTCCGCGTAGGCCCTCCAGGACATGGCACGTGCTTGGGTTCGGACACCCTGCTTGAAACTCGGACAGTTGGCAATTCGTTACGGAAGTAGCAAAGCCCCAAATTGATATTTGGACCCGCCCTAGGAATTGCAGCTCTTTGAGGGATCCGAACTAGGTCGTTTCTACGGCTAACCGGTGTTACAAATGGAACGAACTAGGGAAATTCTAATTTTGGAGCGAACTTCAGAGCAAATTCTAAGTGACAACTACACGGTGACGAGGACAACCTCCCGCAACCCTCATGTTGACACTGTACTAGTGTACAGCACATTGTCTGACCCGAATTTCGCACTGCATAAGCCCTAAGCTCTGTTCCTTGATTGTAAATTTCACTGCGGGCTTGATTGAGAGAGCAAAAAAGGTTGGTCTGCAGTGCCTCATCTAAAACACACTCACCTTTTCTCAAGCAAGGCACCAAGCAAACGGCCTCCCAGCTTGAACTTCCTCTCTGTTTGATCAGCATCGGCGCGATGCCTCACGCTTTGGGCCCGCCTTCGAGTATCTGTGCTCATTTTACAGTTTTGAGCTCTAAACACAATGTAGGTCTCAGTTCCACGTCGAACCTAGCTCCTCCGTGGGTTCGAGGAGAGCGCGAAGTCGAATCAAGAGGTTTCATCTCGACCGTCCAAATTCCGCGTGCTCAATCATGGCCGTGGGGTCCGACTTCGGTAGATCGCACAAAATCCGCTGTAGAGGGGCGTGCTACCGTCACGGAACCTGCATTACCTGGAAGGAACATCGGAAATGTCGCTACTGAAAAGTCATCGCATAATAATCTGCATCTCGCAGAAGCTGTTCCAATACGAAGTACCACGCGGAGTGCTGCTGGGAATGACGTTCTTGAGAATGCCAGATCCAAATCTGGTCCAGCGAACGGCACCGCAGGCAATACAGCCACAGGAATCGTGGTTGGTTCGGCCAGACCAGAGGCCCAATTAGGGTCGGCTGCAGCAGTGGGAAGTAACGGGGCTGCTGGAGGTCGCAGAAGAAGAAAAACGCAGCCGAGTTTGGATACACTTGTGAATGCTGAATCAGGAGCTGGGCGCGGGACAAGTATCGAGTCTGCTAATAACGGACGCAGAGGGTCGACTGCATCAGACGTGAACCAGCGGCTGACTTCCAACGCTGCGTCGCAGCCGTTGGATGATTCAGTAACCGCGTCTCAGCCGTTGGATGTGTCTGATCCTAGGGTTTGGCTCCCTCCGCCGCCAGACGTGCCCAGACCTCGTGCTACGCATAATGCAGCCATGCTGGCGTATATCGGGGATGGAATCTATGAGGTGAGACTTCGTGTAGTGGTGTCATTTCTTAAGAGTAAGCACTTCCTGAGACCACAGGGATGCGTCAACATACCTGAGGGAGACTCCCCACTTACTGGTAGGGCAGATCGGGGAAATGCCCTACTACAGTAATGTACACCCGACAAGGAAGTCATTAGAATTGAGATTCTGGACAGTCTTGCTGTTTCCTTTCTGTTTTCCACCTCTCTTCACATCCAAGATCTCCTCTCTCCCTCTTTCAGCTGTTTTGAAGGAATCATTTCGTGAACAAGAAATTCGTTGTGGTCACAATAGATTCGTTGATCCCCAATGCATAAATTTCTTCTAACAACCTTCCCATCCACTCATCTCCCTCGCCATTCTGCCAACCCTCTCTCCCTGATCAGCTGTATGCGCGGCGTCACTTCTTGAACCCCCCGTCCGCCATAGCCACGTACTGCCAACGAGTCACAGCTGTTGTCTGCTGTGAAGCCCAGGTGAGATTTGGTTTCGCTGATGGACGCGTCTGTGCACATCAGATCAGACCCACACGCAGTAGATACTATCGTCACGTACTGCCAACAAATCACAGCTCTCGTCAGCTGTGAAGCCCAGGTGAGATTTGGTTTCGCTGATGGACGCGTATGTGCACATCAGACCCACACGCAATAGATACTATCGCCTTGTGCTGCCAACTAGTCACAGCTCTTGTCTGCTGTGAAGCCCAGGTGAGATTTGGTTTCGCTGATGCACGCGTATGTGCACATGAGACCCACACGCAGTAGATACTATCGCCACGTACTGCCAACAAGTCACAGCTCTTGTCTGCTGTGAAGCCCAGGTGAGATTCCGTTGCTGTAACACACAAGTATATGCATGCGTGCACGCCCACCCCCCACCCCCACCCCCCACCCCTCCTCCCCACCCACCCCCCCCCACACATACACGAAGAGGCACTCACAGACCCGCACACATCCAATGGCACTGCCCATATCGCCAACAGCCACGTGGGCTGTGGGCTGAGAGGGCCAGATGCGAACTGACTAACTATCCACTCACGCTTCGATGCGCACATGCATTGGGTGTTTGCCGGACGCGTGTGAGTCGACTAAAAACTCATCAGTGCACTGCACTGCACACATGCGTTGGTTCCTTGCAGGACGTGGTGCGGTGGGGAGGACGCTCTGCAGATTCCTTGCAATGACTGAACACTCCTTAGTCACAGGAGTATACCATGGTGAGTGATGCCCCTAACTAGTTGATTTTGTCTGTAACTGTGCGATGGTATACGGTGCCATGCTGCAGGGACGTGGTGCGGTGGGGAGGCAATGCCTCCACAGGTGCCTTTTGAGCATCCCACAGGTGTAACCATGTAACTGTGTAACTCTCATGCCATGCTGCAGGGATGTGGTGCGGTGGGGAGGCAATGCCTCAACGGGGGCTAGGAAGGCCAAGGGGAGGGCTGGATCAACTGTGTATGCCAACGCCACTGCACTTGAAACACTGGTGCGTGATATGACTCTCGTTTGGCTGCTTGAATGATGAGACTCTCGTCTCGTTTGTGGGTGAATGAGACTCTCCTTCAGGTGACCTTTGAGAAGACACAAAGGTACTTAAAACCAGGATCTCAAGTAAAAAAATTGGCTGGAAGTTGGTGAGAGTAGCTCGCCTGTGATTGGTTAACGAGGTGGTTCGTTTGACGAGGGGTGAAGCGAGGGGTGCGAACTAAATTCAAATCGCAAGTTTGAATCCGAACCAGGGAGGCACGGAATCTGGTTCGGTGACGAAGCTCCAACACCAGCAATTTCTCGCCACCCCCGAAAAATCTCATGTATCAGAAATGTGTTTTGCAATTGACCCAGGGGCAAAAACGTGGGTGTGTCGCACACTCAACCTCCTAACCAGCCAGTCAGTTCGCCTACACAGATAGGGTAACGAGAGCTGCAAGTGTTTTGCAATTGACAGCAATTTCTCGTACTTGAGATCCTGGCTTTAAAAGTCAGCAGGAAGTGATCCAGGGTGTATGCCAAAGCCACTGCACTTGAAACACTTGTGAGTGCGAATCTCATGTGATTTCTTGAGTCGTGCCAACACCTGCTATTGGAGCACTAGCAGTCACTACACTTAGTAAAACATACAGGCTGATTAACTTTTCCCGTGGGTTGCTGTCTTCGTATGAGTT